GCTGATATTGTGCCTGTGGCATGCTGGGATGAAGGGCTATCAAGTTTGTTTAAATGAATGACCTTGAACAACTTTCAAGGTCACAGAGGTCAAATATGTCAAAATCTTTAAATAACTTCTTCTCAAATACTAGAAGGCCTAGGGGGCTAATACTTGGCCCATAGCATGCTGGCATGGAGCCCTACAAAGTTTGTTCAAATGAATGACCTTGGCCCACTTTCAAGGTCACAGGGGTCAAATATGTTAAAATATACAAAGGACTTCATCTCAATAAGCAAAAGTCTATGAGTGCCGATATTGGGTCTGTAGCATGCTGGGAGGAAAGGCTACCAAGTTTATTCAAATGAATGACCTCAACCCACTTTCAAGGTCACAGGGGTCAAATATGTTAAAATATACAAACAACTTCTTCTCAACAAGCAAAAGTCCATGAGTGCTGATATTGGGCCTGTAAGATGCTTGGAGGAGAGGCTACCAAGTTTGTTCAAATGAATGACCTCAACCCACTTTCTAGGTTTGGCTTGCTTTTTGTCAGATGACCGTTAAGGCCCATGGGCCTCTTGTTTTGTTTTTTGTTTTGTTTTCATATTTTTAACAAGCAAAATTAATTCCTGGGAGAAGTCATTAAAAGACTATGAAGAAATGTTATAATTAAAGCAATCTATATGTCAGGGAGTAGGACACATTGTGTCAATGAATAATGCTTCAAAAAAAGAAAGAAAAAAAATCATGATTTTATTAGTGTTAGCTCTTTAATCCAGATGTCATATAGTGGTATAGTTACTAGTTACCATTCTGGAAAAGCAGAACATACATTGGACCAAAACTCATTCTTCATAAAGAATAAAATTGATCAAAGTCAACTCACAGTTTTATTGTGAAAAACACTTCACCCTGTCAGGTATTGTAGTATTTTAAAGATTTTGATGAAAAACATTAAATATACCTGTAAGAAAGCAAGAGAAACAATGAAAGATTACCATAGCAAATGATCTTTCTGTTTGCCAGGAGTGTCTCACACTGTAGATAACACTGTCAGGGTTGTTCATAATGATCACAGACATCTGACCCCAACACAGTTTGTACAATCCTGGATATAAGATATATTGGAAACGTCTGTACATTGTATATCTCTGTTATTGTATTGCACAGTGTTCAATGTATTGACAAGGGCAGGTTTTTATCTGCGTTAAGTGTTAAGATCATATAGACATTTGGATATTATTCCAAGTACTTTGTATTATATCATTACAAACTTATTAAATAAATGCTATGTATCAAGTGTACTGCTTGTTTTACTGCCTCTCCAATAATATTGAATCAGATCATACTGCATTCCTCACCACTAGTACTATCAGGACTGTAGGTAGGCTAAACCCCCCACCACTAGTACTATCAGGACTGTAGGTAGGCTAAATCACCCACCACTAGTACTATCAGGACTGTAGGTAGGCTAAATCCCCCACCACTAGTACCATCAGGACTGTAGGTAGGCTAAATCCCCCACCACTAGTACTATCAGGACTGTAGGTATGCTAAACCCCCCCCCCCACCACTAGTACTATCAGGACTGTAGGTAAGCTAAACCCCCCACCACTAGTACTATCAGGACTGTAGGTAGGCTAAATCACCCACCACTAGTACCATCAGGACTGTAGGTAGGCTAAATCCCCCACCACTAGTACTATCAGGACTGTAGGTAGGCTAAATCACCCACCACTAGTACTATCAGGACTGTAGGTAGGCTAAATCCCCCACCACTAGTACTATCAGGACTGTAGGTAGGCTAAACCCCTCACAACTAATACTATCAGGACTGTAGGTAGGCTAAATCCCCCACCACTAGTACTATCAGGACTGTAGGTAGGCTAAATCCCCCACCACTAGTACCATCAGGACTGTAGGTAGGCTAAACCCCTCACCACTAGTACTATCAGGACTGTAGGTAGGCTAAACCCCTCACAACTAATACTATCAGGACTGTAGGTAGACTAAATCACCCACCACTAGTACCATCAGGACTGTAGGTAGGCTAAATCCCCCACCACTAGTACTATCAGGACTGTAGGTAGGCTAAATCCCCCACCACTAGTACCATCAGGACTGTAGGTAGGCTAAACCCCTCACCACTAGTACCATCAGGACTGTAGGTAGGCTAAATCCCCCACCACTAGTACCATCAGGACTGTAGGTAGGCTAAATCCCCCACCACTAGTACCATCAGGACTGTAGGTAGGCTAAACCCCTCACAACTAGTACTATCAGGACTGTAGGTAGGCTAAACCCCCCACCACTAGTACTATCAGGACTGTAGGTAGGCTAAATCCCCCACCACTAGTACCATCAGGACTGTAGGTAGGCTAAATCCCCCACCACTAGTACTATCAGGACTGTAGGTAGGCTAAATCCCCCACCACTAGTACTATCAGGACTGTAGGTAGGCTAAACCCCTCACAACTAGTACTATCAGGACTGTAGGTAGGCTAAACCCCCCACCACTAGTACCATCAGGACTGTAGGTAGGCTAAATCCCCCACCACTAGTACTATCAGGACTGTAGGTAGGCTAAACCCCCCACCACTAGTACTATCAGGACTGTAGGTAGGCTAAATCCCTCACCACTAGTACCATCAGGACTGTAGGTAGGCTAAATCCCCCACCACTAGTACTATCAGGACTGTAGGTAGGCTAAATCACCCACCACTAGTACCATCAGGACTGTAGGTAGGCTAAACCCCTCACAACTAATACTATCAGGACTGTAGGTAGGCTAAACCCCCCACCACTAGTACTATCAGGACTGTAGGTAGGCTAAATCCCCACCACTAGTACTATCAGGACTGTAGGTAGGCTAAATTACCCACCACTAGTACCATCAGGACTGTAGGTAGGCTAAATCCCTCACCACTAGTACTATCAGGACTGTAGGTAGGCTAAATCCCCACAACTAGTACCATCAGGACTGTAGGTAGGCTAAATCCCCACCACTAGTACTATCAGGACTGTAGGTAGGCTAAACCCCCACCACTAGTACTATCAGGACTGTAGGTAGGCTAAATCACCCACCACTAGTACCATCAGGACTGTAGGTAGGCTAAACCCCTCACCACTAGTACTATCAGGACTGTAGGTAGGCTAAACCCCTCACAACTAGTACTATCAGGACTGTAGGTAGGCTAAACCCCCCACCACTAGTACCATCAGGACTGTAGGTAGGCTAAATCCCCCACCACTAGTACTATCAGGACTGTAGGTAGGCTAAACCCCCCACCACTAGTACTATCAGGACTGTAGGTAGGCTAAATCCCTTACCACTAGTACCATCAGGACTGTAGGTAGGCTAAATCCCCCACCACTAGTACTATCAGGACTGTAGGTAGGCTAAATCACCCACCACTAGTACCATCAGGACTGTAGGTAGGCTAAACCCCTCACAACTAATACTATCAGGACTGTAGGTAGGCTAAACCCCCCACCACTAGTACTATCAGGACTGTAGGTAGGCTAAATCCCCACCACTAGTACTCTCAGGACTGTAGGTAGGCTAAATTACCCACCACTAGTACCATCAGGACTGTAGGTAGGCTAAATCCCTCACCACTAGTACTATCAGGACTGTAGGTAGCTAAATCCCCCACCACTAGTACCATCAGGACTGTAGGTAGGCTAAATCACCCACCACTAGTACTATCAGGACTGTAGGTAGGCTAAACCCCCACCACTAGTACTATCAGGACTGTAGGTAGGCTAAACCCCCCACCACTAGTACTATCAGGACTGTAGGTAGGCTAAACCCCCCACCACTAGTACTATCAGGACTGTAGGTAGGCTAAACCCCTCACAACTAGTACTATCAGGACTGTAGGTAGGCTAAACCCCCCACCACTAGTACCATCAGGACTGTAGGTAGGCTAAATCCCCCACCACTAGTACCATCAGGACTGTAGGTAGGCTAAATCCCCCACCACTAGTACTATCAGGACTGTAGGTAGGCTAAATCCCCACCACTAGTACCATCAGGACTGTAGGTAGGCTAAATCCCCCACAACTAGTACTATCAGGACTGTAGGTAGGCTAAATCCCCCACCACTAGTACTATCAGGACTGTAGGTAGGCTAAATCCCCCACCACTAGTACTATCAGGACTGTAGGTAGGCTAAATAGTACCCAGGACTGTAGGTAGGCTAAATCCCCCACCACTAGTACTATCAGGACTGTAGGTAGGCTAAATCCCCCACCACTAGTACTATCAGGACTGTAGGTAGGCTAAATCCCCCACCACTAGTACTATCAGGACTGTAGGTAGGCTAAATCCCCCACCACTAGTACTATCAGGACTGTAGGTAGGCTAAATCCCCCACCACTAGTACTATCAGGACTGTAGGTAGGCTAAATCCCCCACCACTAGTACTATCAGGACTGTAGGTAGGCTAAATCACCCACCACTAGTACCATCAGGACTGTAGGTAGGCTAAACCCCTCACCACTACTACTATCAGGACTGTAGAAAGGCTAAATCTCCCACCACTAGTACTATCACGCCTCCATCATTAATGTTATCAGAATCACTTTTTTTCTGTTTCGACAAAAACAAAACACGAAAACAGTCACTGTTTTTTTTGTACAGAGTTGTAAATAATTGTGTTTATCTTTAACAATGCTACGAGAATCAGAGAACTACACAAATTTCTGCATGGACATCTGTCTATTCCCCCACCACCTTGGAGGTTGACAATAGGTGTATGTCAACCATGTCCACCTATTTCATCCTACCCGCATGCATCCGATCTTAACATTGACAACTTCAGATCCAGAAAAAGGGTTAACAAATATCATAAAAAGATGAACATTTTTCTTAACTTGTGGTGAAATGGAATAAAGCTTTTCCATATCGAGTGGAAGGGTTTAAATGAATTTCTTTGTATCAATATTCATTGTAATAAATAAAACACATTTAATATTCAATTTCAGTGGGACTAACATATCTTAATTTTTTTCAGTTTGTACAGGAAAATGCAAACCCCTGAAAATCTTGGCAGCTCCAAAACTAGTGAGAGTGTTGATTTAACCTTGGTGGAACACAAGACGCCTCTTCTGGATGTCAAGGCAGAAATGGTGTGAGACACCTGGTAGAAGAGATGGCTGCGGCAACTAAGCAGGCAGACACTACAGAGATTGCCAACACAGCCAGACATATATCTGCTTTTGTCTCCATAGATCTCTTAAGCTACTCAGCATAGATATCAGATATGATATTTCTGTCAGTCTGGGGATCATAATATTTTAGAAATATTTCCGTTGTTTAATCATTTAGCTCTGCTGTTTATGACCAACCACCTTATTGCCCAAAATGTAAAGTACTGCTTCTTTCCTTGAATTGCGTTGTTTATAGTTAAAATTGTTTAGCATTAATTCCAATTTCTTTCATATATTTAGGGGTCCATATAAGTACAGTTATTGTTCATTACCCTATTTTTTGTTTTTGTTTTTGTTTTGTAAAGTGACAGTACTCTGGTTGATTGTGACAGACCTTTTTTAGATTGAAACATAAAACAATTGTGAAAATGTTGGAATTTTTATGTTGTTAATTGTTAGAAATGTAAAATTTTAAGATTTTTTTTTTATTGTGAGGAACACATAACTGTGATGATTGTAAATTGTCAGAAGATATATATATGTTTGATGTTGTTATTGTATGACACTGTATTGTTGAGTTAGAGGATGTCCATATAAATACAGTTATTGGTGCCTTGATTAGGTTCAGAAAAGATTTATGTAAAATATTTAAAAGGTTATGAATCATTCTTGATCGCAAAATATTGCAGATTAAATATTGTTTTGTGACACGCATTTAGAAGAGGGGACACGAGGTTAGGTTATATAGTAATTATATTGTCTCTGTTTCTTTCTGAATATCCATCCTTAAGTAAAACCATATGTACAGTAAAAGGTGTCTTATGAATCCTATATTTACATGATTTATAGTGAAGAATATCAAGTTCTAGTCCTTATTAAATTTTCTTGGAGACTAGTCGAGGAACAAGGTGGCAAAAATCACAAATTATTTCTTTAAAAATAAAAAAACTTAAGTTTGATCAAGATAATTCCACAGCATATCTAGTTGTGATTCCAATGATATTGTAATATCTTGTTCTACTTACAGCTGATCAGATTTTGGTAGATCAGACAAGGTTAAAAGGTCATATCTGACCCCTATTTGAATAAAAATCTTGTGCACAATGTATTTCATGAATCCCTCAATAGATTTGATCATTGTTGTGCAAAAGTATTGAAATATAAAGTTATTTCTACCAGGTTAGATTTAAGCGCTCACTTTGATTCCATTGGTTACAGAATTGAAACTGTTTTGTTTGAAAGCATCTAATTCGGTTTTTCATATTACACAGGGATTGCTGTAGCTTGTACAGCAAGATCTGACCAGTACACTGTAACTCGGGTCCTGTACTTTTTGGTTTATCTTGCTATTAACTGTACGATACACCAGTATTACTTTCAGAATATCTGTACTTTATATAATGTATTAAGTATTTATGAGGATATGAATTCTCAGCAGTAATCATTCTGAATCCAACATTTATCTATCTTTCATTTCAAAGTGTCACAAAAAATATTTTTATCACAAAATATAAAAGAGATTTTCATGATGGATTCTGTGAATATGATACAGGTATTGTAACACTATTCTCTCCTTTCATTGATTTTATCTCTCGAAGCCAGTGTTTGTTTGTTTGGTTTTTTTTCCCTTCATGGTGTTTGTTTGTGTTGACATCTTTACTAAGGATAAACAAAATACCTCACTTCTGATGTTAGACTAATAGAATCTTTCACCCACTTAGGGATCAGACAAAAGGGTCTTAACTCAAGGGGAAAGATTATTAAGGGATGTGATCTCCATATTTCATATTCAAGGGAGTGAATGATTTACAGAATCTTTCACCCTCTTCTGGGAAGGACAGGGGATCTCGACTCAAGTAAAAGGAATATTAATGATTGAGATCCCCATATTTCACATACAAGTGGATGAATGATTTATAGACTTTTTCACTCTCTTCTGGGCTCGAGTAGAAAGATTATGAAGGGTTTCCTCATATCTCACACACAAAGGGATAAATGAATATTTTTTCTCTTATCCTCATGGTCTTCTAATATTCTGTTTTGTTGCTCTCTAATGCTTTACATTGGTGATGTGACATCCTAGATATGAAAGAGACAGGGATATCTCGCGATAGTGAAAGAGTGGCTACAACACCTGTCAAGGGTAAGAGAATATTGATTCTTTCAGTTGTTATGAAAAGTTAAGAATTAACTTAGTCAAAATTACTCACAATAATTATTACAAATTATCGATTTCCGTTGTTGAGAATATTGAGAATTAAAATCATCCATTGCATTGATAGAAACATGTGGGATGATTTTTTCAGTGTCCAACAAAACTGATAGTACAGTATGAGTTGATTAAGGATTTACATGCTATCAGTGGACCAGTCTGTTGGTCAGATTTTTTTTTAAGTTGTGGACCATTTTTAAAGATTATTTTTGTATATAATTTTTCCACATGCCATTTCTATATTTTGTATATATTAAGTACACCTTACAATGGCAGTATTGGGCCAGGTGCCTGGCTCTTTACAGAGTTAAGGCCCTTTTTCCACGTTTTGAAAATTTGTGGAAATATAAGATTATTAGCAGTTATTAAAGGACCAATAACAATCATAATTATTTAATTTTTTGTGAATGTTTTTCAAACAATAATATTTCATTCTCATTTAATCTTAATTTTCATTTGAACAATGTTTATCATTTAAGTTTATAAGCACCTTTTTTTTGCCTAAAACAGCATTTAATGTCCATTTTTAATTCACTCTTTTTTGATAGTATATTTTATTATGTGATATCAGAGGTCTCAATATAGGTTTCTTCAGTAAAATACACAGTCATTTATCTGACGTGTCATCTTGTGATGTTTTAGTGAACTCTGACGAAACATGTAATTCTGGACAAATATCTGCTCAATGGACAATGGACAGCTGTCATAACTTAAGTCAATAAATCATTAATCGTACCCGCTGTGTATAAAGTGAAATCTTATTTTCAAATGACTAAAATCAGACAACTTATCAAAAAAATTGCCTAAGAATATTTGAATATGACAGTACCAGTATATATTAATTCTTACAATGTTTATTACTGTTTGGTTGCAATTTTTTTGCTTCTAGAAATAATTGAAATAATACAAGGGGCATTACATTAAATATCAAGTCCTTAAAAAAAAAAAAAAAAATGATGTGACCAGATCACACAGTCTGATAATTAATCTTGCCTTAAGCATAACCTTTACAATTTCGTGAGGTTGGTGCATGAAACCATTGTAGCGTTTTGGGGAATAGCTAAAATTCAATTGAAAGAGGTTGCTAATGTATTTCTTAATTATATTTTTTGGGCACAATATTTCAAGCACTGTTCTAACATATGTTTTAATAATGATACAAGTGTTACAGAAAAAAAAATTTAATTACCAATTTATTCGGATTTTAAAATTATTTATTTGTAAATGATAAGTTAAGTATGCAATGATGATATATTGATACTTTACAAAATTAGCTTTATTTTAAATTTTGGTATTTTTTGGAGTATTAGTTGTTTATCTTAATGGAAATGGAATTAAATTTTATCGAAAAAGAAATAATGGTTTTTTAATGAAGAAAACAGTCTCAGGTACTAATTGATGGTACGTAAGTACCAATCCCATGTGATGGAAGTGGTGTACAAAGTATAAATGAAGAGAAGTTATTCAAGTGCTCTAACTTATAGAAACTAGTTGTATTTAAAATCAAGATTGAAATGTTTTAACTGGATCTGCTATATTTCTCTCAATTATTTCATGAAATATCATGATCCTTAAGTATGAATTATTTTTATCCAGTAATAATTCAGGGGAACAGAAATTACGGAAAATCTACAATTTTTAGCTGGTTCAAATAACCATTTTTTTCGAACCAGTGAGTGTATGTTATTCCGTTTGCTTCTGTTGTCTGTCCATGGTTCATCGTCCATCTGTCATTCATCCATCAAATTTTTCTACAAATGACCACTGGTCATGACCAGTCAAAGTGGTTTTGACCAAATTTGGTCAAAAGCATACTTGGGGAAGAGGAGCAAATTTTGTGTAAATTTTGAGTCTTAACCCCAAAGGGGCAGGAGGGGTGGGGCCCAATAAGGGAAACAGAGCAATTTTTTCTGTTGGGATCATTGGATTTTGCCCAAATTTGGTTAGAAGCATTCTTGGGTGAAGGGGAATCAGTCTTGAAAAAAACGCTTGGTCTTGGCCACCTTGGATCTGGGGAGAGGCTAATAGAGGAAATGGAGCAAATTCTTTAAAATTCTACTCTTTCTGTAGGAATGGTTGAGTTTTGCCAACAAATTTTGTCAGACACATCCTTGAGTAAATTGTAATTAATGTTGTATAAATGATGGGTCTAGGCTCCTTGTGATGGGAGGGGCAAGACCTATTTGAGGGGAAATAGAGCAAATTCTTTTGAATTCTTTAGTTGGAATTGCAGGATTCTGTCCCAATTTGGTATGAAGCATGAATTGGTTGGCTTACCCCACTAAGCTCAAGATGGCTGGGGTCCAATGGAGAAATAGATATAATGTGTTTTGTGCTTGGAAATTTAGAATTCCTTTTCCTTTAGTTTCGATGAAGTAATTTCAGCCAACAAAACCAGGTGAGCAAGACAGGCCTTATGGACCTTTTGTTTGATGTGCAACTGTTTCAGAAAAGTAGATATAAAATGTCGTCTTTAATGTATTAAATTTAAAAAAATGAATAAAATACATTTATTTGTAGAAATTAGTTGTGTTATCATTTCCATACAGTCATACTTGAACTGTCTTTCCTGCAGAATGTTGTTCAAATGAATAAATAACCCTTTCTTGCCTTTTTAAAAAGCCACGAAATAGAAATATGAACCAGAGTAACATGAAGGAAGGGCTTGTTTGCATACATGGAGCTGGAGCCGATAAATGACTGGGATTGTACAACTATGTATTTTACACAGTATTCTGATACAGAATAACTGGAGAATGCTTTAAACTGCCTGAATTGCCAAATGAGCTTAATAATTGCTGTAGTGTAGCATATGTAAACTGTCCTGTCTCAATTTTTTCTCTTTGAAATACAGCTTCCAAATAACCAAAAGGCCTAGAATCATATTTGGCAAGAATTCTGTTGAGATGAAACTCATTAAAGTTTTTGAATGGAAATGACCTTGACCCATATTCAAGGTCACAGGATAAAAGTTTGTTAAAATTTCCAAATGATTACTACTCAGTAATGTAAAAGCACAGAATATTTTTCTGGAAAATTCCTAGGGTAAAGCCAAACAGTGTTTGAGAAATGAAATAATCTCTACCTTATTCAAGGTCACAAGGGTCAAATATGCTAAAACCTTCTGAAATCATCTTCTACTTCACCAAAAGGAACTAAATGGATGATTGGTGCCAGTGATGATTACACATAAAAAATTTCAGAAGATGACCTTGACTCATATTCAAGGTCATGGGTCAGTTTTGTTAAAGCCTTCCTATGCCTTCTTATTAATAAAGATTTTGAATGTCAAAGATGTGAAATAATATTTGTGAAAACATTATACCAGGTACATATCTTGCCCATAAATCCATTGCTCCATGATGCACACACATCGCTTAATTTATTATGAAATGCAAGTTACATGTACTGAGAACAGTGCCTCTCACATTCTTACTTTCAGTGGCTTTCTTTGTCTTTTTAGTTAGAGTGAGCAAATATTTGAATAGAACTGAGCAAGTTGTATAAATCTACCTTCCTTCAACAAAAGGCATATGTTTCTCAAAGACTTGTTTTTCACCATACACCATGAAATCGTATTTTACAGCAGTGCTAACTTAGTGAAAATTATAAGTGATTAATAATGTTATTGGCAGCAACATTGATTTGATAGCAATATCTGAATGGCTAAATGAGGTTTTGACGATACATGTGAATTGGAACTTAATATTGTTTCAGATGTATCATTCTGTAAAACTTTTTAAGGGTATGCTACCTCTCCACCAATCTTATCCATATTTCAAAGATTAATTATATATCCGATACTTGCAAAGTTCAGTTTGCCATGGCTGTAAAAGTTGTGATCCAGATAAAATGTATTTAAAAGACGAAATCAATCACTCGACAAATACCAATGTCAGCTGATTCTTTATTTTTTTGTATCAAAATTCTTTAATGACATGACTGATACTACATACTGATATATCAACAGAAATTTTTATCACACATAAGACATTAAAGGGTTTAATTATATGGTTTCCATGTTTATGGACACTAAAGTGACTATTACACAACATATCAATAATAATGCCACATAAAAATGACGACTTTAGTAAAGCAGATAAATATGTACTAGGTGGAAGGAAATATAGAGAAAATATTGACTTTTTTCTTAAGTTTGTTTGATTGTGATTCTTATAAGTAGCCAGTACAATTGCCAACAAGTACAGGACAGTTTTACATCCGAACTTTGAACCGACCTAAATTTTGTATTGTTAACATATTTCTCAGTCTTTTGTCTCTCCACATTACAACATATCATACACCTACATGTTAATGTATCATGTAATGATATATACATCACACATGAAAGAAATTTCAAAATGAAGAAATTTACAGTTTTCTCATTTCCAATTCATTTTGATAAAGTTTAATGTGAATTACAATAGATTACCATCAATTAACATATTTTGCCTTGTTTTAAGTATCACCTTGGACTAAAAATGATAATCAAAATTATACAAATTATGTTGCTTTAGATTTCTAACATCAAGGTGTAAACAAAAGAGTGTGCTTTCTCACTTTATACAGACTGTAAACATATGTGTGTCAACATACATCTTTTTACTAAAAATGTCTTAGAATTAAAGTGTGCACTACATTATTTCACAACAAGACACAAAACCAATTACTGCTTGTGGATCAAGTTTATTTCAGTCTCATTATGACATCTGAGAGAAAATCTTGAAAGATTACACGACAAAGTTAAAATTGTTATTGATGAACAGGGGTATACAGAAATTGAACTGACAGTTTAATATGACTAGAAACAATTCTTGACACGAAAAACTGAAAACCGTTTCTCATTCTATACACTAGTTTACAAACTGTATTTACACTAGAAACCTATGTATAGGTTGTTTCCATTTAATACACACTCCCAATTTTTACATACTTCAAGTTGTCTCCTTACCTACACTCTCCCAGTCAGCCGCTTCATTTTCACAGGGGTTGCCTATTTCTCTACCCCTTCCTTAACATTCCAAAGTCATTCTGTTAAAGGTGTTCTATAACAACTTAACACCCTACATGTGGTCATTCTATCACTGTCAACATTATATCTCACACAAGTTGTTACATGTATCTTAGTGTATCACCTTCACTCGTGAATATTTACCATTATACTCTTATGTACTGACAACTTAATTTTTTCTTCATTTTTTTTTGAAAGACCCATAACTGATCCATTTTTTTTTTCAGATGTTGTGTTGTACAAATATGGCCTTTCATACTTTTACAATTATACCAAGGCATCACTTATATTTAATAATAAAGTAGTTTTTTCAAGCCAACAAAAAATTCACCCCATATCTGAACACGTTTGTGTATTATGTCTATTATGCTGTAAGCAATACCCCGGTACTCAAAGGTAAGGACTTCAATATATAACCCACTTGAGCACTTTAACAAATTAAACTGTATAAATAACGTACCTTGATTATCTCTGAGTTTATAATAAACATTTCATCTTTTTTGTTAAAACCTACACTTAATGTGTAACCTTAATGAGTACATATAATCTACTACTATAAAATTAACAGTAAATAGTTTAAAGTGTGTATATAATTAGATATTGCCTCGTATGGGTTAAACTTTAGCACTTTGTCATGTCAATATAATGCCTTTGTGACACTCTCTTTGAAAGTAAATACATCTCTATTATTAAACAGGCTAATCAACAACAAATCATTGACGTGAATTTTGATGTTCACTTCAAACAAGTTTTGAGATTACTATCCGACTAACTTTTAACATTGTGTTGTTTCCTTTGAATATCCATCCACACACAGTCAGACATTAAAGACAGGTGTATACTGAACAATTAAACACAAACAGGAATGTTCATACTCATAAGGACATCAATTTAGCCTGTCTTCTTCTGAATGTGTACAATACTGTTATAATTAATACTACGAAGAAACCAAATAAAAGGTCATTTTATGGTAGCATTCACAACGACATAGCAGCATACACAAGTTCAAATTAGCAAGCACAAGGTCAAAGTAGAATACATAAAGTCAAAATAGCATACCTAAGGTCACGGTATTACAATAGTAACATACACAAGGTCAAGTTACCATCAAATAATTCCAAATAAGTACCTATATGGTCAAAGCAGTATGAAATTACAGGATCACACTGACCAATATTACTATAACTAGGACAAGTGCTTTGGTTATTATATGCCATAATTATTCTAGATTTGTTTACACGATATCCTTAGATATTGTGTTGTATAATTTTTAAAGGCATACTATCTGAAAAACAATCAGATTTGTCGATGATGTGTGTTAAAGAGATCATGTATCTAGCCAGTTAAATAGAGCTGATACAGATGTATATGTGTACTATACTAAACAGTTCATGTTTTGATTTATCAATTTCATCACATTCACAATTCTGTATGTAGTTGGTGACTTTTATATTCAGTTATTGGTTTTGTTTAATAACAATAACTATTTAAATTAGTAAAACTTATGCACTGTTTAATAATCTACTCGAATGTTTGTACCAGCTGCAATGTTAGAATGTATATATGGTCATTAGTAATACATTTAAAAACTAACACATTTATCAATTGTAAAAATCAATATTTGATGAATTAACAAAAAAAAAAAAAAAGAAGAAAAAACAAAAACAAGATTAGGGGTAGCTAGCAAAGCACCGTTACCCTTAAATAAGAAAAAAAAACTTTATAACACTGAATACAAACTTAAAGATAATCCACACCCACTACATTTTAAGTACATTTCATATATGAGCAAAAATATGTTTTGGAAGATAAAATGGATACAACTTTATATAAGGAATAAATATTAACTGATATTTTAGTATCGTCAATAAATATATGAATGGTTCTAATAGTTTATCTATCAATTCAAACCATAAATCACACATCTTATACAGAAATGATGTATTGATACATGGTTATGACTGTATCAAACAATACATTGTGTTTGTCAATAATTGTCAAATAAAACATTCATGATAAAGCCTAAATATTGAGAAAAAAAAAAAAAAATTTTACGAACCCCATAAATAATTGACACAAGCTCAAAGAAAAATTCCTTTCTCTCTACATTTACACAAGAATTTTACATATGTATAAAAATGACACAAAAACATTCATAGAATGAAACATTCATGATTCCATTTGCACAAATAAATGAGAGTTTAAATGGAAATTCACTGCAGAGTGAGGTAACAAGGTACACATCAGAATAACAAGCCTTGTGTTACTTTACATCAAACACAAGCAAATCAAATTCCTAGAAACATGTTGTATATACACATCAACATCACAGGTTTTGTAGTCACAACAAACTCATTGATAAAAATCACAACAAACAGTCTTGCTCCAAACGTTCCTGGTCCTTCATACTGATTATTTAAGTCATCACACAAAAACAAGTTTGAAGTCATAATTAAATGAATATCATATGATGGCACTTTTAACCTTAACCTAAACCATGACCTGAAGCTACTTTTTGATTGCCATGTACATTTTCTGATAAACACTAAATCTCAAACTACTTCAAACTAGAGCTATGCAAGTGTGAAATTATACTACCCAATTTTTTTTTTTAAGCAGAAATCATTTTGAAATTTTTTGCTACTATAAATGACCTATTGCTACTCATCAATGGCAAGTATCAAAATTAACCGGTATTCAAAACTGGCCATGATTGGCAATTTTATGTCTGATGACCAAATCTCATTCAGTATAACAAAATATCTTACAAAAATGAGATATATAATCATTGAATGTTGACAACTTTGTTTGATAATTATTTTAATTACATTCATCACTCAAACATGAAATAATATCTTAAAAGATTATATATCAAATTATTACATACTAGTCTACATATTAAAATGTACATCTGAAAAAGAATAATCTGACTACCGGTATTACAATCTTGTCCCATTATCTGGTCACAGATGACTAACCGAATTACAATTTAGTCATTAATACTAGAAATGAGAGAGGCTGTACTATAAAGACCGTAATTGTAATGTACAGTTGTTTTAACACTTTTAATACATCAATTTCACATGTCACAAGAAATCCTTACTAACATAATGCATCGTGTCTGTGTAACCTTTGCACTTTGAACTCTCCTTGATTACGGTGCTGCTAACACTTTATTTGACCCAAGCCTTTACTAAGAGTATTGTTTTTGTTCTAGTAAAGGTATAACTAGTGACAGACTTTAGTTTTTGACCTGAGAGCATCTTGTATTCATGACTTCAGTCAACTACACTAGATATATCTTATTTCAACTGCCATTTTTTTTTATTTTCTAAATTTAGATATAAACAGGTGGAATATTGAGTTATTAGATAAAATATTTATACAATGTCTTAAAAGTACAAAGCTTATTCACATTTTACACAATATGATGAGAAGATTGGTATAAAGTCCATTTTGTATTTTGTGAAATGAATGTTTACACAAGAGAGGTGATCACCAGCATGGAGTCTGTAATACAGGCAGCAATCACCATAGGTGAGTTTCACGGATCTCTCCAATAATGTGACTTGCTCTTTGTAAAGCCTGAAAAGAGTAAATAAGAAAAAAATTATTCATTATCACTCCATTCATCATTCATATTTCTCCACAAGGCCAAAGGCATCAATGAATACGGATTACATATCAAATAAAGTGTCCATCAAATTTACTCAATGTATCTATTAAGGAAAGTTAATGGATGATATCAAAAGAAATATTATAAGAAGTTGCTCAAATTTAGTTGCGGTGTATATATTACGTAAAGTGTTAAAACACTTGCTGGATACAAGGTTGCAGAACAGTTGCTGGATACAAGGTTACAGAACACTTGCTGGATACAAGGTTGCAGAACACTTGCTGGATACAAGGTTGCAGAACACTTGCTGGATACAAGGTTAAAGAACACTTGCTGGATACAAGGTTGCAGAACAGTTGCTGGATACAAGGTTACAGAACAGTTGCTGGATACAAGGTTACAGAACAGTTGCTGGATACAAGGTTACAGAACACTTGCTGGATACAAGGTTACAGAACAGTTGTCCGATACAAGGTTAAAGAACACTTTCTGGATACAAGGTTACAGAACAGTTGCTGGATACAAGGTTACAGAACAGTTGCTGGATACAAGGTTACAGAACACTTGCTGGATACAAGGTTACAGAACACTTGCTGGATACAAGGTTACAGAACAGTTGGTGGATGAATGTGTGAAAGGAATCTGCTAGGACAGAAATGATTTGTAATGGTAACTGATATGCAATGGTTCAGAATGGAAACCAAGCTATACTAGTTATAAGATAAAAACTGTAGGTTCTGTAAGTTCTTCATCATTAAGAATTGATTAAATTTGATACCTTCAGCATGTCCTGGGCCTCCTTACGGCGTGCTGCGATGTGATCAGACTCCTCAAGTAGATACTCAAATTCTTCTTTCTTGTACAGTTGACTGACTAACTCACTCTGTAAGTTGTCTTTGACATGGTTTACCAGGAAGTGCATAATAGCTTTTGGGATGGTATCCTGGATGTTCTTACGTACAATGAGGAAATATGACCGGATCAGACACTCTGTAAGCAAAAGAAAGAATGTTTAACAAACAGCATCCTAGAAATTCTGCTTAATTATCTCACTGATAAACGACACTGGTATAAATCCAGATATTCAAATTTTAAGTTACTTTTTGTTAAATAATTAACCATTCCTTAAAATTAATGAAAATAAATTAAACTTTATTGTGATAGAGAAATTTAAATTTAATTCATTTTTTCACAGATATGATCCCTTCTAATTATTTCATCTGGTATTGTGCCACTAATAATGCCACTACATACATTTGATGAAATAGATTTCTATTGAGATTATTGGCAGGTAATGTATTGTGATAGTAACAATATTACATAAATAACATACCAATTACTTCACAATCCCTCTTCTCTCGTGGTGAAAGTTTTCTTGATATTTCTGATGTGGGCTGTGGAATTCCAAACAAAAACACAAGGATTACCAGAGATTAAAGTAGAAATTCATAACAGCTAAAATCCAATTATTGAGACCATGAAACAAAAGAACCAAAATTTGACTGATACTTTTCTGTTTTATTTTCTATTTCATACTGAAGAAGCAAAACAGAGGGTCTTGAGTAACTTTCTATGTTGAGGTAAGGTCATGTTTACATTTTGATCTTGTCAGAGGATTCAGATTATATACTATGTTTGAGTTTATTCTGGTGTTCATCTATAACTCACTGACAGCAGGAATGCATTTAGTAATACCAGTATTAAGTTACAGGCCCATGCTTTTTTGGTTTCTCTATTCTATCTTATGTTTGTATCAAATTACCTGTACTTAAAAAACAAAGCTGGTAACGGTAAAAATCTAAGTGAAAAGTGACTTACAGGAGCATTTAGTCAATAACTCATATCTCATATGGAAATATTTCAAGAGGGACTAAGACACAAATTATGATACTTATAACATGATATTGTATTCTATTTCCCTACATGTAAAAACTTATCAGAAATTTGCTCTCAACAACATATACCAGTTCAGAAAAAGACATAAAGCTTGGACTATTATATAGCACACACATGAACTTTTTTTAAAAATTGAAGAATTTATTTCATATCTACAAAATACTTGTAAGATAAGTAATTTTGTAAATGGCATGTTCATTTCAATTCAATAAAACCATTCTAGTAATCTCACTAATGATATTCACACAATTAAGTCTGTCGAGTCAATGGAAAATGTTTTTCAATGTATATAAAATGTACCGCTAGATCAGAAAAGTTTTCATCATATAGCATGTGAAATTCTTCTATACACAACCAAAAATCAGATATTCTTGCATCTAATTCCCTTAAAGGAAAAATATAAAATGACAGTGTTAAACACATGTAAAAAGTGAAGCAGCCACAGACTTAACATTTACAGGACTGACGACAGAATACAAAACAAAATTTTAAGCACGGGACTAAACCTCTTTTCCATTTAATACACTTACTTCATTTTCACACATAGATAATGGTATTGCTACAACTTTAATTTCATTTGACAGAAAGATGTCAGCAATTCAAAGTTTAAAAAATTTCAATGAAAATCAACATATAAGTAGATAGTACAATATTACAGATTTCTGTACTCATGAAATATTTTTGTAAATTAATGTCTAATTACAACAACAACAAAAAATTCACGAAATTTTATCGTTCACTAACGGCATATCCTATCTACATTTCCCTTAAAGAAGTTATAAGAAGACTGGACATTTGGATCATAAGACACAATTTTTCCCCACAAAATAGACTTCAATCTTGAATATATATATATATATATATATACTGTGACAAAGGAAGGTTTAACTGTTTTTGTCTTTGTTAAATTCAATTTCTCTTCACTGACTTCATAATATATATAGATATATACATCATACACCAACGTAATGTATCAAATCATTACAAAGTCACTATATCGCTTGAAAAAAGATTAACGGCACTCAGAAAATGCAGATATATATAATTATTTAAAAAGAGTGCAAGAATTAAGCAACACTGTTATAAATATTATTTCATAATTAAAATTTTGGAAGTTGTGAACATCTAGGTAATATTGCTAAATTGCTTGAAATAAATAATTCACAAGCAAAACAAGATCTTAATCCATGGCAAAAGAAAAAAGAAATTTCTTACAAATATTATTGCATTATGTATTGACAAAAAAAAATCTGAAAAAAAAAACAACAAAGATCATCAAAACTTCTAAATCTTCTACGTCAGATTATGGCTTATATAAAAGTCATTGGACAGTTAACATACTGGTATTTATACCTGGACCCTATGATCTCATACACAACACCTGCTGATTAACCTGCTACTGCTGTTTTACTGCAGATAACAAATCTGAATGCTACAGATGGGTAACCGATAAAATAGTGTTAAAGAACATAAGTTTTCTTTTCTAGCATTTAACAAATATATCACAATCATGCAGTAGTTTCTTTTTTCTCCACTTTTTTGATCTTCATCTAATCAGTATCTGAACTCGGAGAGAAACTTGATTCCAACTGTTGTACAAATTTTGATATCCAACATTTTTATTCGTTACAATTTATCAGCCAAAATATGCATGCAAACACATACATATAAAAAAATAAACGAACAATAAAATGATACCAGTAAGAAAAAAGGATTTAAGCAAAATAGTTATAATGAAAGTGCAAGATATGTACACATACTTTGCAAAATTCCAACTGCAAAGAAAAAAAATTCAAAATCAAAACCAAATTATCATGTATTTTTCCCATTCATTCTGATATTAAGTTATTCACATTAATTTGAAGTATTTGAAAACATTTTGATAATAAGGAATGTTACAGAAGTAGAGAGTACATATATTGCTGGTTTTCAGAAGATGTGATTATTCTTCTGTTTTGAAAAAGGTCTTTTAAATGAAATGTTTTAATATCATCCCCTAGATCTTTTAAAGACTTGGAGTATTTGATTCTGTTTTTCAGTTTTAGTCTCTTAAATTGTAGTTGTTTGTCTTTAGGTTAGATCTATCTATACACACCATCAAAATAGGTGAGAAATAATAAAAAGGAAGTTGGCCCCCTCTATCAAGGACTGGACAGTTAGATATTTACCTACTTCCTCCAAACAAATTGGTTAACAAAAATTCGTAATTATCAACTGACTGGTCAGTGTATTTACCACATCAGACAACAGGCTGATCCTAAACCTTACAGGTCAGTGTACTTACCACAACAGATAACAGGTTGACCCCTGACACTTAGTGGTCAGTGTACTTACCACATTAGACAACAGGTTGACCCTAAAACTTACAGGTCAGTGTACTTACCACATCAGACAACAGGTTGACCCTAAAACTTACAGGTCAGTATACTTACCACATTAGACATCAGGTTGACCCCTCACACTTACTGGTCAGTGTACTTACCACATCAGATAACAGGTTGACCCCTGACACTTACTGGTCAGTGTACTTACCACATCAGATAACAGGTTGACCCCTGACACTTACTGGTCAGCGTACTTACCACATCAGATAACAGGTTGACCCCTGACACTTACTGGTCAGTGTACTTACCATATCAGATAACAGGTTGACCCCTGACACTTACTGGTCAGCGTACTTACCACATCAGATAACAGGTTGACTCCCTTCCTACTATGAGCTGGGGATCCTGCCACACTACTGGGAGCACTGGCTGTCCCCACCTCCAACTTGTCCATACTTTTGTTTTTGATTATGTTTGTTAAGTTCCATGTGTTTTCCTTTGCTGCACTATTGAGAACCTGAAAATGTTTACAGTCACTTATTAACAAATTTTCTGCTGACAGATCTAATTTCCTTTTTTCCTTATAACTACTTAATCCATTTAAGTTAATAAATCTTTGAAGCTCACACACTATAAATATCTAATTAAGAAAAGGTTTATGAAACATGGATATGCAACCCCCCCTTTGTTATGAGGAAAATAAAAATACTTTAAAATTTGTCATCTGGTTCACTTGATCCACAATTACATATCTGTTAAGTGTATTTCCCCAAAAATGTTTGGTAATAAGCCCAACCATGTCTACAGCTGTTCAGTAAAAATCCTAACAATTGCTATTACATTGTCTTGCAATAAGCCCACACCCTACTATGAATCAAGCTATATATTTTGATCCCTTATCCTCTGTTGTAAGGATACGTTGACTACCTTTTTGTCCTTAGGACTGTCTCTATTCTCCTCCTTTTGTTTAGAATCCACCAGTTCCTTATGAAGATTTTTTGGAAGCTCCGTGTTATCCGTCATGCTTTTCTGTACTAAATTGGCCTCATGGAAATCTGGGTGTTTGGTGTTGATATAAGCTAGTTCTATACCTACAATGTTCTCCACCTGTAAAACAAACACTGTGTTAAAGCATATTGCAAAACTCTCCACATCAAAATATCATAAAATTATACTGTTTATTTTGGCAGCTTCAATTTAGCTATTTCAACAAGAGGCCCATAGAGATTGTATCACTCACTGGTTTTGATTGGCTGAAACCACTTTATCCCAACTAATGGAAAAAAAGTCTGAAGATTTACATCTATTTCACCCAGGGCCCCATTATTCTGCCCTTGAGGGTTGATGGGTCCCTTCATTAAAGAATGCTTCATTTATACAAAATTGGTTCCCCTTCCCCAAGGATGCTTCTGACCTAATTTTGCCAAAATCCAGTTATTCTTCACTAGTACTACTTTTTCTAAAAAGTTGCAAGACACCATGTCATTGCTTAAGCTCACCAGTCCTTTGTTTCAGGTGAGCTACAATTGTTTGGAGTCTTACTTCATTCAAATAAATAAATATACATAGATATCTCTCAGAAAATTACACCGTTGAGCTGATTTTGATGACTGAGTTTTTTGTCATCAGCATACAATGTCAATAAGTTTGTTACCATAAATAATTCATAATTAGTTGTTGATGTCCCATTGTTTACCATTTCCAAAGTCAAATTAATGTAATATTTAAATTTGGCAATGACTCCAGGCAACCAGTTGGTACCTTGGTAACACTATGAAGTCATATGCAGTTGAGTTCTTGTACTTACCATGGTGTTTGTAGGAGGGAGTCTACGGCGTAAAAGTTGTGTAACAACATCAATAATCTTCTCGTGGAGTTTAGGAAATCTTAACATCTCTTGCTGTTGAATGAAAACAGACAAAAATTATACATATGTACACATTATACATGGATAAAAACAACAATATTTCTGTCTAAGATATGAAAATAAAGGTATGCATGCCCTGATCCGAGAGAGAGAGAGACAGGAACTTTAAGAATTTGATTTTTGAAATTCACATCCAAACAAAAAATAAGGAAATGATTGTCGGTGAAGTAAAATAAAGAATAACTAATCTAAGTTTGCTTCCAATTAACAATTCCTGGACCTGGGGGAAGAAATAACTGAGTTATTTAGTGTTTTCCTATCCATTATACATACTTGAGTGCCACAGTGTTGAATAATCCGCTGCATTTCCTCGTGAACAAGTTCTACACACCGAAGACTTGGCTCCTCCAAACGCCGAATTTGTCGCTTTACTAACAACTCAAATGATACTTCAGGTACAAAAAGTGCAGGTCTTGGACCCTGAGTAAAGAAAGAGTCCAGTGTTAATGAATAACTGGTTGACTGTGATAGTAATTATATACATCTCACCCTGTAAGTCTTATCACAAGGACAATGCAAAATCATCGATCTTATAAACAAATATCACACGGTGTAAAACCGTAATTTTTTCAAATGTCTAAACTGCAAATTCACTGAAGGTTAAAATATATTACTATGTATTTGGTAATACCAATTTCTTTCATAACTAAAGTTTGAAGTCATCAATTTCTAAAGGATCTTTACACTAACAAGAACAAAACTGACGGTACAGAACAGGTAAACATCAACTTGAGTCAGACTAATCATTGAAGACATGTAAATATCAACATGACACTGGCTAATGGATGAAAACAGGTACACGCCATCTTGAACCAGACTGATGTCTGAAGACATCTGAACATCCACTTGAATCAGACTTATCATTGAAGACATGTAAACATCAACTTGAACCGAACTGATTGTTGAAAACAGATTAACATCTACTTGATCAAGACTAATTGTTGAAGACTGGTAAACATCAACTTGAAATGATGACTGGAAACATGTAAATATTAACTTGAGCCAGACTGATGGCTGACGACATGTAAACATCAACGTGAATCAGACTGAATGTTGAAGACAGGTAAATATTAACTTGAACCAAACTGATGGTTGAAGACATGTTAGCATCAACTTGAGCCAAATTAATTGTTGAAAACAGGTAAACATCTACTTGATCAAGACTGATTGTTAAATACTGGTAAACATCAACTTGATTCAGACTTATTGTTTAAGACCTAAACATCCACTTGAATCAGAAACATGTAAACATTAACCTGAGCCAGATTGATGGCTGACGACATGTAAACATCAACTTGAATCGGACAAATTTTTGAAGACATGTAAACATCAACATGAATCAGACTGAATGTTGAAGACAGGTAAATATTAACTTGAACAAAAATTATGGTTGAAAACAGGTAAACATCAACTTTATCAAGACTGAATGTTTAAGACATGTAAAAAACATGGACTTGGATCGGTTGAAAGAAAGAACAGAAATGATATTTTTCACTATATCTAAAGTGAAACATCAACTAACATCAAACCTGAAGTTATGAAGAAATCATCAATTATACTGAAGAATTCAGCTTGAAGGATCGTAGACATCCAACTTACTGTTGCATTCCTGATAGCTGTAAGAATGTCCATTGTTGTTAAGCCCACAAGTGGGTTTACAGATTCTAATGTACGACCAAATGTTTCGTGAAATATATAGCATATCCTAGCTCCACCACATCTGAAATCAGAAGTATTAGAACTTGGAAGTGTCTGAAGTATGAAATGACAGAACAAAACTGTCACTTAATAAACTATGACTTGATAACTGTAGTCTGGTTGTATGTACATTGAAAAATAACTAGTGCACTGAAAATTCCAAACGACTAAAATATCCTGCAGATTTTATAAGTATACTCAAACAGGAACTCTCTATAGTTATAGTATAACCAATATATAGTCAGGTCACTGCTTACATATGTTACAATGTACTGACCATTCAATGCTGCACACATGTGATAACTAATCTAATAAAACTCAAGTTAACAAAAAAAAAATAGAATTCAATGTTTGATAGTTATCTGTTTACTCACAATTCTGTAGTTTCAATAAATTTTGAGGTTCCCTCTATTGTGCTGCAGTAAGCAGATGCAAATCGTGTGATAATCTGTAATAGCAGCTGACCCTGTGGGAGGAACAAACATATACACATACAGAGTACAAACCAGAGACACAAAGTAAACTAATTTAGTGTATGTCTTGGTACTTAGATAAAACTTATCAATCTGGGTCAATATCTTTACACTTTTTCTCTAAGACTGCCTTAAATAATGTCATTCAACAGAAAATTGAACTATGCGACCTGAGGCTAAAATAGTGGTCCTAGGTCAATATGTGTTTCTACAGAAATTAACATCATGGGCTGTCCTGTGCTGTTCAAAGGTAGCAACCAGCTACTGATAGGAGACCCAACCTCAAAATGACCCTATGTCTGACTGCTCACGAGATAACACACCCCACAAACAAACCTTTCATGTGTGAACAATTAAAACAAATACTACATGAAAAGTGAATATTTGCACATTTATTGATATTTCAGAATTATTCTACATTTGATTATCAAAATTTTATAATATCATTACCCCTTGTATCAGGACAGTGTTGGATTCTATTATAGACAAAAATGTTTGATATTAATTCAGAGAATGAGAAATCTGAAATCATTCAAGTGATAGTCTAAAAATAGAGTGAGCCTTAACTGCCTTATTTGTTGATGACATATGCTTATGCACCTAAATACACACGGAATACATAAAATCTAATTGAAGAGATATATGTAATTGACTGTGTTGATACCTTATCTTCAACAGGATCTCCAAATGAAATGAGAAGGGATTGGAACTGGGCCATAAGAATGTTCACACGTGTCTTTAGCTCTGGTAAGCAATCTCGTATATGGTGCATTAGTAACTGAAAAGGAAAAGGAATGAAAACTGAACATAACATGTTGTTATACAGGCCAAATGGGCCTGTATCACTCACCTTGTATTCAAAACTTGTTGAAAGTACATAGCATTTCACATAATTGACATCAAAAGTCTTTGTGCATGAGAAAAGAGTTCTGAAGGGTTGAAAAAAATTGACCTTAAATATGGGTCACGGTCAGTTATTTTCCCAAACTTTGCCAGCCTTTATTCAAGGATTTCTCTAGCCAAATATCATTACTCTTGGCCTCTTCGGGCCAGATGAGCTAAAACTGAAAGAATCAAATACATAATTGTGTACATGCCAGAAACTGTCTCAAGTATTGAGACACATGGTACAATGCATGTATATATGTGAATGACACCCTGTGATAATTAAAAATTGATACTTTACTGAGAAGTGATCAACAATAGGTATAAAATTGACCACTTCTTTATATACCTACTCTATTCAATGTCTTTGCGAGGTAATGAGTGCCATTTCTACTGGCTATGGATGGGTACTTCTTCTGTAAAAATGCACCCTCATCTTTCACAGCAGATGTTAAATCCTGGAAAATGTAGCAAACTGGCATGTAATTAAACCGTTAATTAATAATCAGCCATCCCTGAACAGGTGATTAAACAGTGAGTACCAGTATTTGTATGTTTCATTTGTTTGTCAATAAAATCAAGCAGCATCTGAATCTTCAATGACTTTAGAACATGATAGCACGTCCATCACTCATCACAGTAACTGAAACTCAAAACCTAGTATACGATAGATAATATCTGTGATCTAAAATGTGTCTCCACTCATAAAAATATCTTAGACCCCAACCATAATGAATGTAACTGACCCCAACCATAATGAATGTAACTGACCCTAACCATAAAAAATGTAACTGACCCCAACCATAACAAATGTAACTGAGTATGTTCGGTAGATTCCTTGCTGTAAAAAACTTTTCTTATTTAGTGTTGTTTCAGGAATATATTGTGACTTGTCTTATTCTTTTTGTACCTTTTCACATGTATCCATGTAAATATTTCTTTCCTTCTATTTTCCCTTTATTCACTGATATGAAGATTTGTTAACATATATAGTATACAGTCATAAATGAATCTGCTTTCCTCAAATTTTAGCCAGTTAATATCTAATCAACACACATGTAAATACTTACCTTTGCTGAATTGATATCAGCCTGGCTGCGGTTGACTACACCTATGATGCCAAGCTTTACTGGGATAACACGTCCACATAACACATCCATAGCATCTGTTCCATGGTCCATTAAATCAAGCTTGGTCACCACAGCCAGAGTGCGACGACCTGAAAAAAGGGAATGGCTAGTATTACGATTTATGGGTTGGTTGAGTATATAAAAGAATGGAAATTCTTACATTCCAACAAATAACAAAAATTAAAATCTGGTGTTTCCATGACTACACTGTCAATTCCATCACATTAAATGACAAAAGTGACGGTGTTTGTTTGCTAAGTTTTGCAACACTTCATGAAAAACCAGTATCATTTTCAGACAGGATCTCCTTTTTGCAGTTGGTGGCCATTTCACTGAACAGAACAGGGGACAGTTTTCAAACATCATTTACTTATACTCTACAGGTTTCCATACATAGCTGAAAACAGCTGTTACCACCTTGGCATTTGTGAAGTATATGAAGGCATTTCAATGTCCCTACCAATATAACAACACAGATAAAACATACACAGGAATGGGGGAGCAGAATACAATACAAACTCATAGTCCTTTCTGTTGGTAACTGTCAGAGATCAGTAAAAGTGAACACCCCTACATACCATCTGCATCTACATCTTTGGCCAGTTTCAGTGCCTCTGATGTAGCCATGTCTGTGTTGGCTGCTGTTACAGCTAAAATGATTGAGTTTGGGTTGCTAATGTATTTTAAGCAGAGGTCATATATTTGTCCCTCGATGTCTTGAGGCTGATCTCCTACAGGAACTTTGGTCATCCCTGGCAAGTCAACCAGGGTCAGATTCACAATCTTTGGTGAGTATATCTTCAAATTGATTGGTTCAGGACAAATTCCCTGTAGGAAACAGACAAATAAAATCTCATTCAGCTGATGTGCAAATTATAGTAGCTTCAAAGAGAATTTTATCAATAAATAACTTGAGCATACAATATCATTATGCAATCTATTGTGTGAAGTGAGTCTAAATGTGATTTCTGAATATCCAGATGGAATTACAGCAATATTGTTAGATAGACTAATGAGAGGCGTTACTGTTAACTGACTCATGTGTATGCTATCATTAATTTTTAACCCTCTTTCATCATTGTATACACAAGTTGTATGTATTCTTATTTCATTGTGACCACAAACTGTAATAAATTGTTTATGTATCTTAACATTTTAACTAGTAAATTTCTCAGCACTTTTGTTATCATTTGATGAAAATGAATGTGCCTTAAGTTAAAAATGATCTTTATGCTTATATTGACTGGTTGAATATAGAGATGTCAATTCCATCGAAAATTAACTATTTGAATATTTGTCATATTCAGTATTCAAATATTTGTTTTCGTGCCTACTCCATATGGTACATAACTTTTATTCCCAAGAGCAGTAGTCATGACATACTAGGTCTAAGTATTGTACTGGTAATAAACATTTTATCAGTGTAGAACACGATTGTACCTACAATGATCAAATTATGGTGAAAGCACAACTTAATTAGTTTATATAAAAAAGGTAAGTTGTAATAAGTAAAATCAAGATATATTAATAAAAGCTTTTTTCCAGTAATTTCAGCCCCAAAAATATTTTCACAAGTTACACAGTTGTGTTAATTGCACATGTTTTTTATAATAATAAAGAGTGTGTAGATTTAGTCATTGTTACTGAGTGGTATATCTCTCTAATGATAAAGAGTGTGTATATTTAGTCAGTGTTACTGTGTGGTATATTTCTGTAATGGTAAAGAGTGTGTAGATTTAGTCAGTGTTACTGTGTGGTATATTTCTGTAATGGTAAAGAGTGTGTAGATTTAGTCAGTTACCAAGTGATATATATCTGTCATGGTAGTGTGTAGACTTTGTCAGTGTTACTGAGTGGTATATTTTACAAGTCAGCAGTTGTCAACGAAGCAGAAGACATTTACTCTGCTGGAACACCACCTCTTTTTCTCCTAGTACTTTTTCAGGAATCTGTGAGTAAATCTTTGTTTTGTTGATATTTTGCCCTATTTTCATTGAATTTGAGTCAGAATTATGATTATGTGTTCACATGTTGGTGGTATTTTCTTGTTGTTTTTATTTGACATATTCTAAGCAGCTTATTTTCACTCGTCATTTTCTACACCTCAACTTCACAATGGTTTTTTACCTTGTTTATTCCAGACATGCGATCTGTTTCATTTTCTATTTCCCGTCTGATCTCAGTAAAATCAGTATAAATCTTGTCTTTCGTGTGTAAGAATTTTCCCCATTCTTCATCCTTAATAGTCCCTGAAATCATGTAATCAGTCTAATCATAAAAAGGGAAACTCTGCTCTTTTGAGAACAAAACAATTCTAGGACTATATGCACTTGTCAATAACACTTGTAATTAGTTACATTCTTGATTCTAATTAACTACAAATGAAACACAACACTTTATCGACCAACGAAGTTAATTTGCAATAGTATAACAATGATATACAGTCTGCAAATTTTGTCATTCGCATCTAGCTCATATGACAACTGTTAATAATGTCAATGATAGTAAAACTGTGGCACTATAATCACGATATTCCAACGCAAATTTCAAAACATGAATACAAAAAAATCTAAAAATCTAAAACTAAAACCAGAAAACAGTTTATCCGCTTACCTCCACCTTCAATTTTTCTGGCCTCAGTATCATTTTTGGAAACATGGACGAGCTGCAGCACCAGAGGGCGCCTTGTCACAATGCCCGTCCCACGAGGGAGAAAGTCACGCCCAACAAGGCTCTCTACCACAGAACTTTTGCCTGAACTCTGGAAGCAAATTTAAACATTAAGAACATTAGATTAAAACAGATCCACTCAACCTATGATTTATATTCTAATAACTAGCCCTTGTTATTAAACCAATATGTCATTTTCCACATATAGTTAGAAAAATTGCTGTACTGTTCTACAAGGACTGGTAAGCCCATTGGCATTGTCAGTATAATATGACCAAGGGGAGTGCTGTGATTAGTACAGTGTTCATCAGACCATGACACATTAGTGTGACAGCATCTGTCATGCAGTGACCCCATCATACAATGTCACCTTCACATATGACCATGGCTGTCGCCAAACAAACACACCAATTATTAACTTCTTGTCAATTTATTATTTTCTTTCTAAGATCGAGCATCTTATGCTATTGAGGCTAGATCTTCTTGTTGTAGCTGGCGACTACATCACTAACAACATATAGAAGGTATATTGTATGCTATCCACTTCAATTAAAAAGAGCCTTGTTCATTAGCACAACCACATCAGTGCATACTTATCCCTTCCTCAATTTTCTGAGAAACACAGGCCTCTACTGGCAAGACATACCAAACCATACACCTCATATCATCAACTGAGCTTACTGGGCCAGCACCCTAACCAAATGAGCAATGGAACATTTGTATAGCTTTGTTATTAGAACACTAGAAGTAGTGATTTTAACCCTACCAAAAAGCAAACTTGTGCAAGATTGGCAGAAATGATGGTTTACAAAAACAAGTCTAGAGAAAAGTGGTGGCCACTGTAATTAGACTGGAAATACTTTGCTTGCAATATATAATTGCTTTGACACATACGTAAGTTAGAAGACAATGTTATGCCTTTCCATCAATGTATCATTCGTAACTATTGCTGTATTGTAAACTATATACTAAAACGTAATGTTGCTAATAATTGGAACTCCAGAACTTACGCTCAACCAATCCAGTTAGAAAGTAGTTCTCTCTAGCCGAGCTGTATATCGCAGCTAATATTTACCAGGGTTGCATAACCCTCCAGGAAATAACTTGTCCTAAAGTTTCCAGTGGTTACAGCAATGCTTGTGGGACATGGCTATGAATTCCTAAGTCTCAACATGGGTGCCAATGCAACTGAAGTCATTATTTATATCAATGCCTCTGCTAAGATTCAAACCCAGAACTGCTGGTTTACTAGTCTGACACTCAGTTGATCAAGCTAAAGATAGGTTCTCTCCAGCCGAGCACTGCATTGCAGCTAGTATTTATCAGTATAGTATTTAAATATTGTCTCAATACAGATTCATGCACGGATAGATAGTCAGAAGCATTCAGACTAACTGCACATGTACATGGATCAGAAGCTCAGCAACCCTGACTTATATATATATAAAGTTGATTGAACGTCAGAATAATTCGGACTACTGTAGTAGGCTGTGTATGAACGCCAAAGAGACCAAAATATCAAATGTGTATGGTAATAAATGGCTATAAAAAGGGATTTCCAAAGAAATATTTCCACTTTCTTTTTCGTTTTAATTATATCTTCTTTTATGTGTTTGAAGTAATTTGCAGAATTCTAAAATCACTACTATTCGGCTATTGGACTATTGCGGGATACTATTCCTTAACACTGTTTACATTTCACAACGTAGCAAAAGTAACTCTTAGTTATAATCATACAAACAATTTCGTTTTACATGACATTGAAAAAACACTGAAACATTGCTGTTGCTTCTCTTTTCCAAAAATTACCTGATTGCCAATTACAACGATCTGTGGCAATAATATCGTCTCAGACCCCACTGTATTGAAGACATCTTGCAATTTATTAATAACTGGAATCAAACCTTCCATTTCGTCTTGGTTTTCCTCACAGCATCGGGATACTTGTGAAAATGGCTGGGTACAGACCGGTTTCAACTACTTCCGGGCTATAACACAAGAAGTAGTGACGTAGTACACATCGTCCTTATGCTTTGCCTTCACTCCACAAAGCTACTGTACGAAAACGATTTATATGTAGAAGATAAACAACAGAAGTAGATATTAAGGTAGGTAAGAAAATAGAGATGAGATCATCGATGATAAACAACTTCTTGGGCATTTCATAAGCCAAAATGTTGGTCAAAGTTGTCATTGTGCATGATAAGGCGTTACATTTTTAGTAAGTTGAGTTTGTTGCTAAAATTACAGTTTTACTCAAACATGTTAAATTTCATTTTTAATCAGAAGAAGTATTCATGCATACATTGTGAATGAACAGTTCAAAGGTTGAAGGTATTGGTCAACAGCAGGAATGTTAACATATACATTTTGTCGGAGAATGTTAGCACGAGCTTGTCTGAAGGAGTACCCATGGAACATAATGATCAAGGGATCAGACAGTTTACTAATCTCAAAACTTTGTGCACATATCATATACACATGTCCCTTTTACTATATCAGAGATTATGTCCATCATATTTGATCTGTTACCACGGAAACAATTTTTTGGTGTTTTCATACAGAGAGCTGTGAGCGGTAATGTTATATATACCTTTGGTACTTTTGTTTATTTAATTTTTCATAGAACACTCATGTGAAATTTATATTGTTTGTTTGTTAATTTTTTTTAAAGAGTTAATTTCTGTATTTTCCAGTTATGCTGTAAATTTTTCAAAGTGCACAACTCCTGCTAGACAACCTGTGAAATTTCAAACGGCAAAAATGGTAAGTACATATATATAATGATATATATGGTGGCATGATTTTTTATGTAGTCTTTTAACTTACCATAAACTGATTCAATTTTGAATTTTTGATATTCACATGTAAAGTGAGTCTATTTGGTCAATATGCAGTGTTCAGTATGGCCCCCGACACTCAACTGACAGAGCATATGCTGTCTGTGCTCAAATTGCAGTGAATTATTTTTGAGACAGCTAGATTTGATTTAGGTCTGTTGCGTGACAGGAATGTCTTTTCCCTGTTTTTACATATATTACACACATATATTTATTTACTGCGTTTCAAATTACCATACAATGTACATCTGTAGAATAGTATTAAATTAGATACCTCTGTCCCAGCTATTAGTTTTGATATATGAATAAAGTCATAGATGGTTTCAAGATGTGCTGCATTTAATTATCTAAATGTTAAGGAATGTACATTTTATCATTTCTGGTGCATTTCTACATCTTCAGCTTATATAATGCTATATTTGTCCAACATCACCTATAACTATAGAATATGTACCACAGAAAATTATCAAATTATCAAAATATAGTTATTTTTCTGAATTATCATTATTACATTGAAAATTATACAAATTTCAAATGTTAAAAAACAGTTCAGTGTATAATTAATGATTGATGATATCACCAATTGATTGTAGTGATATCACTATAATGAAGTTATATAACATTTTCTGTCATTGTACATGCACAGGATATATACAGGATATTTAATGGTTTCCCTTATAATATGTATATTTCATGAGTATCACAGAATATCTATAATTGTCTGACGTAGAATATCGTCAAAATATCAAATATATTTATCCGTGACTTAAAAATGTAGATATATTCTGTGGTACTCATGAAAAGTATGTATTTAATGAGAAATCATTAGATTTTCTTTTTAATGCATTTTTAATTGGAAAAAAGAGGGGGTGGGGGTGGGGGACTTTCCTGGGCTATAACTGCAAAACTTTCAAAATTTCACAAAACTTGGTGGTTGGTACCCCAGTTGTGCCTTTTTTTCATTTTTTATATATTTTTTTTCTGATACCATGGAAACAGCCAAAAAACACAAAATTTGTTTTTACTTTCCTTTCCAGGCTACAACTTCCAAACCATTCCACTTAATTCTACAAAACTTTCTGTATATATTAGGGTAGTGCTCTAGTTAAATTTTTTTCTGTTGCTGTGGAAACAGATAACCCTCATCACAAAATTCAGTTTTTCTAGACCAGTGTTCTGAAACCATTCAAGATAATTACCCAATACTTATTTTGCTATGGGGAAGATCTCCGTTTAAATATTTTTCTGTTACCAAGGAAATATATAAGCTAAATCATAAAGTGAAGTTTTTCAAACCAGGTTTCTTTAACCGTCCAAGGTAATAACCCAGTAGTCGAAATTTTGTTCCGGCACCAAGCTTGTGCTCTAGTAGAAGTTCTCCATTTCAATACTTTGCATGGAACAATTAGAAATAACAAATAGAAATAAAACTTGTTATGATATTAACATATATATATATATCTTTCTTTTAAACAGGGGAGCAGGGGATAATGTCATGCTTTGTGTTATCTTGTTGTTGTGTCGTTAATTAGGTTTAGATGAATTGGCTTTATCTTCAATGTTGCTTGCTGGTTTTTGGTTTTAGAATGAGAGTTATGTCATGGTTCCTTGTTTAAAACTATACAGCTATGGCACTGGGAATTTGTTAACTCTTTACTCCACAATACATATAAATAACCTATCAATAATCCAGTGTACTTGACAAAAAAAGTGTGGTAGTTTCAACAGAATGGCGACTTTTAGACAAGCAGACAACATGATTTGGATCAAGTAACCTGTATTAGTATAGATAGGCTTAGTTTATTTTTATCTTGAATCATTTCCTATTTCAGTTAGCATTTTATGGGACAGCAGGAGTATTGTGGGGGACTTATCAACAGTCCCTCGTTAATTAGCTTATTTGTCAATATTTGTATACTGCTGTTACAAGTACAGCTTATTTGTTAGACACTGTGATCTAGTGATATGATGTTAGACTAATCATTGAAGGGTCATTAGTTCAGCACAAAAAACATATTGTGTCCACTTGACAAGAGACTTGACTGTTACCAATTGATGTAGCTGTAAGTTAAATATTTGAGTACATGGGCAGTGCTAGAAATGTTGTGTTACTTTAATTGCTAAGTGTTAGATAGCACAGATTGGAAGCTTCAGCTGTATACTTGCCAGGTAGTTCAGAAAGATAACCCAGAATATTTTTAGCCTATGTTCAGTGTAGACTAAGCCATCTTAAACAGATCAAGCTGATCTTAAAACAAGTCTGCTTTTCTATTCCATAGCCTTACAACTTAAAGTAGGACAGTTGTAGCTCAGTTCAAGTTCAAGTTATACATATATCTGTAGCTAAAAGTATCAAAAATATGTGAATGAAATTGTTATTTAGAGTTTAATCAGGTCTTTAAGACAGCAAAATTGTTGTGATACAGTGGTATTTAAAAAACCTCAAATTATGATTATAACAGGATACTTTTAACACTGGCTTATGAAAACATCAGTCTTCAAGTCAGTACTCTCACTTATGTCATTGGCTCATGGACACCATTGAGATGTTACCTTGGATACATGAGGACGGCTATTAGCCTTGATAATTAACAAAGTGAAATTAGTTGTTATATCTTTTACTGAATTATAAATATTCATTTGTTTTTCAATTTGCTTTAAATACATTCAAATAATAGAGCATTTGTCAGAAAAAAATCAGTAATTTATGACCTTTGTTTTAAGGATGTTGCATATGAACATACATTCTTATGGACTGGTCATGTATAGCAAGCCTAAACTGTGTGAAGTATCAGAGTAGGTTACAACTTTTTCTCTGTTATTTCAGAGATTCGATTTAAAATCAAATAATGACTATTGAACCCTATTTATGTATATTTAGGGTCCAGACCAATATTTAACCATATTTCGGCATATGTATGTCACAATAGACCTCCTATCTGTACATGTATACTGGAAAACAATTAATTTTCGTGGGGGATTTATCTTTGTTATATTCTTGGGTGTATTTTAAATGTATGAATTTATATGTCTAGAAAAGCAAATAGATAAAAGTTGATATGGATTAAAACAGAGTTTACGAGCAAGATTTAACAATGAAATCAAGTGCCAAAGAAAATGTATTTTTTGAGAAAACCACAAAATATGAACCTCATGAAAATGTATGATTTCAGAGTAACTTAAGATGTATATGATATAATAGCCAAGTTATCAAAGTTATTTGTTATATCATTTATACTACTATTATGAGCAGTTTTTACCAACCCAGACATGTTATTCTGTGATAAATGCACTGCATATGCAAGCAATGGTGATACAGGTCTGATGGGCCTTTTCCTTGTGGTAAACCATATTGCTGATTAGGCTGTAGCTACGTGTGGTCTTGCATGTGAGTTACCCTGGCTAGTCTGAAGTGTACATTGATTTTGACCACACACTTAATGTATATAAGACAGAACTCTTGAGCTACAGGACAGATCACAACTGCTGATAGCAACTATTATCAAATGATAATAAGTTACAAGTGGACATTATTTATAGAATTGTATATTTGGAGACTCATTACACATGTGTCTGGCAGTGGTGTGGTTTACTAATATAGGAAGTGTGTAGAAATACAAATTACTTAATCAACACATGTTGCTGAATCAGAGTGAAAGTGGAAGTAAGTCTGTCGTTTTATATTATATTTACAGGTGGTTAGGGGTAACATTTTACTGGAATGTGGATTTAATGACATAACACAAGTTAGGTGATATGTTAGATGATATGTACAGGACAAAGTTTGTGTATGTGTTAACAGGAAAGGGTGAATGAGGAATATAACAGCTTAAGATTAAAATTACCTTTGCTGAAAGATATTACACGTAATTGTGGTTAGATATCATCTGTTTATATAGTAAATTTTACCATATTCTGCCTTGTAAGTGCACTGTGTGTATAAAGCAAAAAAGGAGTGCACTCAATACCTTTGGGAGAGGAAAACTAAATGAAGGTGTGCTTATCAGGCCAAAAATAAGGATATTGTGAGTTGTGAGTTCTCATTGATACCCAGCTGGAATTTCCCTGTTAAGATAAGATAAGGACTGTTAAAGTCAACATCCACATTCTATATAGAATTATATAAAGTACAACGTTTTGTCAAAAATAAGTTACTGTATTTTATCCTACAAATAAACCAAAGTGCTAACATATTACTAATAACTGGAAGCCGGGAGGGGAGGGGGGGGGGTTGGGTGTTGGAGGTAGGGGGATGGGTCCATGGCCTATCACAGGACATCGAAATGACAGTGCTACTTATTAAAAAAGGCCAATGTATATGGATGGATGGATTATCAGAATTGAAATCATGGCCAAATTAATCAATTTTAGCCTTAAACTAACTACCTGCACTATGTATATAATGGAAAAGGAAACTGATGCATATTAGATTTTAGATAACAGTTTTACATAATTATATACTAATTAGTAAATGTTATATGCTATTAGGTACATATAGCATCTTTATCTTTTTATATTTTTTTATGTTATGTGGATACAGTATGTTATGTCTGGGAAAGCGTTTATGCTTCCATAATGTACTCTATTTGTTTTACCTACAGTCAGACGGAATAGCCAACCAGTTCCTGTTACCAGAGCGTCAGGCAAAAGTGAACCAGCTCATTAGAAGGATGGACCATACAGAAGGCCCAAGGGAACATGTTGCTGAAGCGCAATACTGTATTTGTCGGTCCACAGACTGCAGTCGTTTCATGATGTAAGTTATAAAATGTATACAACTGTCGCTCAACTTTGGTCAGTTAGAAAGACAAAACCTTCCATGATGTCAATGATATTGTACATATCTGTCTATTTGATAGTGTGGCAGAGATAAGTTCTCTCTCAAGCTAGAAGGTGAGTAGAATTAACACAATCAAGTTGGTGTGATGATATATGCATACCAAAGAGCCAGCTCATAATCTCTTTTCTGCACTGTATCTTCCGAATTGTAAGCAGCAGTTTTTTCCTTGATTATTAGGTGTGTAGTTTATATGTGAACAAAAAAAAGAAATTGCAGAACGAAAAAAAAAAAGAAGTGTATCGTCTGGACATTGCTTCCAAACCGTTTTGTATTTCGGAACAGACATTTTGTCGAGGTGTTTCATATGCACTATTGATCTACGTGGCCTCACGCCCTGATAATTTTGGTTGCTGTAACATGTCTCGCCTCCAGATAGAATGAAAAATAGTGATTTAAACCAAAGCTACCAGATTAGGCAGGGGCTTATTGTATTTCTTAACTGCTTGAAGGAATGTGAAGCACACTTATTGATGTTTTTCATAATTTCAGATATTCTGGCATAGGGAGATTGGGAGATTACCTTGTTAGGTATCATGGAGACTATATATGATGTTACAAAGTTGTATTTATATTGACAGAGGCTATAACAACTGCAAGGAGTGGTGTCATGGTGACTGTATATGTGTCATGGTGACTGTATATGTGTCATGGTGACTGTATATGTGTCATGCTGACTGTATATGTGTCATGGTGACTGTATATGTGTCATGCTGACTGTATATGTGTCATGGTGACTGTATATGTGTCATGGTGACTGTATATGTGTCATGGTGACTGTATATGTGTCATGGTGACTGTATATGTGTCATGGTGACTGTATGTGTCATGGTGACTGTATATGTGTCATGGTGACTGTATATGTGTCATGGTGACTGTGTATGTGTCATGGTGACTGTGTATGTGTCATGGTGACCGTATATGTGTCATGGTGACCGTATATGTGTCATGGTGACTGTATATGTGTCATGGTGACTGTATGTATCATATGTGTCATGGTGACTGTATATGTGTCATGGTGACTGTATATGTGTCATGGTGACTGTATATGTGTCATGGTGACTGTATATGTGTCATGGTGACTGTATATGTGTCATGGTGACTGTATGTATCATGGTGACTGTATATGTGTCATGGTGACTGTATATGTGTCATGGTGACTGTATATGTGTCATGGTGACTGTATGTATCATGGTGACTGTATATGTGTCATGGTGACTGTATATGTGTCATGGTGACTGTATATGTGTCATGGTGACTGTATGTGTCATGGTGACTGTATATGTGTCATGGTGACTGTATGTGTCATGGTGACTGTATATGTGTCATGGTGACTGTATATGTGTCATGGTGACTGTATATGTGTCATGGTGACTGTATATGTGTCATGGTGACTGTATATGGTATGACAAAGTTGTATTTATATTGACAGAGGCTGTGACAACTGCGAGGAGTGGTACCATGGTGACTGTATTGGAGTCACACAGTTAGATGCCAGGTCTATCAAACAATTCTTCTGTGACATGTGTAGAGGTAAGTAGAGAGTGAAGATTCTCACTGATCTGAGATGGTGTCCAAAACACTAATGTTATAATTTTGTAATATGCTGGAATCCGAAATCATCAAGAGTTCACACAACTGGGTGAGTCAAAAATTGTTTAATCTTAATCAGGTTTTAAATACTTAAGTATAAACTTGTTATGTTTATAGATTGATTTCTTAATTTCAGAACAAAACCCCAGTCTTGATATCAAGTATAAATCAAAAAAGAAGAACAAAGATAGATTCACTTCCCATCCTGTCAGTGAGAGAGAGGGTCTTAGACAGGAATGGAAATACAACGAAAAGGTAATTAATGTCTTAACCAATGGCACTTATTAGTGCTAAGGTGATAGGTGGGTAGGGACAAGAGATTGTACTTATGAAGGGGAGCCAAGTGATGAGAGTGTGGAAGGGGATAGAAGTGATTAGAGTGAGGAAATGGTGAAAGGGATTAGGGACGAGATGACAAATGATGTAATGAGATAATGGAGACAAGTGATGTGATTAAGGAATTTATGACAACTGAGAGGGATTGGGAAAGGGGTGACAAGTGATGATGGAGCTAATGAAAAGGCGACATTGTTGGAGTGGTGAAGGGAAGACAATTGACAGGCAGAGGAAGTAGATGGGTGGTGTTGGGGGGATGGGGGGAGGGGAGGGGTAGGTCAAGTGAAAATGGTGACAAGTGATGAGGTTACAGAGGGGAAACATGTAATTGGAAGGACAAAGAGGGGAGACTTGTGATGGCTGAAGATTGGAAGACAAGGGAGTAAAGTTGGATGGGGAAAGGCATTTTGAAAATTTGATAGAGGTTAGAAAGTGTGTAACAATTGAAAGGGACTGGGAAAGAGGGTCAAAAGATGGTATGTGAAAGTGGTATTGGATAGTGAAAAGGATATTGAAAGCTTGATAGAGGTTGAATAGTTGAATAGTGGTTAAGTGATGGAGCTTTTGGAAGAACAACAATATGCTATAAATGGCACTGAGATAGAAGAGGAGTGACAGATGATGGGACAGGGAAGGGGAGACAAATGATAGCACTGAGAAAGGGGAAGTAAGTAATTGGACATTGCAAGAAGTGACATTTAATGGGACTAAGGAAGTTGAGCCAAGTGATGGGATAAAGGAGTTATATTGGATAGGGAAAGGGATTTTGAAATGATTTTTAAATGTGTAAAAGTGAGAGCTTTGGTACACATTTAAGTCTCATGGCTTTTTCTGTAAAATAATGCTGTATTTGTCATCTGCACAGGAAAAATCAAGAAAAAAATCCTCAAGGCGATGTGGAGAATGTAAAGCATGTCATCGCACAGAAGACTGTGGAAGATGTGATTTCTGTAAGGTGAGACTTTTACCTGTTCTGTGTTTCATTACCAGCATACACAGTATTATGTATAAAAGGCTGTCACCTTTGCATTGGCAAAACACTGAAAGCCGTTGGTGAGACAAAACCTAGCAATAGTGAGGTACACAAGAAACTGTCAACAACATGTAACATAAAGGCACAAAACAACAAAGAAAAGTACTTACAACCCATTGCTTTTTACCTGAATGGACTTGTATCGAGTTTCCTTTGTAAGGCATGTTTCTTATATACATGTAATATATAGAAATACATTGGTGTTTCATACACATGTTAAGAGAGTTTAGAACTGTCTGTTGTAACTATACTGTGTCTGAAAACGCCTTATTGACCAGAACTTATTTGTTCAGATTCAGAAAACTGTCACACAAATTAAATGAGTTACATAACAATGCTTTTTCTCTTACAGGATATGAGAAAATTTGGTGGTCCAAATAAAATACGTCAAAAATGCAGGCTGCGACAGTGCCTGAATTTCGTAAGTATTTTATGAAATATTCTTCTTCTGCATTGATCGTTTAGCAAATTTCTTTTGTCTGTTGTTTTCATTTATATGAATGGCAAATTTTAAATGTACCCTTTGATTAAAGTTTTGTTTTGCAATAGTTTGTGTTGGACACAGAAGGCCAAGATTTTGGTCAGGAATGGAGATATATTTATAATATCAATGAGGTGTCTGTTTTCCCAACTTTAAAGTCTGATAATCCCTGACTGAAAAATTTATAAAACACATTTCGAGCCTTTCAGTATCATCATAATATACAGTGTATTATATAAATGAATTAACCAATGTTGGCACATGTATCTGTAGTATCAAACTATGAATTTAATGGTGCTGCATATCAGAAATTACTAATCCACATCAAATAATATAGACTTTGTAACTATGACATTTTCAACTAATTTTGAATTATGGCATATTTGTAACAAGAAAAATTATTGTTTTTTACAGTGCCGTTTTCGTAAGAATCAAGGGGTAAGCGTTTCATGTTAGGTTGTGCTTCTATTGTGTGCATTAGAAGTGATTACTTAAACAGATTACATGTGTCTCATCTTGATATCAAATGATCGTCCCCATACGTCCTGAGGTCATTAGTCTGACAGATTACATGTGTCTCATCTTGATATCAAATGATTGTCCCCATACGTCCTGAGGTCATTAGTCTGACTGATTACATGTGTCTCATCTTGATATCAAATTATAGTCCCTGATGTTGATGAGGATATTACTCTGACAGATAACAAGTGTCTCATCTTGATATCAAATTATCATCCCCTATGCTCCTGAGGTCATTACTCTGACAGATTACATGTGTCTCATCTTGATATCAAATGATCATCCCCATACATCCTGAGGTCATTAGTCTGACAGATTACATGTGTCTCATCTTGATATCAAATTATAGTCCCTGATGTTTAATGAGGTCATAACTCTGACAGATTACATGTGTCTCATCTTGATATCAAATTATCGTCCCCTACGCTCCTGAGGTCATTACTCTGACAGATTATATGTGTCTCATCTTGATATCAAATGCTCAGTCCTGGATGTTAACAAGGTCATTAGTTTGACAGATTACATGTGTCTCATCTTGATATGGAATTATAGTCCCTGATGTTGATGAGGATATTACTCGGACAGATTACATGTGTCTCATCTTGATATCAAATGATCATCCGCTATGCTCATGAGGTCATTACTGACAGATTACATGTGTTTCATCTTGATATCAAATGATCATCCGCTACGCTCATGAGGTCATTACTGACAGATTACATGTGTTTCATCTTGATATCAAATGATCGTCACCGATGTTAATGAGATTAATATTCAAACAGATTATGTGTGTCTCATCTTGATATCATGCAATTGTCCCCATTGTAAATGAGGTCTGTAAATCTTGTGTATATGTTTGACAGGGTTTCATACACTTGTTTTAAGTCAATTAGTATTGAACCAAAATTATTTCTATAGCCAATTTATGTTCAAAATGATTGTTAAAAATACTGTAGATGGAAGAGAAGTATTTGAAAGAAACTCGAGTATCATTTATTGCTATAATTTGATGATAAAATGTAGATGTAAACTTTTCAATTAATTTTGCACCTCACATAGCAATATTTTATATGTACGTCAGTGTTTTATGACACACATCTTAGAATATGTAAAACTTTCAATTTCTGTGTGACGTTTTGTGGATAATATTTCTCCAATATTTTGAATTAAAGTTTTATTTTTTTTGGAATAATGAGGAAATTATTACATATAATTTATAACAATTTTTAATAATGATAAAACCGATAAATTGAAATATACCAGCGCTGTAAATATTAATGATAGTAAGAAGTAATGAGGAATTAAAATATACAAACACTGTAAAAAAGGAGTGACTAGTGAGAAGTATAACTCTAAGGCGTATGCCTTAGAGCTATGAAGGTAGGGATATCCTGGAAACTGGAGCTTCTGTGTGATTTAAGTGTTTTTACTTGGTTGATGGCTGACATATTATTTCCTAATACTTTAGGCGATTCCATATGTTATGATTGTTGACTTCCTTTATGCATGTATGATTATATGTGTCTTTTGTTAACAAGGTGAATGTAGCTATTTACTTCATAAATTTTCTGACATTTATTGAAATATATTAAAATTGCATCATGTAAAAATTACACTAGATATGTAAAGAGATAAAGAACACTCATTCAATTTAATCGGTGGGCCAATACACTGAAAAATGATGTCTAATTAGCATCACCCCTTTGTTAAAGCACTTTAGCTAGTTTTAATTTGTTTTTTGACAGGAGAGTAAGTTGTCAGAGTTCTTCTTTTTCTCAATGGAAATTGATAACCTTTTCACTAATAGTTTTACAAAAAAAAAAAAAACTATATACTGTTAGTATTTGTGAAATGCTATGTTGTTATTACTAGCTATCATACTTCTTTCTCATTGTTGGTCTTAGTAATCAGAAATCCACTCAACACAGTTATTTCCCTTTAGATTATCTCCCCTATCTAAGTCCTTCCAATACTCTTCTTGTTTGTAACTTCAGACTATAGGTACTATAGCTAGTTATTGTAAATTTTGTGATTTTGTATTAATCTTTTGTGTCCTCTGTTGACTAATATAATGTTTCAAGTATATAAATTTTAAGATTATATACATATCAAAATGCATTTTTAATTTGAGAGCTGATATTTTGAGATACTGTTTAAACAAAAAAGATAAACTGTTTTGAAATATTTTCATTACACTTACATGGTAGGAATAATACTATTCAATTCTGATGCATTTTATTTTTATTTGTTTATCTAATTACAAGTTTCATCACACACATATTAAAAAGTGCACTGCTGTTTGATTTTGATGTATTATGCATTTGAAATTTGAATAAGTATAAATTTATTGTGTTATAACACAATTCAATCCCATGTACATAGGAGAAAGAAAATATTCAGACCTTTGAATTTTAGTTGACTATCATTCTGGAATGAGTTATTAAGTTTTAAAGTTGGAGATGTTTTCAATTTGAAGACAATACCTTTGTATAGCTAATATTTCCATCGTACCTGTGGTTTGTACAGGAGAAAACTCCTAAATTAAGAGGGCATCATGAGGCTTGTGGTAAAATGTCTCCTCTAAGGTATCCTTGTAATACCAAATCTAAATCCTTCATGTTGCCACAACTTACATACACATTTTGTGTCAGATGACAGGATCCCAAACTTTCTGATACTGTTAAGGATGATATTGTTTAAGGGTTCTGATTTTTCAATATTTTCTAGGATGGAATAAACTATCAAAAATAACAAAAACATTGAAAGTGAAAGTTAAAATAAAAGCTTTAGAGAGATAATTTGGAAGTAGAAACTCTAGATACTGTGAAAATAAATATTATAGATATTTTGAAAGTAAACATTAAAGAGAGATATCTTGAATGTTAAAGTTATAGAGAGATACTTTGAAAAGAAAAGTTATTACAATATACATTGAATGTGAAAGTTGAAGGTTTATTGAATGTAAATGTTAAAGAGAAGTACATTGAAAGTTGAAGTTGAGAAATACATTGAAAATGATGGTTATAGTTATAAAAATATTTAAACTATTTACAATAATTTTTCAACTTTTACCTGGTGGTTTTAAACAACTGTGGTAAAGCAGCCGGGACAACTCTGTTTTATTTTGGACATGACATTTATAGTAATTTAAGTATAATTAGAATTCTATAAGTCTTTATTTGGACCAAAATGTATAATTCAATGTGTAATTACTTAAATAACATGAAAAGTATGCAGTTAAGGAACATCATATTTCAGGAAATAGATTTATATATGTTGATAAAACTTCCAGATCTTATTTATTTGTACTGTGCTTTGTGTTGTGAACATTATATTGAAAGAAATAAAGTTTATATTAAATAAATATATTAAATAAATAGGTTGTTTGTGCAGATGTAATTGATTTGTATAAAAGCATACTCATCTACAATGTGGAAGAAGTAATGTTTAATAATTGACTTGTGTTTTGTGGAACAGGGTTTGAATATGTCTGCAAAGAAACCTGAAAAATCTCAACGTACTGTAACATCAGAAACAGAATCCATGAGGACAAGCTTTTCTGGGTAGGTATTGTCACCAAATCTGCAGAACAATACTATGCTTCTCTGGGTAGGTATTGTCACAATATCTTTAGAATAATACCATGCTTTTCTGGGTTAATATTGTCACCAGTTCTATAGAATAATACAAACCACTATGATTACCGGTAGATGCGATTAAGAAAAAGATGAAACTTGATAATCAATTACCAGTCTCAGTCAATTATCTAGTCATTTTCCTTCCCTAATCCAGTCAGTGTTCATTGCCAGTAAATAGTTAAGTCCCCTTTCAATGCTAGTAAATAATCCAGTCATTTCTCATTTCTTGTAGATAATCCAGTCACTTTTCTTTACCAGTAGATAATCCAATGACCTATCATTTCCAAGTAGATTATCCAGTCACCTTTCATTTCCATGTAGATAATCCAGTCACCTTTCATTTCCATGTAGATAATCTAGTCACTTTTCATTGCCAGTAGATAATATGGTCACTTTTCATTTCCATGTAGATTATCTAGTCTCCTTTCATTACCAATAGATAATTCAATCATATCTCATCCCTAATAGTCACCTTACATTCTAAGGAAACAACTCGGTCACCTTTCATATCCTAGTAGATAATCCAGCCACCTTTCATTGCCAGTAGATAATCAGTCACACCTAATTCCTAATAGATAATCCAGCCACCTTTCATTGCCAGTAGATAATCAGTCACACCTAATTCCTAATAGATAATCCAGCCACCTTTCATTGCCAGTAGATAATCAGTCACACCTAATTCCTAATAGATAATCCAGCCACCTTTCATTGCCAGTAGATAATCAGTCACACCTAATTCCTAATAGATAATCCAGCCACCTTTCATTGCCAGTAGATAATCAGTCACACCTAATTCCTAATAGATAATCCAGCCACCTTTCATTGCCAGTAGATAATCAGTCACACCTAATTCCTAATAGATAATCCAGCCACCTTTCATTGCCAGTAGATAATCAGTCACACCTAATTCCTAATAGATAATCCAGCCACCTTTCATTGCCAGTAGATAATCAGTCACACCTAATTCCTAATAGATAATCCAGCCACCTTACATTGTCAGTAGATAATCAGTCACACCTAATTCCTAATAGATAATCCAGCCACCTTTCATTGCCAGTAGATAATCAGTCACACCTAATTCCTAATAGATAATCCAGCCACCTTACATTGTCAGTAGATAATCAGTCACACCTAATTCCTAATAGATAATCCAGCCACCTTTCATTGTCAGTAGATAATCAGTCACACCTAATTCCTAATAGATAATCCAGTCACCTTTCATTGCCAATAGATAATCAGTCACACCTAATTCCTAATAGATAATCCAGTCACCTTTCATTGCCAGTAGATAATCAGTCACACCTAATTCCTAATAGATAATCCAGTCACCTTACATTGCCAGTAGATAATCAGTCACACCTAATTCCTAATAGATAATCCAGCCACCTTTCATTGCCAGTAGATAATCAGTCACACCTAATTCCTAATAGATAATCCAGTCACCTTTCATTGCCAGTAGATAATCAGTCACACCTAATTCCTAATAGATAATCCAGCCACCTTACATTGTCAGTAGATAATCCAGCCACCTTACATTGCCAGTAGATAATCAGTCACACCTAATTCCTAATAGATAATCCAGCCACCTTACATTGTCAGTAGATAATCCAGCCACCTTACATTGTCAGTAGATAATCAGTCACACCTAATTCCTAATAGATAATCCAGCCACCTTACATTGCCAGTAGATAATCAGTCACACCAAATTCCTTATAGATAATCCAGCCACCTTACATTGTCAGTAGATAATCAGTCACACCTAATTCCTAATAGATAATCCAGCCACCTTACATTGTCAGTAGATAATCCAGCCACCTTACATTGCCAGTAGATAATCAGTCACACCTAATTCCTAATAGATAATCCAGCCACCTTTCATTGCCAGTAGATAATCAGTCACACCTAATTCCTAATAGATAATCCAGCCACCTTTCATTGTCAGTAGATAATCCAGCCACCTTACATTGTCAGTAGATAATACAGCCACCTTTCAATGCCAGTAGATAATCAGTCACACCTAATTCCTAATAGATAATCCAGCCACCTTACATTGCCAGTAGATAATCAGTCACACCTAATTCCTAATAGATAATCCAGCCACCTTTCATTGCCAGTAGATAATCAGTCACACCTAATTCCTAATAGATAATACAGCCACCTTTCATTGCCAGTAGATAATCAGTCACACCTAATTCCTAATAGATAATCCAGTCACCTTTCATTGCCAGTAGATAATCAGTCACACCTAATTCCTAATAGATAATCCAGTCACCTTACATTGCCAGTAGATAATCAGTCACACCTAATTCCTAATAGATAATCCAGCCACCTTTCATTGCCAGTAGATAATCAGTCACACCTAATTCCTAATAGATAATCCAGTCACCTTTCATTGCCAGTAGATAATCAGTCACACCTAATTCCTAATAGATAATCCAGCCACCTTACATTGTCAGTAGATAATCCAGCCACCTTACATTGCCAGTAGATAATCAGTCACACCTAATTCCTAATAGATAATCCAGCCACCTTACATTGTCAGTAGATAATCCAGCCACCTTACATTGTCAGTAGATAATCAGTCACACCTAATTCCTAATAGATAATCCAGCCACCTTACATTGCCAGTAGATAATCAGTCACACCTAATTCCTTATAGATAATCCAGCCACCTTACATTGTCAGTAGATAATCAGTCACACCTAATTCCTAATAGATAATCCAGCCACCTTACATTGTCAGTAGATAATCCAGCCACCTTACATTGCCAGTAGATAATCAGTCACACCTAATTCCTAATAGATAATCCAGCCACCTTTCATTGCCAGTAGATAATCAGTCACACCTAATTCCTAATAGATAATCCAGCCACCTTTCATTGTCAGTAGATAATCCAGCCACCTTACATTGTCAGTAGATAATACAGCCACCTTTCAATGCCAGTAGATAATCAGTCACACCTAATTCCTAATAGATAATCCAGCCACCTTACATTGCCAGTAGATAATCAGTCACACCTAATTCCTAATAGATAATCCAGCCACCTTTCATTGCCAGTAGATAATCAGTCACACCTAATTCCTAATAGATAATACAGCCACCTTTCATTGCCAGTAGATAATCAGTCACACCTAATTCCTAATAGATAATCCAGCCACCTTACATTGTCAGTAGATAATCAGTCACACCTAATTCCTAATAGATAATCCAGCCACCTTTCATTGCCAGTAGATAATCAGTCACACCTAATTCCTAATAGATAATCCAGCCACCTTACATTGTCAGTAGATAATCAGTCACACCTAATTCCTAATAGATAATCCAGCCACCTTTCATTGTCAGTAGATAATCAGTCACACCTAATTCCTAATAGATAATCCAGTCACCTTTCATTGCCAATAGATAATCAGTCACATCTAATTCCTAATAGATAATCCAGTCACCTTTCATTGCCAGTAGATAATCAGTCACACCTAATTCCTAATAGATAATCCAGTCACCTTACATTGCCAGTAGATAATCAGTCACACCTAATTCCTAATAGATAATCCAGCCACCTTTCATTGCCAGTAGATAATCAGTCACACCTGATTCCTAATAGATAATCCAGTCACCTTTCATTGCCAGTAGATAATCAGTCACACCTAATTCCTAATAGATAATCCAGCCACCTTACATTGTCAGTAGATAATCCAGCCACCTTACATTGCCAGTAGATAATCAGTCACACCTAATTCCTAATAGATAATCCAGCCACCTTACATTGTCAGTAGATAATCCAGCCACCTTACATTGTCAGTAGATAATCAGTCACACCTAATTCCTAATAGATAATCCAGCCACCTTACATTGCCAGTAGATAATCAGTCACACCAAATTCCTTATAGATAATCCAGCCACCTTACATTGTCAGTAGATAATCAGTCACACCTAATTCCTAATAGATAATCCAGCCACCTTACATTGTCAGTAGATAATCCAGCCACCTTACATTGCCAGTAGATAATCAGTCACACCTAATTCCTAATAGATAATCCAGCCACCTTTCATTGCCAGTAGATAATCAGTCACACCTAATTCCTAATAGATAATCCAGCCACCTTTCATTGTCAGTAGATAATCCAGCCACCTTACATTGTCAGTAGATAATACAGCCACCTTTCAATGCCAGTAGATAATCAGTCACACCTAATTCCTAATAGATAATCCAGCCACCTTACATTGCCAGTAGATAATCAGTCACACCTAATTCCTAATAGATAATCCAGCCACCTTACATTGTCAGTAGATAATCCAGCCACCTTACATTGCCAGTAGATAATCAGTCACACCTAATTCCTAATAGATAATCCAGCCACCTTTCATTGCCAGTAGATAATCAGTCACACCTAATTCCTAATAGATAATCCAGCCACCTCACATTGTCAGTAGATAATCCAGCCACCTTACATTGTCAGTAGATAATACAGCCACCTTTCATTGCCAGTAGATAATCAGTCACACCTAATTCCTAATAGATAATACAGCCACCTTTCATTGCCAGTAGATTATCAGTCACACCTAATTCCTAATAGATAATCCAGCCACCTTTCATTGTCAGTAGATAATACAGCCACCTTTCATTGCCAGTAGATAATCAGTCACACCTAATTCTTAATAGATAATCCAGCCACCTTACATTGTCAGTAGATAATCAGTCACACCTAATTCCTAATAGATAATCCAGCCACCTCACATTGTCAGTAGATAATCCAGCCACCTTACATTGTCAGTAGATAATACAGCCACCTTTCATTGCCAGTAGATAATCAGTCACACCTAATTCCTAATAGATAATCCAGCCACCTCACATTGTCAGTAGATAATCCAGCCACCTTACATTGTCAGTAGATAATCAGTCACACCTAATTCCTAATAGATAATCCAGCCACCTTTCATTGCCAGTAGATAATCAGTCACACCTAATTCCTAATAGATAATCCAGCCACCTTACATTGTCAGTAGATAATCCAACCACCTTACATTGCCAGTAGATAATCAGTCACACCTAATTCCTAATAGATAATCCAGCCACCTTACATTGTCAGTAGATAATCAGTCACACCTAATTCCTAATAGATAATCCAGCCACCTTACATTGCCAGTAGATAATCAGTCACACCTAATTCCTAATAGATAATCCAGCCACCTTACATTGTCAGTAGATAATCAGTCACACCTAATTCTTAATAGATAATCCAGCCACCTTACATTGTCAGTAGATAATCAGTCACACCTAATTCCTAATAGATAATCCAGACACCTCACATTGTCAGTAGATAATCCAGCCACCTTACATTGTCAGTAGATAATACAGCCACCTTTCATTGCCAGTAGATAATCAGTCACACCTAATTCCTAATAGATAATCCAGCCACCTCACATTGCCAGTAGATAATCAGTACACCTAATTCCTAATAGATAATCCAGCCACCTTACATTGTCAGTAGATAATCAGTCACACCTAATTCCTAATAGATAATCCAGCCACCTTTCATTGCCAGTAGATAATCAGTCACACCTAATTCCTAATAGATAATACAGCCACCTTTCATTGCCAGTAGATAATCAGTCACACCTAATTCCTAATAGATAATCCAGCCACCTTACATTGTCAGTAGATAATCCAGCCACCTTACATTGCCAGTAGATAATCAGTCACACCTAATTCCTAATAGATAATCCAGCCACCTTACATTGCCAGTAGATAATCAGTCACACCTAATTCCTAATAGATAATCCAGCCACCTTACATTGCCAGTAGATAATCAGTCACACCTAATTCCTAATAGATAATCCAGCCACCTTACATTGCCAGTAGATAATCAGTCACACCTAATTCCTAATAGATAATCCAGCCACCTTTCATTGCCAGTAGATAATCAGTCACACCTAATTCCTAATAGATAATCCAGCCACCTTTCATTGCCAGTAGATAATCAGTCACACCTAATTCCTAATAGATAATCCAGCCACCTTACATTGTCAGTAGATAATCAGTCACACCTAATTCCTAATAGATAATCCAGCCACCTTACATTGTCAGTAGATAATCCAGCCACCTTACATTGCCAGTAGATAATCAGTCACACCTAATTCCTAATAGATAATCCAGCCACCTTACATTGTCAGTAGATAATCAGTCACACCTAATTCCTAATAGTTAATCCAGCCACCTTACATTCAATCATCTTTCATTTCCAAGTAGATTATCCAGTGCTTCTTATATTTCAGACGTTTTTCAGAAGATGATGATGATGATGATGATTTCATGGATTTTGAAGATGGTGGAGCCTCCGAAAATATTGAAAAACCTACAAAGGTGAATCATTATTTGGCATTTTTGTGCATAAATTGCACTTCAAAGCAGTAACTGACATGCTGCTTAATTTCTTTATTTCCTTGGAATCACAAGTGTGACAATCTTGGTTTTTATTGTGCCGTTATACCTAGTATATAATGTGAACAATTAATGTGTTGAAAGTACATCTTATTCAGTAACCTTCACTTTCCTAATTTGGATAGAGGGAATGTCATCCCTAAGAAACAACAGAAAAATGAAAATATTGATTTGATTAATACAATTCTGATGATTGTTAAAATATATATACCAGGTATATATATATGATTATTTGTTTTAGTTTTGAAAGATATTACATAATAATACATACACATTAAGCATGACACACTAATACATTATTTACATTATTTATATTTCTCGTGACTTATTTGAATTTTAGACAAAGCCAGGGAGGAAAAGGAGCGAATCAGGATCACCACGGAAGAAAAAGAAAGAAAGCAATAAACATTCACCTACAAAGAAAAAACAGGTTAGAAAAACATTCAGAAAAATCAGCTCCATTTAATCCATCAAAAGGAAATTTTGTAGACATGTGGAATGGGTTTTGGTATAAAGTATATTGATTATAGATTTATTTTGATTTAGTTGTTTACATAGGAAAAAAGCATGTCAAATCCTCTATACACCAAGGAAAATACTGTCAACTAATTCAACATCGGTATTTCTTCATCAGTCCTGAATTTGAACCAGTCTACATATGGACCAAGAGGAACCTAAATACAAAACATAAAGACTTAATTTATTGCTTCTTTCAAAAGACAGCAATTCTGTAAATATGAGAAAGATTAATTCATTGCTTCTTGTAAAAGACAGCAGTTAAAAGAATTGTTTAAGAATGGACGCACAAACAGATGATGGACAACTAGTGCAGGGTTATTCAGTGGACCATATGCTAATCTGATGGTGGATGGCTATTGATGTCTTAATATATGACATTGACATTGGTATGTGTTTCTGTTATAGAAATTAAAAGATAAGGCAGGTTCAGAAAGGAAAAAGAAGCGTGGAGGAGAGGTAGATGATATGCGAGAGGTAGAAGATGAAGAACCACGTCAGTGTTTTGGACCAGGATGTATTGAACCTGCTCAAGCAAACTCTAAATACTGTTCAGAGGAGTGTGGAATGAAACTTGCCAAAAAGTATGTCTAATAAAACCAAGTCCAGTCTCCAATGTGTGTAAAATTGCTCATCAGATATTTCATATGAATCAATTATTGCTGAGAACTTATTCCATATAAATAATTATTTGGCTCTGTGAAACAGTTTCTCTAAAGTGTGAATTTTCCCTTCATTATCTTTCATTTTTCAGCCGTATCTATGAACTCTTGCCTCCGAAGATCCAACAGTGGCAGAGCACACCTTGTGTTACGGAAGAAAACAACAAGAAAGCACTGGAGAAAATTCGTCGTCAGCAACTAGAGGCACGACATAAACTAGGGGAGCTTGATCTGAGACATCAGGAGCTGGACGCTCTCCTAGAGAGAGTCAAACACGCTGTAATAGCCCCAGACCAGGAGGTATGATCATACACCAAAAGCCATTATCAGTATTGATTCAATTATATCTGTAACTATAGCATCTTGTTTGGTCTGTCATCTTTAAAAGTGATGTGTAATTTTAAATACTGTTAATTGATATATTTTAGGGGTTATCTAATTTTTGCGTTGAAAATATTGCACTGAAGTAAGATCACGCTAAGTTCAGTTTTTATATATTTTTTATATACAGCAGTTACTGTGGATGTGCTAATTCCTAATTGCGCTAACTTGCCAGAAGTAAAATGTGCTGTAATTTAATTGTACAAACTTATCACTTTATTGAAAATTCCGTAACTTTTTAAAAGGGAAGAACATCAATCTAGATTTCATTTGTTTTATACAATTCATTATAGAGGAAAGATAATTGATTTTACAGGAGAAGGAACCAGAGGATGATACTGAATACAGCATGTACTGTGTTACGTGTGGTGCTGAACTCAACCAGAAGGGGGCCCTGAGACACATGGAAAAATGCTTTGCAAAGGTATGACTCAATAGTACTACTGTATATACCAGACATCTGTTGGGCTGTTCATGTTTGTCCATGATGCTGACCAAACCTTTCACTGTGATTACAGGCACTAGGATCTCTGACATCTCTTGCAGTATAATGTTTACATTCCTTTTTTTCAGTTTCACTGTTAATTTAAGATATCCATCATTTGCTGAAGTCTTAATGCTACTTTTTGTTTTCTTTTTGTTTTCAGTTTGAGGCACAGACATCGTTCGGCTCCATTTACAAAACAAGGATTGAAGGAAACTCAATGTTTTGTGACTACTATAACACTCAGCAAAAAGTTTATTGTAAACGGCTGAAAGTCCTCTGTCCTGAACACACTAAGGAACCAAAGGTAACTATTGTATACAGACGAGCTTGGAGATGGAAACAAATACGACCTGTATTTGGATAACCTAGATCAGTGTATAATGTGTTAAAGCAATTAAGAAACGAAATGGCTTTTCAGAGTAGGTTCATGTGATTTTTACGACAGACTTTTTACATTTTTTTGTGACAAGGAGCATTTTCATACAAACATATAAGGATTGAAGGTTAATTAGTGACAAATTTGAAGTGTATATAATATGTTAAAGAACAATTCAGTAGATTACATACATGTATGTACCTCAATCTGAAAAGTAATTCTTGATAATTTTGAAACTGAATATCTAGGGTTAAAAGAATCTGGAAGCAAAGATATGTTCTCATGGTCTTGTATAGCTCTGTGATGTAATGGAAGATGTTAACATTATAGGTGGGACCAGATGAGGTGTGTGGCTGTCCACTGGTTGTTAATGTATTTGAGGAGACTGGAGAATACTGCAGGGCTCCTAAACGAAAATGTAACAAACATGTTGTGTGGGAGAAACTACGACGGGCTGAGATAGACATGGAAAGGGTCAGACAGGTATGAATGGGGTACAGACCGGGTTGTAGAAAGGTGACATACAGTACACAGAGAGACTTTTACCTCAGGTTAATGGTCACTCATTTTAAACTTTTGTCAATATCAAGAAAATAAAGAGTTAAAGTAAGCAGAAATATGTGTAAAAGCACGCTTAACTTTGAAAAGCTAAAAAAATATTTTTTAAATTTTTTTTTATTTGTGTATAAACTATTGATCCTGACTAGGAGGGAAAGGTCTTTACAATTGATTTCAAGCATGTAATATTGAATATTATGTAAATTAAATTTGCACATTCACCTAGATATTTTGAAATAAGTTTCAATCAAATTTCATGAAGCTTCCTCATTTTTTTTCCATGACCAATTTCTCTCTATACTCTTTCATGCTTGTGGCCACACATTCAAGATCAACAGTATTATGTATACCTGTTGATGAGAAAGTTTGTCTGTTCCCGCTTTCATTCTCAAGTTAGATTGCAAACAAATTTCACAAAAAGAAGTGTTCCCATATAAATTTATCCAAAGCGTTTCAAGATTAAAATTGTAGAAATATTCTTGAATTAATCACTTAGTTTTCAGTTTCACACCATAGCCCACACTTCTTGTTTGGGACAATAGACATGTGAGTTTATCATAAATAGTATAGCTAAGGATTGGAATTATTGTGTGAGGTTCTCATGAAAATGAGGAATTTATCATTACAACATATCATTTACTTTTCATCTTTTATATTTGGTCTGCAGTGGATGGAATTGGATGACTTGTTTGAGCAAGAGCGCAACATCCGTGTGTCGATGGCGAACCGTGTGGGAGTACTGGGCCTCATGTTACATCAGACATTGGATCATGACCCACTCAACCCCATTAAACCTCCCGAAATGAACTGATCCCATCTCGGTTTCATTTCAGCCTTTGTAATGAATGGACTGTGTTCATTTAGATATGCTGCACATCAACTTCAACAGGTCTGTGACAGACTGAAAGATATTACAAAATTTCTGCATTTATAGCTGATACCTCCATGGTTCAGGTGTAACAGCCCACAGAAAGAACATACTTCCAGGGATTTTGTTGAATTGTTTACCAAGTATCAACATGTGAAATTCCTTACCTCTGTTAAATTCCTGACATTTTTTTCTTTTGTTTTATAAGGATATTCTCGTTTTTTATCGCTAACAAAGGCTATAAAAATGGGAGTTATATCACAGTTAAGAACAATCATCACAAAATTTTCAGTTGGTACAGCTTTGATATTGTAAGAGTCTGGAAACTTGCTACAACAGAATCTTAAAAAATTGTTCTTGTTTATCTTTTTTTTTTTTGAAAACTTTGCGTATAAATGTTGCTGGAGAGTATGATTGTCTCATTGTAATGTTTACTTAAAAGTCAAAATTCAAACCACTATAATGATTATCTGCCCAGGTAATAACAGATGCTTTACCATGAGGAGAAGTCGGAAAAGCTGAATTTTTTTGACAAAAATTCATAGCTGAATGTGCATATTGCATAATCAGTCAAGATCATGGGTAGTATTTGAGAAAATCATTCTAATCCATGTTCAAACAAACAAGGAGAGATCATGGCTACATCAGTGTCACAGTAGAGTTAATGTATCAAGTTATATCAGTAGTGGTGTATGTACTGACTTCATTTCACCTTTATAATATGCTGCATAATTATTTATGTTTTTTCAGTTATGTTAGGGTAATTGTGCATTAACTATATAGTACGAATAAATACTGATTTGGAAAAGCAAAGACTTGTTTGTATAATTTAGTATTTAAAACATCAGGAATCACCAAACACTAGTCTTGTCATTGTTCTGTCAGAGGATTTACTTCCACACTACCATACCTAATGTGACCAGTATGTATACAAGGTTTGTGAGTTCATTCAGTGCGAGAGTTAATTGGTGCCAGTAAGACATTTTGTATGAGCTAACTGAGGTATGTTGGAGTTTGTGTGTGTCAGTTAGTCAGTTCATATATCATCTTTAACACTCAAGGGAGTATGCTTACTATCTCTCTCTGCATTCCTTGAACATTTCCTGGTAAAATTGAAGGCACAAATGAAATTATTTGATTGGTCTAAGAGTACATTCCAGAAGAAAAGAAACTGACCAATCATAGACTGGCACAATCCTTTGAAGAATACAAAGGAGTGACATCAAACTCTAAAAAGCTAGTAAAACATGCCATTATGCAATCTCAAGATTTTTCTCATCTTATACACAAGGTGTCACACATGGAGTCTTCAATTTTAGCCCTGAAATGTTCCAGGGGTATAGAGAGTGATAGTGAATGTAACCCTTTAGAGTATCCAGGATGTTTATATATTTGTTTGTATGTATTTGTATGCATTTTATTGAAGGGCATCATTTCTGGAGTTGAAATGTTACCACCAAGTTTCATTGTTAAAAGTGCTAGTGTGAATTTCAGCTGCTTGAATGTTGCTTTTCTATAACTTTCCTTGATGTCATGAATATGTGAGTATATGTCTAGTGTTTATTTGTGTAAATGTCTATTTATTTGTTGACTTTGTTTTATAGTATAATGAGAATTTTTAATGTGTTCAATATTATTTGTTATGAATTGGGCTACTGTTGATGGTACAACTTCCTTTGTAAAACGGTACCAGTGTGATTTTATTTCATACAACTGATAATTTCTGAGCCTTCAGACTCAAACTCATTCAGAAAAAAAACATGTATATTAACTGCAAGTCAACTTCTGTTTAGATAATTAAGATCTGTTTGGGTAAATACGTACAAGTTCTGGATTGATTAATGATTTGTTTCCTTTCTTTAGAGAAAGTGAATGGATTATTTAAATACAGACACAGGTGGCTGTAAAACACAGTAGGCCTACCCCGTGGCCTATGATTATCAAATACATACAGATGGGGTTTCTTTGAATGTCCAGTGCATTTACGTGGTACATCAATCAGAATATTCTAAATAAGAGGTGCATTTGCCTCCTAACTTTTCATCAGATTGATGTTTTTAAAAATATTTTGACAAAATGTTTTGTGAACATAGGTCAACATATAATTTTTAAAATTTGTGTGAATCTTGATAAATTGGGATGATGTTTTATTTCTGTCAAAGGGTAGCTAATAATGTGAGATACAGCTATATCTCATTGCCATGATACATGAAACATGTATAATGAATGTCAGTATTTGTTATGATGTACAAAATGTAGATATTTGTATATAATTGTGGAAGCACATTGATTTGTATATAAAGGAGAAGAGATATGAGGATTCTGTAAATAAATATGTTTTAAGACATTTTAAAATTTGTTGTCAGTTTTTTCCATGTCATCTAAAATGACGTCTATGAACTGAAGGATAAATTAACCTATGCCGACATTAATGTTATTTGGTTAGGTAAAATACTATAATACCTTAATACTTTAAAAGCTTAAGAAAATTGTTTTAATGTCCTATGATTTGGTTATGTCAAACATTGTCATTAATTATTTCTATTTTTCCTTGAATAGAAATAAAATGTTGACAAAAAGCTGCACAGAAGGTTGGAAACTTGTGAAACAGTGAAGCCTGCAGACAAAAGTTTGGTGTAGAAAACAAAATCAGGCCCTAGATTTAGATCAAGACTTGAGAGACATTTAAGGCTTGTGATTTGTTTACATCTCAGGAATTACTTGTTTACAAAATTTGGCAATTACTTTAAATGACAACTTATTAGTAAATATGGTGTATTCCTATACAAAATAATGCACTGTGTATAAATGGATCAGGAGACTAGAATTTGGTGTACAACGTTCTACCAAAGAATATCCCCATACAACTTGCAACAATAAGTTGGTAAAATTAGTATAAAGGATATATAAATGTGTTCCCTGGATGGTACAGAGTGATCAATTTATTACACATTAAAAGAGTATAAACCTCTTTAAGTGTCTTTTGTACAATCTTTGTACCACTCACAGGGAGACAATAGTTTCTTAGAAGTGTTGATCAACAATGGCCAGTAATTTACTTTGGTACACAAATAAAATGTCATTGTACCTGTCAACCCTACATATTGCTGTAAGTCTCAGTGATTTTGGCAATTTTATCACAAACAACATCATACTACATACATGTATTAGGATTTTCCAGACTTTTGAAAAATTGACAATATGTTTGATAACAGAATATTAATTATTCTCATTTCTGTAGCTTGTTCGTGGATGCTTGCCTTTCTAAAACAATTACATGTACATTGTTAAGTGACAAATTACAACAAAAGAAAGTAATGTCAAATTTTTAATTTTTGACAAAACGTGTCTTATCACAAAATCATGCTCCGACAAAAATGAAAACATGTATTCAAATCAATATTTCTCAATTTTACAACATTCTAAACAGTTATCCATATGGAAAATACAATGATTGTTCACTATGATCACAGTATCTCATGACCACAGGAATTTCACATGAACATATTAATACTCTTTAATTCATCATGAGATTAAATGACTTTATAACCCAATCTTGTTCTTCATCTCAAATGAAGGTGCATAAAAAAATCAACACACGATATTACAGCTACAGAAAATGAAAACTGCTTCCTGACACAAGTTCATATTAAATACATAATATCATGATGTTGCACAATTTATCCACCACATTGTCTCCAAAATGTACACAGAAAAATTTCCCCATACTGGTTTACAATAGATCAAAAAATTCATTCTATTGGCATGCAAGTTGCCTTACATGATAATTTATTAAGTTTAAAATTTCGCATCAAGATCAATCGGACATAAACATCTTACATTTTTTATAATAGTCTGGTTGTAAATATTCTGCCATTTCCTCTATTGTTAACCACTTATAATCACTAACATGGTCACTAACAGTTATGTCCCCTTGACTGTACTCGGCTCTGAAGAAAAATACCTGAAACATGTGAAACAAAAAATGATATCAAGATACTGGCTTTTATTTTACTATTTACCTGACTAATATCAAATACAATGGCCAATTAATAAGAACAACAAGAAGAAGAAAACTGATAAAATTATCACCTATTGCTTTTTCTTACAATTAAAAATCAGTCAAATCTTGTAGTTCAAACTTATTCTTGTAAACCTAGTTAAATTTCCAAGTGTTGTAAATGCTTTAATGAATCATTATTGTGTAGCAATCCATATGAGCTGACCCCTGAAGCATCTCGCTTTCCAACCTTTAGAACATCTGGCCTTCAAACCTTTGAATCATCTTACTTTCTAAGTTGTTGGAATATCTGACCTAACCTGTAGAACATGTGACCTTTTAATTTGTGGAACATCTGACCATCTAACCAGTAGAACAACTCACCTAACTGTGGAACATCTAACAGTTTGACCTGAGGAGTATCTGACCTTCTAACCTGTGTCTCATCTGATCGAACTTGTGGAACATTTGACTTTCTGATCTGTGGAACATCTTACCTTCAAACCTGTGGATATCTTACCTTCAAACCTGTAGAACATCTTGCTCTCTCACCTTTTGGGTATATTTCAAATGCTACAAAAGGTTACTTTACCTTTTGTCCATTTGCACACAGTTTTTCTTTGATAGTCTTAGAGAAGATGTTCCTGTAAAATCCACAAGGGGCGTTTCCCATGAACTTGGACTGGACACTGTCTCCACAGAGTTTTCCGAGTGCTCTTTCTGCTGTCTTAAATGCAAAATATAAATATACTTAGTTGAACATGTACTTTAGGACATTATCTAGCAGTAGCCACTGAAAATTGATGTTTGCTGTAACAATGAAATAAAACCCTTCATACACATTTCTCAGGAAAATCCTTATTAATTTCAATGATTTTAGATTTTAAATAAGTTGTATGAGTAATTTACTATTACATACATGTGTATAATTTCCTTTGCTGCTTCTGAGGAAATTTTTATCTATAAAACACAATTCACAGTTCAATTACAATTTCCAGTTATTTCATTTCAAAGACCCTTTAACCTAAGCTCATATTATTCAAATTTCAAACCTTGAATGGAAACCAAGGGGATATTAAAATTCATATCGATTATCAAGTTTGGCACTATTTTCAATTGGCAAATTCCTTGCAGAAGATAGCAAGTTTTCAACATGTTGATTGTACATTTGAATGAACTTGAAACACGACTATATTCTTCTGTAGTATGAAAGTGCAATTTTCTAAATCCTGCAAAGCATATCACTATGATAAGCCACTTTCCATTCCTACAGTGGTTTTTGATCCAGATTTGACTATCACAGCATGAATTAAAAATGCTCACTTTCTTTATTTGAATGATCATGAAAAAAATATTTTAATTCTGAATGAGGATTTCAACATGGCCACTGATTTGTCTTGTACCTCTCGCATTGATTCATTCTCCACATGGTCGCCCTGGGGTAGGATCCAATGTTCTACCTCACCAAGTCTCTGTTTAACCACAAGGTATAATTTCTTGTCAAGCTTTCTATTCAGAGACTGTAGGTCATTTTCTTGATCAGCAACTGAAACCAGTAAAATAAATTCTGAATGATTGTGCGACTCAGACTACCCTGTAAGTCTATCAGCCTCTAGATCTGTATACAGCATGGTGGTTTCAGTTCTGTATTTACAGGATTATAAGTGGCACCTTTTTCACTCATCATTCGGGCATGCGGCTTATATACTGGTGCGGCTTATATGTGGACTAGAAAAAAATTGGCAGGATGAAAAAAAGAAAAAGAAACAGGAAGTGTACCAGTAAACCAGTACGAGATGGTTTGAGTTTTTTTACGAGTACCTGCCAGTCATCTGTTTGTGACTGAAACAGATTGTCTAGAGCCATCATTTACAATCACATACAGGATAATTTTAAGATTGAAATAAAAACAGCATTCTTGTGGATTTAATAAATCATACTTTTTCATATGAATCACAATAATATCTTCTGGACTTTCATGGTTACTTTGAAGCAATAGAGGAAGTTTACAATAGCCTTTTGCATCATGGGTTGATAAGTCGACCGATTATAGGTCGAATTCTAAAAAAAAATAACCATGCTTGTTTGTGATATGAAAGGCTTCATGTAACTAAACAAGAAATAATATGGGACTATCAGAATTTAGCAAGCATACAAGTGCCTTCGTGAATATTTCATCATACAGTCATCGATGGAGAGATTGCTTGGTAAACCATACATAATGTCAGACCCTATATCTGTGCGAAGACAATCTGTGAAGGCACCCAAGCCAAATTCAATATTTGCTATTTTAGGTTTTTTGAAACACATCAATAAAATAAAGGATTATCTGTATATAATTCATTTGCAAACTCTAATGAATGTTTCACTGAGGATAAAGATCGATCTTTATAAATTGCCCTCAGTTGTCTGTTATATCAACAAACTTTGGTCAACGTAACAGTTACCACTTCGTAAGAACTGCCTTTCATTATCTATTACTGATATATCAAACATCAACAACAGTGGTAACCACATCTTAAGAAAGACACAACTTATATACTAGTGCGGCTTATAACCAAAAAATATTGTATATGACACTCCAACATTCAAAAGATATGTCCTTTCATTTCTTCATAGATCATCAAAACATCTTTATTTTTCTACAAATTTAAAACAATGAGAAATTATTTACCCGTTTCTCTACTTCCTTCAGAAAAATTAAGAGCTTCCCTTTCCCAGGCATCCTCCATATCAACAGCTGTGAGTTTTCCCTCTTCTGTCATATCAGCAGTTCCTCCTACTTTTTCAACATGATGCGAAGTGTCCGACTCCTCTGTCTGTTTCTTTTTTAAACTGACAATGATGATACATTAAACAAATATTTTATCTTCAGAATTTCTTTTCTTTTTCTCTCCTATGTTTTTGCATCTGATATAAAGATATGTACTTTTACAGGTCTGTATAACCATTAATTGAAAAGAAAAGGACAATAAATTACAATTACATCATCTGTGTTAAAAAAAAAGTTTTTAAAAATTAAAGCAAATACATCAGTAGATGTTTACAGGCAACAAGTAAATCTGATTAACAATATACTAGTTTACTTACAGGTCATCCAAGTGTTTCAATTCATGGTCACATAAAATACTTCTTTCTAATTCAATTTTCTTCAGATTAATGTTAAACCTCTCTTCCTTTTCAGTCAGCGGTGGAACTATGATGGGATATCGTTCTAAGCACACTGCACTTGCTAATATCCATTTTTCATCTACGGATTTACTTTCAGTGGCAGTAGCTGTGGCCAGAGATGCACTCTGATAGGCTGGAAATATAAAAAAAAACACACATTTACAATAATCTCTTGTGACAGAAACATTGTAGTATTAACCTCTATCTTAATTCTGTATACTATATTTTCCTTCTTTCCCATATGACTTATTGTAAATTAGCAAGATAAGATGGTATTATAAATTTACATTTAACTGGTCGCTTTCTATACACAATACACAGGATTATAGGGGCCAAATTTGTTGAAACGACTTTGGGTTCATCCAAAGGCCTGAAACATCATAGTTGGCTAAAAGATTTTGGGCAAAAAATCCCACATCAGAGTTCCAAAAAACCACTGGATGTCTTGTGTCTGCCGATGCTTTGCCGGCGTCATTAATTATAAATACATATACAATAAGTTGGCAAATGTTACGCCTTTTAAAGGCTTTTGCCCTTTCACATTAAAGGATAAATATTACGATCTATATGAACCTTCAATGACAGGGCCTCCAAAATCTACCTATGGACACCAATGCAAACATCCGTTGCGTAAATTTGACAAGTAACTTATTTGCAATGACCAAAATGAAATTTCATTGTTGGATATCTACTTTCATGAAATGTTACCAATAAGCACACGTGATTTTACCTCTGAAAGCTGTAAGCCGCTGTGCAAAGCGTGGAAAAATGTTCAACGAACTCCTCACAAGAGTAGCCATGCTTATGACAGGAAGTGCCTATGCTATGATAAACGGACAACGGAAACTGTAAAAAAAAATCCGGATAAAAATATGAGTAGGAAGTCAGGAATTGATATAATAAAAGATTATCAATCAGTCGTGATTTATTCATTAATAGAAGTTGTAGTAATACTTTTTAAAATCAATTTGTTCTCAACAGAATAAAAATAAACTTGTGTATTCTGCATACCTGCTATAGGTGTCATCACCACCAGAAACTATCATCATCACCATAACTGTTACAGATGTCATCATTAATATATGTTTATGTCATCACCACCAAAACTGCTATAGGTGTCATCATCACTATCATACCTGCTATTGGTGTCATCATCACCATAACTGTTACAGATGTCATCATTAATATATGTTTATATCATCACCACCAAAACTGTTATAAGTGTTACCACCACCATATCTGTTACTGGTGCCATCACCACTATAGGTTTCATTCCCACCAAAACTGTTTAGGAATCATCACTACCATACCTGTTATAAGGTGTCATCACTAACATTACAGATACAGGTGCCATCACTTTGATAACTGCTATTTGTTATCTTGGCCATTAGTGCTCAAGGTGTCAACAGTATTATTATTTCTGTTGATGACATCACGACCAAACCCACTGATGGTTTGCCTTGTCATTGGACATTTTCTTCACCAAATGATGTCGGTCTTGTCCTTGATGAAGATAAAAAGGCCCAACAGACCTGCATTGATAATCTGGTGTTCATTACTTTTCACAAATACATTAACATTTCTCATCATTGACATTCAGAGTCTGAAGTACTATAATTTCAATCTATTTGACCCCTGTAACCTTAAATACAAGCAAATGTCATCTCTTTTTGAAAACTTAGAAACTTGAAAATGCCAAATGTCAAGATTCTAGACATTTTGGTTAATAAGAAGAGTTGGTTTGAATGTTTTCATAAATTTCACCCCAGTGATCTTGGTTTTGGGTCAAGGTCATTTCTTTTTTGAAAGTTTGTCATGCTTCAGCCAAATATCATTATTCTAGGCTTCTTGGTTTTTGAGAATTTCTTCAAAGGGAAAAATTGGTGCTGGATAGACAATGGGTGCCAAACTACTACAAGGGGCCCAAGGGCCTTAACAGTCACCATAGTTACAAGGCTTCTTGTAACATGTCATAGAAATAATCTTATTGGAAAAAGTAAGATAATGTAAACTACATTGTACACATGACACAAATGTAAACTTTGCATAACAGTAACTAATGTCTTATGCTATGGGATCTAACCAAGTTTGAACTAAAAGAAACTGCACCCAAAAATGTAATTTTCCTATGTAAAGTCTTCCATCCATGAACAGTGTTAAATAGATTCAATTATATATGGGTATCGAGACAATCTTTGACATTTGAGTCATTTTGACCCCTTAGGCCTTCTTGCCCATGGGGGTCAGCCAGGATCATCATGTTTATATCTTCAAACTATCAACTTAAACTAATAATGCTAACCATGTTTAAACTATTTTCAACAGAAAGAAAACAAGTTATGCTCAAAAATGTCACATTTCCATTATAAACTATAGTAAACTTTACCCCCTCCAAAAGGGGAAATGCAAGACCCTGGATTGATGAAGTTCACAATTTTGGCAAAATACCCTAAGACACTTCCATCCATGAAGAGTATTTAGTTCTACTTCAACTGGGAATGGAGAAGATTTTTGAAGATTTTATCAATTTGACCCTTTTTGGCCCCACTCCTCAGGCCCTTGGGGAGAGGACCCTATAATTTACAAATTTGGTGCTCATTTGGCCATGGAAGGTTTTCTGCAAAATTTTGTTGTAACCAGTTCTAGAGTTTTCCTGAATGAGTCGAAAATTTTACAAGTTAATGATGCATGACGCCAGACGAAAGTGCAATCGCAATAGGTCACCAGAAGACTCTGATGACCTAAAAACAGAAAAAAACAATGTCAACAAGTTTCAATAGGTTTTATTATGACAAAATACAAACAGCATAATATTATGATGTCAGGAAAGTTATGTCCATATATCACATTGAATAATATCCAATTCCATGTCCCAATCTCCACTCCAAACACATAAATGTTGATTGCATATGAGATTTGTAGACTCCACAGAACTTGTCATTTCCTTATTAATTGAATGTTCCTTTTCAATATTTTTTATATTGATTAACATTAGGTAATGCAAAAAGATGTATGTGTTTCTAGTGACTTGTTAGAAAAATTAAGGGTAGGTAGATGGGCAAATTTTTTATTCTAACAAATAATTTTATGTGGTTTACCTGGTATATTGGATAGATCTTGACTTCAAAAATGCTTCTTTCAAATTGCCTTGAAAAGTTTGTCACAAAAAATAGCATAGATAAGGTTAATAGAAACAGAAGTGCTTTTCATTTGGCCTTACAAAACTGAGACTAACTGCTGCAGGTATCCAAAACACTCCATTTCCTCCTTCCACCAATCTCCACCACCCTACATCATAAACTTAGTTCTCCTAAGTAAACAAAGGGCTATAATTCTAGAAGGTTGGGTCATAATGGCACTCTTGAAAAAATATTTTTGCTTTTTTTTTTAATAGCATTACTTTGCTGATCAAGATAGAGGTGTGTAGTGGTTCTAAAAGTTTAATGAAACAGAAATACCAGGAGGAAAATCAGATTGGTACCAGGTGCCCTGTAAGTGATAAAATGTAAGTGTGATGCCCTTAAAAATGTGCTTTACAGTGGACAAGGGGCCATACCTCAATAAAGCTAATCATGTTACTGGTCAGTCTAGTCCATGGCCATTCCCAGGTAGGCCACTCAACGTCTAGAAAAGTGATATAATATAGCATCTGCCAAACTGAGAGACTGAGAGATGGAATGCAAATGGCAGGAACTATTAACAATGCGATAAACTCTAAAAGAATAAATTTGAACACGGATATTTCAATGCAAATAAAATGAACAATAATTTGTTCTCTTGCATGAAACATAAACAATTCCAGTTATCACAGAAAGGTGATGTATGAACTAGATCTGACATCCTTCCATCAATAGGTAGTGGGTCAGCTCACTTGGTATTTCTTCTTCAGTTTTTCAATGTCTGCATCAGAAGCATATCCTCCCTTCTTTACACTCTCAAACAATTCTTTTATAACTGTGGACAAAGTAACATACGATTCAGTTTTTCATAATGAAGGAGTTTATTATAAACAATTAAATATGGTAACTGTGGGGAAAACACAAACCGAACATAGCTTTTTAAGTATACACAAAAGTAGTTTACTGTACATATACACACAGAGGTCACTAAAGTAGTACACTGTATATATACACACAGAGGTCACTATAGTAGTCTACTGTATACATACACACAGAGGTCACTAAAGTAGTCTACTGTGTGTATACACACAGAGGTCACCAAAGTAACTCACTGTATACATACACACAGAGGTCACTATAGTAGTCTACTGTATACATACACACAGAGGTCACTAAAGTAGTCTGCTGTATATATACACACAGAGGTCACTAAAGTAGTCTACTGTATATATACACACAGAGGTCACTATAGTAGTCTACTGTATATATACACACAGAGGTCACTATAGTAGTCTACTGTATATATACACACAGAGGTCACTATAGTAGTCTACTGTATATATACACACAGAGGTCACAGAGGTCACTAAAGTAGTCTATTATATACATACACAGGAATTCACTGTATACACATGCATGCACACAGAGGTCACTAAAGTAGTCTACTGCATACACACAGAGGTCATCAAAGTGATTCACTGTATACACATGCATGCACACAGAGGTCATCAAACCAATTTTGCACAATTAGTAGTTTACTTACCTTGTTGGTCCTTCCGAGAGAAAAACATGACAGTCATGTCAAACCGTTTAACACCACAGAGGTGACATAGGTGAGGATACACATTGATACCATCACTACAAAAAGAAATAAATAATAATGAAATTTCCAAATACATAAAAATGTTATTGGTCTCATGACATGATGAAAGATAAAGTTAATTAAGTGTTACCACTGAGAATTTAGATATATCAGAATCAATTTGAGACAGGGTCTCAATGACAACTTCACTAAAGAACATATGGGAGGTCTGTGTCACATGCTATAGAGAACAATTGGGGGGAAATGTCTTGACCAAGGACGAAAAAACATCAGCAAAGACCAGTCCATTTCTCAGTTCCCCGAAGAATCACACACCACTACAGAAAGGCAGCATCAGACTACACACCTCAAATCTCTATCCAGGAAACAAAAACCATCACAGGATGGTAGTAATTTCACCCAAAAAGACAAACTGGTGTTGAGCATTGAACCACACACCTCGGATCATCACCTGGGAAACACAAACCTCCACAGGAAGGGATCATCAAACCACATACCTCGGATCTTCACCTGGGAAATATAAACCTCCCAAGGTAGGGATCAAATCACACACCTCGGACCTTCACCTGGGAAATACAAACCACCCCAGGTAGGGATCAAACCACACACCTCAGATCACCACCTGGAAAATGCAAGCCTCCACAGGAAGGAGATCATTGAACCAAACACCTCGGATCTTCACCTGGGAAACACAAACCTCCACAGGAAGGGATCATTGAACCACACACCTCAGATCTTCACCTAGGAAATATAAACTTCCCCAGGTAGGGATCAAACCACACACCTCAGATCACCACCTGGAAAATGCAAGCCTCCACAAGAAGGAGATCATTGAACCAAACACCTCGGATCTTCACCTGGGAAACACAAACCTCCACAGGAAGGGATCATTGAACCACACACCTCAGATCTTCACCTGGGAAACACAAACCTCCACAGGAAGGGATCATTGAACCACACACCTCAGATCTTCACCTGAGATTGTAAAGACCAATACTATACCAACTGAGATACAAATGCTATCATAGCGCCCAACCTTAATGGCCAAGCAGGGCAGCGGGATACACATAGCATATAATATAATAATTTTTTTTGCTTACCGGAGAAAATACTGTTGAAATACTGTTAACATCTTGAGTAAAATTTCAGCATCTAAGGCTTCACCAAACAAATTAAAGTAGCTGCTTGGATCAATTGGCTGTAACAAAAAGACATTTTAAGAAGTTTATAGAATAATAGACAATATTGGTTACTTTTGAAGATAACCTATCTGAAATCTTACCAATACCTATGAATCAATATAATTAGTCTACAAATAAGTATGAAGCACGACTACGGCCACATGATTTGATCAATTATCTAATCTTTTTCTGCGTAACAGTGGTATTATTTATTTTAATGCCTTCAATAGGAATCAAAGCCTGAACTGTTGGTTTACATGTCTAACACTCAAACAATCAAGCTAAAGAAAACATGACTCCATCCGAATAGCATATATTGGCTAGTATTTCTTAAGGTGAAATACATACCCTATGTACAAATGTATTGGTAAATCAATATTTTATAACACTTAAGTTATTGAAAGTATATATCAAAGCTGTGCTCACTCTTGATTTATCGTCAAATAATTATTGAGCAAGATCGTAAGTCTGACCCTACTGTCTCATAATTTACCAGTAATCACCTTTGATAAAAACAAAACAAAGGTCAAAGGTTATAGAATTATCTTCATCTGTATAACTTTCTTACTTGGTAAATCATGTCTCAAATACTTAAACCTGACAATGGAGATGTCGTGTTCTTTCACTGACCTTAATATACATGTAGAACTGTTCCAGGTCATTTTTCAACATTTTGTATCCTGACTGGAACTGGAAAGAAGATTGTGGTGTTTGCAAGCCTCTTGGTGACACAGATTCACTTCCTCTGTCACGGGGACTATCAGCAGAATTAACTTTCTGAGATGTCTTCTCAGCAGTTTTCTCCATTTTCACTTTTTCTGATAAATCCAGAGAAAGATCATTAGTATTGTTTGTTAACTCTTCAATCATAACAGTACTACTCTTGTTGTCAGGACTTGGGGACACAGATTGAATGAGGCTAGAATGTTCTTCAACAGGAGTTGGGTTGCTTGAGGTAAATTTGTCAAACATGACTTCATCCCTTGCGGTGATGATTTTTTTTGCTTCACTCTGTCCTTCCTTGACTTTGTGAATGGCAGACCTTCTCTCCAAGTCCTCCTCCATCCCTACCTCTTCAATGTGTATCCTCCTCAACCGTTTCTACAGATATAGGAGAAAAGATACATTGATGTCTTTGAACTTTTTGATACAACTGTATTGCAAATTATATCATGCCATAAAATTATATACATGTATATCATCATATATCAACATATAACTTTATCATAAAACACCCAGAAATAATGTCACCTAAGATGTAATTAAATGTAACATATTGTACTTACAACTGTCCCTCACTATAACATACAATACAAACTGAAATCCATCTATCATAACACTCTACTTTTTTTACTCACTACTTTAAAAAAAGGTGACACTATATCATAGTATTTTTTCACATAAATTTCATACACATGTATTATTTATTTGCTTAATTCTACTTTTTAACTTCCGTTTATTTAAGTCTTTGAACTTTGAACTTAAGTACCGAATTGTGAAGTAAAACTCTGTTCAAGCCAACAGAAATAAAACTAAATGTTTTAAGAAATGGCCAGTGTTCATTTATAAGAGCCATTTTTTTAACATACAGACCTGGGAGCGTTCGTGTGGTGGTTTAGAGATGGGCCTGACCAGACCAGCATCAGGTGTAGTCACTGTTTGTACCTGACTCACCATCTTTTCCTTCAGGATCTCCTGTAAATTAAACGGGACACAATATACTGGCCATATAACATACCAAGCAAATGAATATCATTAATTAGACATAAATAGGGAAGTGACACAGTGACAAAGGGTAGGACTCTACTAGTACAATGTACACTGTAGCCAGTGTTTCTGAATGTAAAATTAAATACTGAGATAAAATCTACTGTTAAAACATATATACCACGTATAACAACATTTTACCTCATCTTTGTAACAGTGTTACCCTTTGTTTAAAACTAGGGATGTCAATGTATATTTGAATAGTTGTTGATTACATTGTTGTTTATTTGACAATATTAGTTTTCCTACCTCTAAATCTTTTGTTTTAATTGGTTTTCAATTTATGGCCTCGGGTGTCATACACCCTCGGGATACAGGACACCTTCGGGTAAATAGAAACATTCATATTTCCCAGTAACCTGGGTCATGGGTCATAAATGTATTAATATTTTTCCCTATTCTGAATTTTTACACCAATCCAGTCCTGATTCAACACACCTTTTCTATCTTCTCAATTTCTAACTTGGCTTTTTTATTCTCGGGTTCCAATAATAAAACCTTCTCAAATGTTTCCTTGGCCTGTGCATATTTTTTTAGACCAATCCTGGCGGAGCCGAGTCTCAGATGAGCCTTGGTATACAGAGGGTCCAGTGCTAGTGCTGTCAGACAGTCAGTTTCTGCTGAGGCAAACCTGCAAATTAACAACAATTTAATATGAAAATCTATTTACATATTGTATTTACAATAAGCACTCTAGATGAACAGATATCTCTGCCATAGCACTACTGCAAACTTACCAATCAACCAATCAAGTGACTTTCATGAACTTTTTTACAGTCAGAAAAAAGGTTGTTTCTGCGTAAAACAGAGTCTACCTCTTTATTTCCTTTAGAAAAAACACTTAAGAATATTTTCAAACATTTTCTCTACGAACAGACTACAGAAATATTGCATACAAGTATCTAGATAGTTGAACGGCCAGTCAGATGCTTTGGCTTGACATTAAAACAGGACCAAAAATCTCCATCGACCAACACAACATCAGAGACCAGTAGTTGACTTACTTATCTTGTTTCAGAAGTGCCATGGCCCTGTTGGCTGGAAGGAGTGGGTTACAGGCATCAAGGAGCATCCCACGACTATAGGCCTCAATCGCATTAGCATAGTCTTCTTTCTTGAAAAACTCATTACCCTAAAAATAAAAATGTTGGAGTAACATCCTTCCCAGTGCTTAATCAATGTGACTATACTTGACAGGACAAGTCAGTGTTTGTCATTTGAAAGGAGAACATGTAAAATGAAGATAGTGCGATCAACCATTGGAACTCCTTGTCACATCATGTCGTTCCACCACCAAAACTGAAATCTTCTGGGGACAACCATGGAATTGATAGGGACCTTTTACTGTCTGGAAACATCTGATCTAGATGTACAACACAATCTCACTATTAAGACCACTTGGGGACTGGACAAAAAATGGTCTTACTAGCAGCATGGTGTGAATAGCAAGTATGACCAAGCATGACCACTTTTGTCGGATAAATGGCAAATGTACATTGCGGAATACACACTAGATTTTCATGACTAGTCAGAGGTCTGATCAGTGAGGTGAAATTCAATGCAAAACTGGTCTTCAGGATTTTTAAAAACTGATCTTAGTTGCAAATTGGCTGCAACAGTGAGGGGTTTTTAATAGTATATGATACAAAGACATGTAAAGGATTTTTAGGACTTAAATGGAGTGGTCTTAATAGTGAGATGGTCTTACTCTTAAGGTGCTGAACAGAGTCCAGTGCAATTATATATCTCTAAATTGTATGAATTATATGATCAAGTAATTTCTGTAATCAATGAGAACATCATGTGTACACACATCTTAGTATTCCTACCCTGTCCTTTTCAAGAATAGCTTGTTGTTTTTTCCTTTCAACCTCCCACTCTTCATCTGTCTCATATTCAGATGATTCTGCAGACTGTTTTTCATCATCTGCTTCATCACAAAGCTTGTCCTGTAACAAATTATCTCTGTTGTTTTATCCATAAGTAATTTTTATCTAAAACAACATTTAATATGAAATTGATCATTTGAAATATCAACTTTTATACAACAATGCAAGATAATGGATATTCTAATGAAATGAATATTCGAATGGAGTATGTTAAACATTTTGAAATTCATTTTTCACATTGAAACTTTAAAAACACAGTTCTAAGTAAAGAACAGAGACATAAAACAATTCAAATAATTCATAATGTTGTAACTTTTCGACCTGATCTTAAGACTGACACAGGCACTTGGTGAGGTAACAGAATGAATCATTTTTGAACTTACATAATCAAGTTTGTCCCAAGCTCTGAAATCATAGCCACTGAGTTTTTTCTTCTCTTTTCCTTTTTTCTGGTCTTCTCCAGATTTTACTTTCTTTTTTCTTTTTTTCTTGTCCAAACTATTTCTCACTGGTGGAAGTTTCTGAAATAAAAAGAAAGCAATTCATTTACCTTATACCTATAGCTAGTTTGTTTTTTTTGCAAACACAGGAATCTGACCTGTATCGCATCTTACAATATTCCAGGTGGAGAAAATCACATTTGCATGTAATATGCTAACTAGCTTATTACACTGTTTCTATGTTAGTTGGCATATGGATTTGTTACTTAAAAAATCAAAAATTGCTTTTGCTTCTCACAAAAACAGCTATTGCAAAACATTATTATAAGTTGCATTATTTTCATACAAGTTAATTAATCTTTAACTAAAACATGTTTACTGAAATTGCTTCCTACTTAGGAGCATGACATAACGATCACAGTGTCAGAAACTATACTATCCTAACAAAGGCTATATAGGCCAGAAGTACTGCATCTTTTTCGTTACTATCCCATGCATATGCAATAATTTTCATTTTTAAAGATGAAGTTTTTATGAGACTTGGGCAAACAAACTGAAAAAAAAAGCGAAATTCAAAGTGATTTTGGCTACTTTTAGTAAGAAATGTACATTGCAATCGGCTAGTATGTGTATTATTTGCAAAATTTAAGGTTATCCTCGACCTGATATTGGGATTAGTTTTATCGTAACATCTAGAAAAATTGTGGCTAAACCCTGACGCTGATCTTAGATTTTAACCGAAAGAAACATAGTTTTACATATCTGGTTCAGGTTGGTATATATTGAACCCAAACATGAACTCTCCTTCATTTCTTAGTTGATCTTGACACTACAATACTTTTCATTGACATTACCGACTACAGAATGTCAAGAAGTACCAAACATTATTACGGATATGAGTTCGTGGGTATAACATTGAACTTTGTCACTTTCATTAAGTATAAAGTTATATTACTGAAAATAGCTCTTACAGGCTGTTCTAGATTTTTCCCCTTCTTAAGCATTTCATCTTTTTTCTTCACGTCCTTTTCCCATTTGTCCATATCCCGAAGAAAATCGCCTAAGTCCGCTTGACTCTCCCTGACTTGTTTTTGCAGAGTCAACATCTTCTCTTCATTCGCTGACACATTCATTTTGTAGCTACGACGAGTCTGTTTGTCTTCAAAATAAGTGTTTGGGTTCCAAAATGCACGTTTGGTCTACTCAATGGGCGCAGACATGTTGGATTTGGAATCCGGAAGTTGTATAGTGTGCATGTCAATTAACCTTTGACCGAATCCAATGTAAATATCAGAATATTTCTAAAATTGATCGAAGTCCTAGGTATCTAAGTTACCTGGCTCTGCCCATGAACCTGTTCAGTCAGCTCGTGACGCAGAAAATATATTGAATATAAGGTAAGCTGGCAAATAACTTATCTATTGGAATGACAATGCATTGTGTCGGTGCACCCATGTCACAAAGGCGAATAATATATCGACATGCTGTAGATCATTTAATGGTATTTTTAGTTGAGTTTCCAACAATTAAACCGTGCTGTGGCATACCTCATCTGGCTCTTATATAGATATTTTGACAAACACGTGTATAGAGGTCTGGTAAGGATCCAAACCAGACCTGTCCGCCTTATAATGTCTAGTCGTCGGAGATTTATTGGAGTTATGACAAGATTTAACTTGCATAATGCATATTATGTAATATTAATTGTGTACTTCTCATTGTGTAAAACCGATATGAATGCAGCACGTTCCATCTAGTACATGCATTAATTTGATTTTTAATTAGCTTTAAATTGCCTGGAAATGTGCGGTATTGTTTGTTTGTTTATGTTTGTTTGTTTGTTTGTTTTCAAACACTTTTAATACTAAAAATATTTACGGGAAATAGTCCATAGTTCATAAATAAACAAATCAAATATTGTGTAGATACGAAATCAAATGCATTGAGGTTACACAACGAGTGCTTGTTATAGATATACATATATATATGTGTGTTTTTTTTTGTTTTGTTGTTTTTTATTATTTTTTACTTTTTTTTAACTTTTTACTCTCGTTTGTTATTTTTCTGAAGTTACAAATAACTAACTCAATCGAAAGAATACCATACAGCCACTCGTTGCGTTACCTCTTTTCTATTCATGCCTAGGAAAATGACCAGAGCGGCTGACAAATCGACGTTAACTTTCTTATCAAAATATCGACGACATACTCCATTGTCTTACATCTGTTAAAATGCGTTCTGTTATAGTTGGAGTATACACGAGTTTATCCAGGAAAGTTTGCATTCCTCCTAATAAATGACGTCTTCTACTTTTACGGATAATTCACCCAACCGTATTAACCAACGGCGTGAACTTTGATGGAAATTTTGACAGCCATTCAGTATCAAACGACGTCAATATGTCCCCGGAAAACTTATCAACTTCGATATCAAAAATCGTTAATATGTCTCCGGAAAATTTGTCAGTCCTGATATCAAAAGACGCCAATGCGTCCCGAAAAAATTGTCAATCCCGCTATAAATATTTATGTGTTTCGGAAATTTTGCCAACCACTTATTTCAAACGACGTCGATATGGCCTCCGGAAGATTTGCCGATCCCCGTTTCCAAACGACGCTAATACATGTCTGTCATGCGGAAATTTTGCCAAACAAGGGGAAATTGACAAAAATTACTTAAGAACGGCTGAGAAGTTAGCAACCTCTGACAAACGTAACGTAAATAACGAATGTTACCTCACATCACAGATTTTCTACACGTTTTAGTGATAGTATTTCAAGTACACGCAAAGCTGCAGAACATGACAGACCTGTTCAACTGGAATCGTTATTGAAAATGACATACCAAAGGCCTATAGCCATATCATCTGTGTGTGTGTGTGTGTGGTTTTTTTTTTTTTTTTTTTTTTTTCACCTTTATTACAAGCATACTCGGGTATATCGTAGCCCAACCCGCCATGTCTGGTTTGAATACAACGAGTGTTATTGTAGTACGTCATATGGCTAGATATATGTTCCACCGGATGTATTTGTCATAAGACAAACGCAAATGATTACAATTTCAGACTAGTTTGTTCCCATGCGTGGAAGTTCGAGATTAGCTAGGCTGTAGTAATATGTTCGCTCCGTATACACCCAGGACTACCTCTGTGCACTCATTTGAACGACGGTAACATATTCAAGCAAAACACACTCGTACCATAAGGTACGTTTCAATATATCGGAGTCTCGATCTAGGCGTCACACATACTGAACATGTTACTGAAGTATTACACAATGGCTCGTTTTGAAGGGCGCCTGATATACACGTGATCATGTTAGTCCTTGAAATCGATCTACACGTTCCAGTATAATGTAAATCTAGACATTACAGTGTCATCGATGTGGAGCCACGTTCTGGCCACGTGCTAGTCTCTCAAGATTTAGTTATCCCACAGTAAAATATTCTCGATTTTATAGAAACCTGAGTACGTACTGAAAAGTGAACTCTGTGCACGTATATATATATTTGCAGAAGGTATTTTGAGATTGCAGGAAATGACGTAATCAGAAAATGTGTTGTGCCTCAAAATGAAATGTCAGTTTTAGAAGGGGACTTAGATCTAGAGCCGTACTTAGTGTGTATTCTCTCGTGATAAAAGGTATACTACACAATATGTATATGTGTGCAAATTTGATATATTTGGTCCTATCTCGAGCCCTACACTGAGAGTAGGTAGTGTGGATAGCCAGATGTGTGATGTCCTTCAAATACATAATGCATAGCTTAAACCAGGTGTAACGCTAATATTTCCTTGTGACACGCTTCTTTGACAAATCATAATTGTTTATGTTATACGGGAGGTACACGCGTCCCGTCCCGAAACAACACCATCGATTTGTAGATTTTTAAAGGAATTTTTATTTAACCATAAAAATTTACACTTTGATGCTATGGTAATAGTCACAATATTTCAGAGAAATATGTTTAAGAATAGGCCTGTAGGAGCGGAGGGATGGGTGTGGGGGAGGAGGGGGTTAATGTATTGCACTTTCGTGGGATGCGTTCGAGACTCTGTCCGGAACGTCCAGAACATCACAAACAACGAGAGACTATCCCCAGAAAGCTATTCTTGAACTGTCCCCACTGTGTCCGTGGAAATCGGTGGTGCAAACTTTCAATGTAAATACTGCGATTTAAAATTTCGCCTACTTGCGGCGACAATGTAAGTCAAATGTTATGATATAAACGTACCGATATGCATTTTTCGTTCAAGAGGTACTGTGATGAATGATATAGCGATTTGTCGAATTGGGCTCGATACTATGACTGATCACGGGTATAGTGTTACCATTGTACGACGTCACTCCGTCATGAACGGATTCAGACATCAAGTTGTACCCTGATGTAGCTACGTTTATATGATAATTATACTGTACCCGTAAAATTTTTATTATGTTATTTCCAATCAATTTCTGTTCTAGCCGCCGTCATTTCACTTCGAATTTTTTAGATTAAAATCAACTCACAAAAATGGTTAGACTAATGCTGGAGAACCTTGCATAACTCCGTTTTTGACATTTGAGAAACAAACAGTTCAGTTTTATTTCATGAAAATGGCAGCACCCGTGGTCCTTGGGTGACGTTTTATTAACTGAAGTAAAAAGGGCATTGGGATCGATGACAAAGCTGTACAACTGGACATTACTAACGTTTTGAAAAGAAAGCGCAATCCTAGATGTAAACTAAAGTAAACACAAGGAAAGGGTGCAAGGAGAAGAAAACGATGCATTCCGGAAGTGTAGAGTGTTTTGCTACATCGACAATACTCGTCATGCGAATCAGGGTCTAATTCAAGTATGTCACGTTCTCGCATTAACAACGAAAAAATCGGACACACTAATCGGAGTAGGGAACAATATGACTAATGTATGGTGCTTAAGAATTCAATAAACATATATCGTTTGTCATTGTTTTTTCTTCCAGGAGATGACAACCCTTCAGACCCGTCAGAAGGCCGTACCGGCATGGGCTCGATTCTATTTCTATGGGATGCACGGTCTTTTAGATGAAATTGTGTTCACAGCACTCTTCGACATGGTGTTCGAACCCGGCGGAAACAAGTCGTTAAAGGGTCATTCAAGTATTTTCTCCTTCTTCATATACGGTAGCTGTTCGTTCCTTGTTGAACAGTATGTGTTTCTGTTGCTAAAGCATCGTGTGCCTAGATACATCCGTTTGATTCCATATCTGTGTATACTCTACACCTGGGAGTTCTCCACTGGCCTCATGCTACGTCAGTTTGGGGCGTGTTCTTGGGACTACAGTCACTACAAGTACAACTTTATGGGCCTGGTCACGCTGGAGTATGCTCCCTGTTGGCTCGTTCTGTGCTTCTTGCAAGACGTGCTTTTTGAGTATTTACTCAGTCTTTCCATTAACACCGAGGTGGATGTTGATAGAAAAGAAAAGAAAAACAGTTGATGTTAATTACAACTAGTAGTAATCTTCATCGTTCCTCAGTCAGTAGGGATGCATTTTTTCAGTTCCATCCCCCTACACACTAGTAACATCATATTTTAATGTCAAACAATGTACCAACATGCAATCCATACCACATACAATGTATTTTTATTTATTCATTTTAAAATTCGTCAATCCCGGGCTCGACCACTACAGTGCAATTAAGTCATCAAAAATGAAACAAAAAATCTTGAATTTATGAGCATGCTGATCGTGGACTTCACAATATCGTGAGGTTATAATTTTCTACAGGTGTGTGGTGAAATAGTCACTTGTAGATCATATTTTATATAACGCTACTGAACAAAATAAAGTTAACGTTTGCGTTTTCAGGTTTTCATTAAGTATAGGACGATGTTCTTTTTTAATAGACGTTTTATTTGGAATTTTTCTGTGTTTTCTACCACACCAGTCCTTCCGAGAGCAAATGGAGGGCTGAAACGCTCCTCCCAGGAAGAAACTGTTACATTTCTAGATCTTCGAGCAAATACATAAGGTTTTTACGACCAGTGTTTCTGCAGTGTTTGGATGTTCTTCAGAGCGTTGAAATGTGTAGGACAGGTACAAACGTTTTCACTTCGCAAACGAAAATGTGTAATTAGTGTGTATCTGTAGGGCTTGATGCGGTAGTATTTGTAAAGCGTACGCAATAGTGTCTTTTTTATATGATAGTTTGGCGGTAGATATCGCGTGTGTGTCGTGCAGAATTATATATGCAATACCAAAGTCTTACTCCATTTGTGATATTTGGAACTTCATTATACTCACCAGAAAGTGTGGACATGTTATGTATTGGTGTGTGTACGTTTTTTATGACATGGATACATGTTATATCGTTGTGTGTATATCTGTAATACACGGAGAATTGTTATATTTGGTGTGTGTACGTTTGTATGACACTGATGAATGTTATATTGGTGTGTGTACCTTTGTGTGACACGGATAAATGTTATATTGGTGTGTGTGTACATTTGTGTGACACTAATAAATGTTATATTGGTGTGTGTACCTTTGTGTGACACGGATAAATGTTATATTGGTGTGTGTACCTTTGTGTGACACGGATAAATGTTATATTGGTGTGTGTGTACATTTGTATGACACTGATAAATGTTATATTGGTGTGTGTACATTTGTATGACACTAATAAATGTTATATTGGTGTGTGTACCTTTGTATGACACTGATAAATGTTATATTTGGTGTGTGACACGGATAAATGTTATATTGGTGTGTGTACGTTTGTGTGACACTGATAAATGTTATATTGGTGTGTATACCTTTGCATGACACTGATAAATGTTATATTGGTGTGTGTACCTTTGTATGACACTGATAAATGTTATATTGGTGTGTGTGTACATTTGTATGACACTGATAAATGTTATATTGGTGTGTGTACCTTTGTATGACACAGATAAATGTTATAATGGTGTGTGTACATTTGTGTGACACTGATAAATGTTATAATGGTGTGTGTACGTTTGTGTGACACGGATAAATGTTATAATGGTGTGTGTACGTTTGTGTGACACGGATAAATGTTATATTGGTGTGTGTACGTTTGTGTGACACGGATAAATGTTATATTGGAGTGTGTGTACGTTGTATGACATCTATACATGTTATATTTTTTCGTGTACGTTTCTATGTCACCAAGACCTTTTACATCGCTGTGTGTATACATAATATATTCGTGGTTGTGAAGATCTGTTTGATAATCATGCAATTACCAACAATCGGCCATTTTACATCAGTATATTTTACATTACTGAATATGCAACGACATATTTTTCCTGTGGCATGTATAAATATCATCGTTGTAAAATTACAATTTTATTCACTCAATAATGTATTTTAGTTAGAGGAGACGACTCGAACATAGTTCGGCCTGCTTTCTTTCTCAAACTTTGAGATAAGTTTCAGGAAACTTATAAGCATTATCGTAAACAATCATATTTATTTCTAGTCTACCATGACCCACATTTATTGTTCATGTTTTATCGGAAGTACAATGCTACGCTTATAATCGTTTACTTTGTTACTAGAATGAAAAATGATATTCTATATCGTATGTATTGGAAAGCGTGATCATCGATGGGTATTTTAAATATATATATATATGTACGTTGTCGCTTACAAATTACATGTATTATATACCAAATTTACACCTCTGGAGACAGGCAACAGATGTTGAAGACAAAAAGAAAAAATCAAAGCTTGGTCTTTTTACTGGTTTGAGACACTTTGTATTTGTTTACTATTTTATGTGAAATTTTGTTATTTCATTCGTCTCCTCTATATTTTAGGTTGAAACGCACACATATAGACAACTTGTGTTGATAAATTGTCAATTAACACACGTTGTGTACATGGTCTAGCTGTGGATATATCATATTGTCCCTGGATATATTCTGATTTCGATTTGTGTGTATGATGCATATGTTCTAAATATATTACTACGTACAGTGCAATATATAGGGACACCTGCGTATTTGGTGTCGTGTAAGTGGTCCGGAGGGGACTTATCAAGATGGCAGCGAAGAAGACCAATGTATAGCATAGTAACACGAAATCCTAAGTTTGAAGAATTTGAAGCAGCATGGTGTGGTAAAGTTACCATTTCCTTGTCTAAATGGTAGTTAAAGTTCCACTTATGTTAATGTGCTGATTTCCATCAAAGTTAATGCTAAAAGTATTTGTAACGATTCGGGGAAATTATCTTAAAAAAAATACCACAGAAATTAATTGTAACCCATGCTTAAATTGCTCGGCTGTTAACACGTCTTGAACATCTTGAAATTTAGTTCGGTTTGTTTTATCACGTTTTCAAATCGGCGAAGTTTCGATGCCAGACCGACATTAAAAAATCAGACTAATTCAGACTACGTGTAACGCACCCTGTATGTTGTATAGTTATTATGGTTTATTCAGTAAATGGAATACAGAACAAATTATGCTTTATGTATTACATGGAATACGGACCATTTTGATCTGACGTATACCTAACGTGTTATTGATAGTTTCATTTTGACGAATTTCATGTTCGTAATGAGGTGATATATATGTATTGCTTTTCAAGACGCAATTTTTTTTATTTGTTTGTTTGTTTGTAATAGTCATTTATAGAACTTACACGACTGCCTTCCTTCAGTTACGTGTAAAAGAAAATGTCATTACACACCTTAGAAATACAGGTGCGAACCCTTGTAAGCACTTGTACGTGTTAGATACTCTGGAAAAACTACTCTAACGGGTTTTTACGTGTGTTCAATGTGTCTTTTTTCATTTTGAATCTTTCATTCGTAGATGTTGCGTTGCTGTCTTGTTTACTCACAGATTGCTTTATTAAAAAAATGATCACATTTCAGTATTGTTTTCTTATCATCTAGGAGCAAAATGGAGATAAAAAAATGTGTTATGTGATACAGATATAATCTCTGCAGGACACCCACTGGGCTGTCCTTAATCCCCATCTGAAGGTTTAAGATTAAGGAATATTTGCACTAGACCAGATAACCTTTTTCTCACTTCTTGGGAACATGACTTAAGGATTAAATAATACTGACGCACTTCTTGTAACCTCTTGGATGTCAGGTTTCCGGTTTCTCCTTTTCCATTTCCTTGACAACACCAAGCCTAGGACTTGGCGACAAGCTTCGATTCTTAAATCTACTACTAGATGCTATCTGTTTACAATAACAACGAGGCGATAATGATGGGAGAACTAAACGGAAATCGATATCAGTTTACGTACAAAGGATGAGGATTATATGGCCCCTCTAGAAGGTCTCCCTCGTGCGATTTCGATGATTGGACAAGAGACACGCCAGTGAAAAGCACCTTTCAAAACAAACGTGACATGTTGCTTGTTACAACTCTCGAAGGTCTACCTGGTGCATTGGACTAGAGACACCCCAGTGAAAAGCACCTTTCAATACAAACGTGACATGTACTTTATTACAACGACTCTTGAAGGTCTACCTTTTGTGATTTCGATGATTGGACAAGAGACACGCCAATGAAAACCACCTTCCAATACAAATTAAAAACTATTTATACAGTATCGTCAGATGAGCTATATGTATAGCTGTTGTAAAGGGCACATTGGAAGCAAGTATGAAATATCCAAATCGGTCACTAATCATGGTTACCTAACCCTTTTTCATTCAAACTGAAAAGGGTCATAACCTAACCTAAGAATGAACTGAATTATTTCCGGTACAGAATCCCGTCATACAGCGTTACACTTCCTGTACCAAACGGAATGTACTTTTCTGTCGCTATTTATATTTAGTAATACGTGTCTGTTTGCTTGCTGCACTGAAAACGGTAATACGAGACCTGTAAACGAACAAGAGTAACAAATTAACCATCACTATGTTAAGTATCAAAACCATCGTAACAATATTTCTGAAAATCATGCACCTGACACAATCACTGCCATTGAGAAAGTGGCTGTGTCGCCTGCCCAGAAAGGTTTCTGTATTTGTTCCAGATACGGCAGGGACAGGAACAACTCACCTGAAAAGCCATCTCAAACACGCCCCTTTGGTTAAAAAGCATTGTATGAAGTTTGAGTCTAATTATCCAAAGTAAACTGAAGAAATCACACAAAACCAATTTTCTTTCTACAGCTACAATGACCTTGACCTTTGACCTTTTGACCTAAATAGCAAACCCAAGCAAGTACCTCTGATAAAGTAATTGTACGAAAACAAAGTTTCTATTTACAGTAACAGTGACCTTGACCTTTGACCATACCTGAAAAGCGATCCCAAGCAAACCCAATTCGTAAGAAAGCACAGCATGAAGTGTGAGAGTTAATTGTCCACAGAAAACTCAAGTTATCACATGAAAACCAATCTCCTAAATATCGTACCCCTGGCCTAGACCTTTGACCTTCAAACCTCATAAGCAATCTCAAGGAAGCACTTTTGGTAAGGAAGCAGTGTATGAAGTTTGCGGTAGATCGGCCAAAGTGAACTCAAGTTACCGCGGAAAAAATAATTTCTAATGGTGCAAGGCACAGGCAAAGTATTTTCATTGGTTACAGGAGGAAAAAATTGACCTTTCACACTCTGCTATGCTCCTTTTGAAGATTACAAGGGAGTGACACCCAACTTCAAAGCCATTACAATATACTATTATGTGACCCTAGATTTGTTTGATATACAAGGCGACACACACTGACCCTTCAACTTTGCCATGGGATGTTCCCAGGGTGCAGAGGGGGAAAGTGTTTTAACCCATGGTGTATTGAGGATGGGCTTTGACTGGTTCATGTTAAAAAAAATGCAGTGATTGACAGGAAGTGACGATCCATGCACACCTGATCTCGACCTGAGGTTACAAAGTAAATACATTAATTTTGTTCAAATGCTAGCATTAAAAAGCTTTGTCTAAATCCGACCATAACATTGTCATGACAAGATGATCTGGAGAACAGGACAAATCGGGCATGTTTTACTTCATCCCGTTCCACCAAAGGTGAAAATTGCTTAAAATGTACTTGTATGTGCTGACAAAATTACATACAATGTTAACCAAATTCATCTTGAACTTGTTAATAAAGTCATGATCACCAATGCCTTGTACGAGTTACCATAAACATTTTACACTCATATTTGAAACATTAAGAACAACACCTCACCTGTATGACTTCTCATTTTTTTTTATTTGTAATAACATACATAATCGGAATGGGTATATCAGATCATCTCTTGCAATTCACCAAGTTTTTCCCTTAACTTAAGATCTTTCAAACTTGTGCAATTACTGCAAATAATAGCAACATGTATATAAACATAGAAAACAAACAAAATTAATTTAACAAAGGAAATACATGTATATTGTAATTAACTTTGTCACTAATTATCAAACGAGAATAAGTCAATTTATAGTTGTCTAGGTGTTGTCAATGAACTCTACTGTAAGGAAAACCACTTTGAATATACAGCACTAATTATGTTTAAATTAGAAAATTTATTGTAGAAAATTATTTGACATCTAAAAAATTTGAAGCATCGTTATGATATGATCAAGTAAACTTCCCATCCTCGATACTTCAGGGGTTACCATCACTTTTGCTGTCTGCACCCCTGGAACATGTCATAGCAACATTGAAGGCACAAGCCAAGTAATTTGATTGGTTCCAGGAGAAAAAAACAGACCAATCACAGGCTGATATGCTCTTTTTGAAGATTACAAAGGCGTAACATCAAACTTCTAAGCCATCAAAGGATCAAACTAGTTTTTTTTTTATCTTGTCCACATGATGTAGCACATGGAATGTTCAATTATGCTATGACATTTCAAGGGGTGCAGAGACTGAAATTGATCGTAATCTGTGCAGTATCAAGGATGGTAGACTTCCATATTATCTATCATCTAAGTGGTTTGGGGTGAAAACAAGATTAGTAAAATTCTACAGTATTTCTTCAGTTTTTCAAAAAATGCATGCAGTTGTGAAACATGGATCTACTAGCACTGATATAGAGGTGTATTTTGAACTACCAATGATAATTAATATCGTCTGTGGTTTATGGTTACACTGGGGCATGAAAGACAAATCTGACTGATGTCTGGTCACAAAAAACCATCATGTCAACACTGTATGTACTGTAAAGTGCTTAAAATCGTTAGTGTCTACTGGTTGCTCAATAATGTTTTTTCTCTAAAATTTTACTGTGCTCATTTTGTAAAATATCACAAACGAAAAAGGAAAAAACAATCAATTATATGTTGGATGAGATAACGGGATAATTGAATCTTCAATTTTTTTAAAAGTTGTATTAAAAAGAAAATAATGCAAATGTAAACACATGCAAATTCTAAGCATTATACAGCACAAATCATAAACAGAAGTACATAACATACTGCATCCACCATCATCACATAATTATTTTTTCACCATACAGTCATAAATAATTCTATTTCTGCACATGGTAAACATACCTGTGTATTCATATACCGAGTTAACAATAATACAGCAGACACATTAGGGGCAGTAACACATTCAACAGATACATCAAACTTTCTCTCACAAAGTCAACAATCTTCATCATCCATACATTACATTAATCAAATTAAAACCAGATTTTAATTTACTTTAATACATACAACAGTATAGCAGTAAATGAAGGTCTAGTGTTAATTTGACTGATGTGTCCTTAAACAAGATTCTATTTTGGCAACTTGTATTTTCACCACCGTGTCCTTCCTTCAGAACATATTCCAGTCACGTTATGACTGGATTTATATGTACAATGTAGGTAGAAATAAATTTCTGTATACTCTGTAAGTTTTTCAATATATGTTCATTTCAATAATTTTTTGCTATATCACAGAATTATATTTTTGATGTTCATCACCAAATTCAAACATTACAACATAATGTTATGATTAAAACCCACATTTGTCTGAACACACAGACATCATAAATGGTCAGTAACCTTTCACACTATGTAATTGATATGTTAAATTTTCTCTGCTCTTCTCTCTAATCGTTCGTCAGAGAACCTCTTTCATCATTATGCTTCGCAATCAGCACTTCATACCGGTATCCCAATACCAGTTCTTCACACAACACAGGGGCTTGTAGCTTGAACAGCTGTAAGCAGGTATTCTGTACATAGCTTACACAGCCTTATATACTGTTACCCACCACACATTCATGTACAATTGTATTAGCAAATCAAGGTACATTCACAAACCATATATGTTTGTATGACAGTTCTCTGTCTATATATAGATACATTTATTATAAATATTTACAGGTCACTGTGGTTCCAATTTCTTAAAATGAAATCATGACTGACCACACTGGTAGCAATTGTGTCCTAATCCTACAAACATATTCTATAATCCATTCAACTAACTTTTATCTGTCAACTGCTTTGCAAGATGTCTCTCTGTTTCAGACGCTGCATATTTATAAAATGCCCAATTTTGTCCTCTTTCAAAATGGAGTACAGTATGATGCAGAATGTTCTTACGCAAAATTTTAATTTATATTAAGTTCTGGTATAAAATAAACCTATGGAAGAAACTTGTCTTTGATCCTTAATTTCACATCTACATGTTTTAAAATGAACTTTCCCAACTTAAAATAACAAATTCACATTTTTTTATCACTGAAGAAGTGAAATACACTATTTTAACTTAAATATCACACTCTATAGTTTCCATTGTATTCTTGATGAGATTACAAATGGGACAAACTTAACAGTATAAACTCTCCAACTTTCCGTACCAAACAAACTTTAGGTAACACCCTTAACCAGTCACCTTAAAAATGACCAGGTTCTATATCGAACAACTCCAGACGCTATCTAGACATCCATACAAGCCATAACTTATCTCAACAAAGTGACCAGTGTAAATACATGACCGAGTACCTCTAAACTAACTGGTCATAATGTTTGACTTTTCATTGTGCTCCACAGTGCTCTAAACTGAATGTTTCAAATACACACTCCTATTGTCATTTGTCCATCAACTCCTGGAGTACAGATGATCAGGAAAAGACAGGGTGATTGTCACAAAGTCTGGTCCTCATTGTAACTCAGTAGCCAAACAGTCCCCAAGGGTCAGCCTGTAGGTGGCTATCTTGGATATTCCATGGAAATGTACAAACGCTGCAGCAAGGACAAAAACGTGGAAGATCTGGTGACTCTGGAACTGTGGAGAGAAAGATCAAATTTATCATTTTGATTAAGGGGATGCATTCAAACCACAAGTACATACATTTTATCAAGAGCTCGTAAGAAGGCAATAAACATACAGTATGGGGCAGCAAACTGCTATTACAGGAACTACAAAGATAACATTAAATTATAAATGTTCTTTGTATTTCCCATTCATCAATATTTCTATGAACATGTAGACATTTTGATCTGAATACAGTGAAGAATACATGTAATTAAAATATATATAATATATAGTGATTTAAAATTTTGTTTTTATCTATTTATTATCCATTATTATAATTTTTATAATGATAGAAATACAATTGCCCTGATAAACATGAAGGAAGGCAGTTGAAGGTAATCTTGTTGTATCAAAATGAACAAAGGGACATAACTTTGTCTATGGTACAGCAAATAAGCTGATTTTGTGAAACTTGACACCATTCAAGAAAATTTCATAGAACAACTATTAGGGACTATATCAGTATTGAAGATAATTTTTTATGTAGACACTGAGTTGATATGAACATGAAATCATTACAATAAAGCAAAGTCTATTGTAAGCTGACTCCATGTTCAAGAAATTCAATAGGAATAAAGTTTAACTGGGTTGCATTCATTCTTGGAGAAAAATACCTCAATGCATCCACCCTTTTATCCAGATATAGGTCTGTTAGACCAAAGCTGTACCATGTCAAATGTTGTTGAAATGAGAACAGTTGTATTGAACTACTAACCTTTTAAATGAAGAGGCCCAGTAAATGTACACGGAAGCATATACTACTTACCCAAATATCAAATTTGCCAGGAAATAGTCTTTCTGGGATCCTAACAGCATAAATGACTGCACCCACAATATAGAGTACAGCCATGAGGACTAACCATCCAAGGGCCGCAAAATTGATGGCATTGTAAAATCCTTCGTTGATAACATAGTGCAGTGCTGGTATAACCCCACTTAAACCAAGGCCAATAAACACACCTACAATAACAAAACAGAAATGTCAACATACAGCTGTTTTCATCTTTAAAGTGCTGTCTCTGTATCGAGAACAAATATATACAATAAGAATAAATTGAAAAAGAAACCAAGTAGACAAGTATACCATAACAAGTACTAAAAAAGAGAGCAGTGTCACCAACCAACTCGCCTCAATTTGTCAGGTCATCATGATTTTGGACATTTCATAACCTGCTTGAATCATGAAAATGCTACAATCACCTGACTTTATTTTTATTCTATCCATACATAAAAACTTAATATTTAATTTTTCTATCTAATATACTCAAAATAATATTAAAACATGACTCAGAATTTCATCTAAATATATACAGATGTGATAACTATACAATGGATTTGATTGTCAGGTCTTTTACATGATGAGCATGGCCGTGATCAGATATTTGACAAGAGGTTGGTGATACTGCAAGACTCCATGCCTTTCTGTTCAGATTTAATGTAGTCATACTCAGTTTGGACACCAAAATTTGTTAATGTTGTTCAGATATATTTGGTTACTTACAAGAATGTGGACAAGATTCACAAATTTTATATTCCTTTTTGTAAACAATGAGCAGTGCATTATTGTCATAAACAGTTATCTCCCTTAGAATAAGTGAACTCTAATTGATAATTTTTGGGTAAAAAGGTAAAAAAGGTCTCTTTTTTTGGCAAATATATTGAAAATAAACTATTGGTTTAAAGTTTGTGATATTCTGTTGTATACGGAGGCAAATTTTACATAAACACACAAATCTAAAGTTTAAGCAAGGGTGACATAAAAGTACAAGACAAGTTTCTTCCAAATCTCACCTGCTCTGACTGCACGGTATTGAGGCTGGGCAAACTTGTCCCACAAAGACACAACAATACAGGACGTTCCAAGGACAAATATAAGTACTAAGTAGGCAATCTTTGGTCCCAATTCACAGTAGAAACTGTAGTACAGCCAGGGTACAAATGAACCCATGGTCAGCAGGGCAATGCCACAGTAGTCCAACCTGCAGGAAATAAAATTACGTATAGAGAACTGATGCTGTTAGCACTTTCCAACTCCCTTTGACAGTGAAGAATTAGAAAATAATACTGATAATACTCCTTTGAAAGTAAAAGCAGATACATTCAGCATAATTCATAATATAATTCTGATAAAGGTCAATTATGATCAGTTTTAAACTTTACATATACATATATTAAAGCTCAGATATATATATTACAATATCAATCCTGAAATTAATTAAATACATCAGATATCTACAATTGCCTTACTTGTTAAAGAGCTTCCCAACCCTTTCAGAATGGCAGTATACTGTGTGAAACAGCCAGGAGAATCCCAAGCATAAAATAGCACCCACAAAAAATGCAGAGAACACCGCCTTCTCCTGCCACTGGACCTCAATGGACGGCCTAGACAAGAAGTACCCAGCTACACCCATGAACGCTATCATACCTGGGGAAAAAATGAAAATAGGTTAATGATGTACATTTGAGTATAATGATTTGATATCCAGAATACCCCTGGAGTTCAATGTCCTTCTTATTAACTTCAAAGAAAAATTAGTTTTAAATTGTAAGAAACGCAAAATGGCAAAAAAAGAGTATCAAGGAAGCCATCATTTATAATAGTAAAACAGATATCAATAAATAATGAAAAAAATATGACTTAGTTCTCATATGCTGTACAGGCAATTTTTTGTATATATATTTCGTAAAAATGATAGCTAAAATTCATTTAGGAAATCATCATTCAAGAAGGTTGTTTTCATGTTCAAAAGAAATCAATACCCAGGTGAAAACAAGGAATTGCTATAGATGCTATGTGTTGACATGTCAATAATTTTACCAGTCAATACTTTGCCATCAATCGGAAAGAGTTTACAAAATAAATTCTTTGTTGCAACATTTTTTAAAAAGTATAATTTGAAAGAGGACTTCATCCAGCCATACCAGAGCTGGTAAATTTTTATCATATATAATACCTACTACCAATGACTGAGGCATGGAGTAATGAAGGTTGTTTTAATCACAACATAACCATCATCAATACTGGTAAATTAGTTGACTTGTTTAATGGCTGTGTAGATTTGCCTTGAAGAGTGATACTTTATTAGGAAATTCTCTTGTGACAATTTCTACTCCTAAAGTACACATTAAAGTACAGCCCATTTTGTGCATTACATAGGTTATTGACCTGATAGTATTGGAATCCTCTGAGTTGCAGTAATAAGAGGGAACAATGATAGCATGATACCTGAGAATTACTGCCTACAACAAAATAACAAAAATGTCCTTATATTTGTACCTGTGAATTACTGCCTACAACAAAATAACAACTATGTCCTTACATTTGTACCTGTGAATTACTACCTACAACAAAATAACAAATATTTTCTTACATTTGTATCTGTGAATTACTGCCTACAACAAAATAACAACTATGTCCCTACATTTGTACCTGTGAATTACTGCCTACAACAAAATAACAACTATGTCCTTACATTTGTACCTGTGAATTACTGCCTACAACAAAATAACAAATATTTTCTTACATTTGTACCTGTGAATTACTGCCTACAACAAAAGAACAACTATGTCCCTACATTTGTACCTGTGAATTACTGCCTACAACAAAATAACAAATATTTTCTTACATTTGTACCTGTGAATTACTGCCTACAACAAAATAACAACTATGTCCTTACATTTGTACCTGTGAATTACTGCCTACAACAAAAGAACAACTATGTCCCTACATTTGTACCTGTGAATTACTGCCTACAACAAAATAACAAATATTTTCTTACATTTGTACCTGTGAATTACTGCCTACAACAAAATAACGAATATGTCCTTACATTTGTTTCTTAACCATTCAATTCAATGCCCATATTACCTAAAGAAAAAAAATTCAATATTGCTCCATAAAGAACATAATTTTAATTCCCTTTTACTTTATAATTAAAGTTTTTGTTATTTGATAAGAACAGCCATAATTGTTTTACAAATTTTCATTTGTTTCTTATTAATGAAGAAAATTGGATTGGAATGCATTAATATAAAGAACCTAAACTCCGAGACACACTACATTTGCATTTGGTTTCTCCTTTACATTAAATCTACTTTGACATAAATATTTAATGACACAGAGATATGCTGGAAATTGTTTTGAACTAGAGACCTTAAACTAGTTACACCATACCCAACTATTCTGAGTTTGAAAAACTATGTACCTGTAATTAATTCTCTTGTAAAATTTATATAGAAAGATCTAAGATTGTACATATACATACAAATGTACAGAAAGATCCTACACCATGTACACAGGTACATAAATTGAGTGTGTATGAAAGTGTCTTCATATATAAGTTGTATTAGTACAACTTTCAACAGTTTGTTGTTCAATCTCTTAATTACCTGATGTTGATGTCACAATGAACTTTGCTTGATGATGATATATATATATATAATAATGAGCCAAAAAATTGCTCTGCATAGAAATATAGTTAAGTACTTCAACGGGTATATAATTCTAACAACAATTTTAAGAACCAATGTAAACAAGCTTGTTCACTGCAACAAAGGATATCACTTATTAAAACCATTATTCTCATATGCTAAACATATTATTATTGAAAATTAAGAAGTAATTCTAGCGAATATAAGCCATGTACTAATGTACAGCTTATATCCTTCACTGCCGAATACAGTAAAAATACATCTGGCAGGTGAATTCCAATATGTACATGTACAGAAGTACAGGAAGCTCCAAGGCTGTACATACATGTACAGCGGTACAGAAAGCTCCAAGACTGTACATACATGTACAGAGATACAGAAAGCTCCAAGACTGTACATACATGTACAGAAGTACAGGAAGGTCCAAGGCTGTACATACATGTACAGAGGTACAGAAAGCCTGCAGACTACACATACATGTACAGAGGTACAGAAAGCACCAAGACTGTACATACATGTACAGATGTCAGAAAGCTCCAAGACTGTACATACATGTACAGAGGAACAGAAAGCACCAAGACTGTACATACATGTACAGAGGAACAGAAAGCACCAAGACTGTACATACATGTACAGAGGCACAGTAAGCTCCAAGACTGTACATACATGTACAGAGGTACAGAAAGCACCAAGACTATACATACATGTACAGAGGTACAGAAAGCCTGCAGACTGTACATACATGTACAGATGTCAGAAAGCACCAAGACTGTACATACATGTATAGAGGTACAGAAAGCACCAAGACTGTACATACATGTACAGAGGTACAGAAAGCATCAAGACTGTACATACATGTACAGAGGTACAGAAAGCACCAAGACTGTACATACATGTACAGAGGTACAGAGAGCACCAAGACTGTACATACATGTACAGAGGAACAGAAAGCTCCAAGACTGTACATACATGTACAGAGGTACAGAAAGCATCAAGACTATACATACATGTAAAGAGGTACAGATAGCCAGCAGACTGTACATACATGTATAGAGGTACAGAAAGCACCAAGACTGTACATACATGTACAGCGGAACAGAAAGCACCAGGACTGTACATACATGGACAGAGGAACAGAAAGCTCCAAGACTGTATGTACATGTACAGAGGTGTAAAAGTTCTTTGACTATCCTCTTTCTATGTATCCTTATACTGAAAACCTTAATATATTCAAAACTTTCAGCTGATGTAGACAACATTTGTTTACTGAAAATGCTTGTCTGGAATATTTGAAAATTATCCTCAGGTATACGGAGTTTTATCAGAAATAAAACATTACACAAGCATCTAAAGAACTTTTAATTCCTAACAGATGTGCCTTGTCAGCAGATTGGTTTTCCTTAAGTGCCTACAGACAGAAAGTGTACAACATTAGCACTGGGAAAGTTATGTATTTATAGTAATTACTTGTCTGCATCCAAGCAAGGGAGTAAAACTATTATCAGATGTGGTTGTGGAGTATCAATGGCTGGTGTATAGGTAAACTGTAGACAGATGTTACAACAGGTTCAGAAACATGCCTTTACTCCCAAACGTAGCCACCACACGATCAGTGTCTGAGACTTAACGTCTTAACAGTTGGAATGGTAACATGCCTTCTCCATAGTAATGTCTGTTTAAAGGGGTACCGGTACTGGATTTAGTAAAGACTACCAGTGGTATAGTGTCTGTGGTGGAAATTATTGTGCACTACATTACCACTAATTAATGTGAGTGAAATGTGGGGGTGCGGGTGGGGGGTTATTAACTATACAGATTTACTGTGCAGTAATGTTGCACAGTGATTTGTTAGGGTATAAGATATAAAGATTTAAAGCGTAATAGGGATGAAAAAATCTGACTGTGATAAGGTCTTACAGTGTTATCTGTTAGGTTAAAAAACAGACATTAAGTGCTATTAAGGTGAGGAAATCTGATCTGTTAGGGAGGGGTTGACAGTGTACAGATATCTTCAGCAATTTACAAAAAATGAAATTGAAGATAAACATTTTTGTATAAAAATATACAGAAAATCACATTGATCTGTGTAATTATACAAACCTAGCAGGTGTGTCCATATATTGCCTGTCTCAGTGTGAATCCTGAATATTGACTTAAAGCACTGTAAGAATGAGTTGGTGGGGGGTCTGTGGCCTGTGTGTAGGAAATCATTGTCTTTCAGCCAGTCTGGCAGGGAGTGGTGATGTACAACTCGCCACGCCCCTGCCCACACCTTTTTCACAAACTCCTCTGCCTGCTCTGCTGCCTTACAAGTGCCTGCTAGAAAGTCAATCTTGGGTGAAGACTTTCCACTCAGTGCTTGGTCGACCTCATCTTCCTCCTCACCTTCTATACTGGACTGTTTTGACAACTTTGTCTGTGGATCAAATGAACATTTATCATACTTATTTGAACTTCCATATAATGTTGAATCAATTCACGACGTACAAGTTCCGCAAATGTTTTCCTGATTATGCAGCAATGTTATGTCTGTCGCCGCTGAATAAATAAAGACAACACTGATGATGTCAACTTGTGATTGGGCAAGTGAAGTGGCAAAAATGTTCCACCTAGATGGGACACACACAGTTATAAGAACAGTACTAATGGTACTATTAGCACCCTACAACTACATAATATAAATGTATTTGTTGACATATAAGAATATCTCCATACATCCAAGATCTTATACGACTTTTCATTTCATTTAAAAATGATGAACACTTTTTTTTCCTGTTAGCCTGCAACTGATATATCATTTCACAACAGCCAGAACTTAAAAAAACTTACTCTTTTGAAAAATAAAGGTTTACGTAATGTTGTCCTCCTCTCTGCCTGTTTTGTAGTCATGGTCAGGTCTTCCTCAGCATCAGAATAATCACTGTCAAGTGACACATTATTTAAGTCCTGATTGGCTATTGAGATGGGCTGCTGTATGATGGGACTGGCTTCTAGTATAATTGTGGGCGTTGTTAACGAGGACGCCATGATTATCAATAATATATTCTGTATCAGTCCCACAGTTTAATCACAGTTGTTGACAATCTGCTGAATGAGATTTCCTTACTTTTAATTAATCAGATGTATTCTGAAAGAAGAAAAAAGACAGTATGTTATTACATAAATTAAATGTCTGTGCTTAGCGTACAAGGTTCTTATACTATTTTTCAAACAGTAATGATTATAAATATACAGCCAAATAAATTAAAAAATATTAAAAATGTGCACATATGTGTGTAGCCAGTGGTGACATAATAATAAGAACTTATGTTTATGTTTGTTAATACTTTGTACATGAACAATAATTAGCTCTATAGGAGAGTAAGTAGGCAGCATATTTACAGTACACTGACAGTATACACATTTGAAAAGTTTATAGACAAACATTGGGTTTTATATACTTGTCATGTCTACATGCTTTACAATCAATCATTATCTGTAGAAATATGTACATGTAGAATCTACTGTATATGTAGAGTGTAAATCATCTGTAGAAATATGTACATGTAGAATCTACTGTATATGTAGAATGTACATCATCTGTAGAAATACGTACATGTAGAATCTACTGTATATGTAGAGTGTACATCATCTGTAGAAATATGTACATGTAGAATCTACTGTATATGTAGAGTGTACATTCTGTAGAAATATGTACATGTAGAATCTACTGTTACATGTAGAACCTACTGTTTATGTAGAGTGTACATTATCTGTAGAAATATGTACATGTAGAATCTACTGTTACATGTAGAACCTACTGTTTATGTAGAGTGTACATTCTGTAGAAATATGTACATGTAGATCTACTGTATATGTAGAGTGTACATTTTGTAGAAATATGTACATATAGACCTACTGTATATGTAGAGTGTACATCATCTGTAGGAATATGTACATGTAGAACCTACTGTATATGTAGAGTGTACATTATCCATAGAAATATGTACATGTATATGTAGAGTGTACATTATCCATAGAAATATGTACATGTATATGTAGAGTGTACATTTTGTAGAAATACGTACATGTAGACCTACTGTACATTGTCTATGTAGATTGCAAACTAACAACTGGTAGCAAAAGGGAAATTAGAAAAAATTGACTGTTCAGACCGTACAAATCAGGGACAGATCTAATTTGAGTTTCCTTATACTATGCAAACTTCCTTCATGTATATATACAAAACACAGTATTCACCTTTTATCTTCTTGCAAAGTTTCTTTGTAGAAATATCCTTCATAACATGCATTACAATTGACACCTTGTATTTCAACAATACTTTAAAAAAAACTTGCTACATGTATAAACAAAAGCAATCACCTACTTAGTACTTCAGCCCTCCCTCTACATATTAGAATTGAGCTTCTGTCCGTGCACATATTTTTATATATAACACGAACTCCAGGAAATTTCCTGACTTTCAGCATCACGCCACCACAGGATTTACACACAACTTTATACACAATCCTAATGTACAGGTCCTTATATCATTAGTAATTTTGTTGATTTTATTCTAAAAATAGTTATAAATTATCACTTACAATACTTTGGTTAAAATTATCACTAACGTCACTGAATTTCTCATGAAGACTCAAAAAAAGACTTTCCTTAGGGAATTACTTGGATGATACGTGTTTTAACAATAAAAAGAATTTCAATTTTACCTTGAACAATTAATTTAATAAATATGTATTAATACGTGTGTATATATATATAAACATATGGCACTTTACACAACACATCATCCAAACAAAATTACACATAATTATAATATATCATTCAAACAAAATTAAAAGTAATCATAATAAGGTATATAAATATCCATTTTCCTCATAATTTTTCTAATTCTTTTACAGGCATCCATGTTAAAAGTCATAATTAATTGCTAAGACTAGTCTAGTGTAATGTGTTGACTCTCGATCAAATAATAAAGCTAAAGAAATATGATCCTATGAGTAGCGTCTGTAAAAATCAGTCGTTTTATACATGGTATTATGTATCCTCACCACAAGGCACAAGCATTAAAATTGAAACTTGCCATGTAAATCATCACTAGAAGTAGTTTCTAGATACCATATCTTTGCTAATGAAAATGAGAAAATTAATTGGATATGCACATTGCAGTATATGGTCGCCATAAGTTACTCATATGCTAAATACAAAACAGAACCATATACATCATATGTTAACTTTGACAGCTCACTGCTGTGAATTGTCATTTTGTAATAAAGGAATTTTATAACTGTGTAAATATTTCTAATAATTTTTAGAACTGAAATAAATTTAATCTAGTTACATTTAACTTACCTTGAAACATAAATGGTTTGTAACAAATAATAACTAGGTTTCATAATAAGCTACATCACCTGATGATTAAGCATCTGATCAAGTTGACAGGCCATCTAACCCTTAAGAATTTACATGTATATATATATATATACACACAGATATCAATGTATATTTGTACACTTTGAAATTTTCCATTCAAATATCATGTCATCTGTGTATCTGTGATAATGAACTTTGGTAAAACCTATATAGATGTCATAACACATGTATGTGACAAGTTCGACTCTGAATGTTTGTTGTTTACTATGGTCTATATATATACATTGTACATCACTAACTCATCCCCATTGAATTAGGCCAATATGCTATCTGTGTATGAATGTGGCCTTTGGACCACTACACTTCATGTACAATGTCAGGTGATCAGGTAAATATACATACAGATGAGTAAATTTAAGTCTATATCTTGATGGTTTAACAATAACTTAAAAACGTCATCAATGTTGATTAAGTTATTCGGTCACTCAGATAACTGTTCATATTGTTCTGTGATCTTATGAGTAACATTTACACACTTTGGTGAACAACCACCATCAGTTACTTTTGGCATTTGTTACTCGTATCCAAACTTGATGGAAAATTAGTCTTTGTGGTTGAGGCCATTTTGTAATATTTTGTATTTTAAAAACTTTGAATCATCTTTGGAATTTGACTTTTGTCTTAGCATAATTAGCAAATTTTACTTCACATTAGAAATACATAAGTGTCTGAATTAGTTTTTATTTATTTCTTAACTTTGAAAAACAATGGTGCTTTTCGTTGGATATTTTGAAAGTTCAGACTTCTATTTCAAGTGGTTGATAAATCTAATTACTGAAATGAAGAAATAAGTAGATTTTCAAACTGGTGTGTCCTATTGCAGGAAATACAGGACTCCATGACTTGCATATCTGTGTCCCAAAAATATCAGCCCTCAGGTTTAATGGTCATCCAAGTTTTTACTTTGTATTGGCTCGTATTATGTAACAGGACACGTAACATCATAATGACTAATGATATAAACTAAAGAGTGAAAAAGAAATTCTCTTGTGTTTAAAATGAATTTGATGGAACAGAAAATCTTAAAAATTGAACAATTCTATAGGCAATTCAATTCAAATTCCAAAGGCCATTTTGTTGTTGATACAGAATAAAAACAGCAGATCATGCTTTGATCAAGATGGGAAATGTTACAGTTCAATATTGTATGCAAGCTGTATTTTCACAGGGCTGGATTCCAGCAATTTTTTTTTCGATTTGATCCACATATAAGATGCACCGGGATGTAAGCCGCACCATTTTGTTATGATATGGTAACCTTCACATTGACCAAAGTTCGTTGATATAACAGACAACAAAAGGCAATTTATCAAGGTTGTCAGTGAAACATTTCATATAAGTTTGCAAATGATTTATACACCGATAATCCTTTATTTTATTGATGTGCTTGAATAACATAAAATAGCAATTATCAAACTCCTGTGGCTTGGGAGCTTTCAAAGATTGTCTACGTACAGATATAGGGGCATGTCGGTATGTACAGTTTATTTAACAATATCTCTATCAGTGTCTGTACTGTTAAATATCAACAAAGGCCATTGCATGCTGACCAAATTCTTATAGTCACATTTATTTCTTGTAAGTTATACGATGCCATTCTTATCATAAACAAGCATGGCAGTCATTCTTGAATTTGACTTGATGACTTATCGATCCCAAGATGCATCAGGTCCTTGCAAACTTCTGCTATGGCTTCCAAAGCAACAATGAAAATGCAGAAGATATCATTGTGAATCATATTAAAAGGTATGATTAATCAAATCCACATGAATGTTGTCTTTATTTCAATCTTAAAATCATCTGGTATACAGTTGCAAATGATGGTTTTAAACGATATGTATCAGTCACAAACATGTGATGGAAAGGTACTCATAAAAAACGGACGTCTTGTACTGGCGTACTGGTATCCTTGGTTTAAATCACTATTTTTTATTCTTTCTGAAAGCATGGCATATTAGAGCAACCAAAATTATCAGGGTGCAAGGTAATGCAGTCAACGGTGTATGTGATATGCAGTGACAAAATGTCTGTTCTGAAATACATAACGGTCTGGAACTGATGTCATGATGATACTCTTCATTTTTTCATTCAGTCTATGGTTCTTTTTCCGCTGCTTATAATCCAGAAAATACTCTAATAATTGCAACCAAGTGCTTTGAGGACAAAAATTTGTAAAGATAGACATTTATACACCTAGTCGCTTTTCATAAAACTCCAATATTAGCTTTTTCCATATTTTTCCATGACACAGCACTTAACTTATTTATGTAACCAAGATTAGGTGACAAATACTCACATTTACATTAAGTTTATACTTGTACGGGATATCAATCCATCTCCTCAACAAAAATTGCCTTTATTTCAATCTGTTGGAACTCATTTGACAGTTAAAATGAACTGCGATGAAATCATCCTATTAATGGTGGCTAGAAACTGTGTCAAAAGAACTACCATGTAACTTTGTTTGTCTGTTCTGATTCTAATTGCAAATGGATCCCTATTTTAGTGTTATCCTATTTCATAAGCATTTCTCTGTCCATCACTGACCTGCCATCGGGGTCACAGCACTGCTTGCAGTCATATCTTCCCTGATTTCTGTACTCAAATTCAATACTTGCCATTTGTAAATTTGTATTCATGGAAAAGGAGTGCATATATGGTCACAATTTACATGGTGATGTTAACATTAAAGAAGGGACTCACTGATTTTTTAGCAGGGAGAAGGGTTATTTTTTCTACTAACTTACTAAGAAGCTGTTTACTATGATGCAAATGGTAGATTGTGGTGAGGAGTTGGTAATTCTAACAAGTGTTACCTATTTTTGGACTGTTCAGTTGAACTCAATCCAATTGGTGAAACTTGAAGAAGTTTAAAACAATTTTGTTCAAGATAGAGGCCATGGCAGTCACCTTGGGTTTCAGACATACCCGAAAAATGACAATATTTGATCAGGACCATCTCAGGATCATTTCATGCAAGTTTGAGCTCAATCCAACCGGTGGAACTTGAGAAGAAGTTGAAAATGTCAAAAATGTACACACTGTGCATGGTGGACAATGATGGGTGAAGCACAATGGCCATAGACATTATATCAGTTCTGTATTCAGAACTGAAAGAGATCGATATTGAAATTGTTTTTATTACTGTAATAAAGATGATATCTTCTGTACATTGCCATTTTGTTTGGTTTCAAGTGGTGATCGGTTTTGACATGGATAGATTTAGGAAAGTTGCATTGCACATATTTAAACATAACTATTATTGTCCTGCCTCGAATGTCCACTGCAAACCAGAGCAATACTAGCTTGTTATTGACACAAATCACAATCTGATTGTTTTCATGAATACCTCGTCTGTCAATTTTAGTAAGTTCTTAGTATAATACTTGATTGTTTCAAATTAGGGGCAGTATGCATTCATGACACTGTTTTGAAAGATGGCAACATTGTTTACAGCACAAGACTCTACCACAAGTTGGAATATTTCCACCAATTGGAAAACCAGGATTGATAGTAGCAGTTAGTTCCAAAAGCTGTTACAATATGCTGAAATCGTAACCGTGTTACGTTTAATGGCAAAAGTGAAAAATTTCATTTATACTATGAGTCATGAAGTGGTGACATGGAAGCGGAATTCCCAGCAATGCTTTGTGACAATGGCAGATAGTAACATGAAAGACATAGTAACAAATAGTCTCACTGACCAAGATGCTTCATCGCGTGTGCAGACAACAAGAGTTTGTCTAAACAAGACTGATCAATTAGTATGTTACTTGGCAAGCCTACAGGGATTGTTCAAAAAGATAGACTAGGAAAAACAATACACCATAAACTAGAAAGGAACACAATAAATACAATATTCATGGAAGGAAGAGTTTGATCCTTAAACTTCAGAATAAATCATTTTTATCACTAAATGTTTTGTCACATTTGTTTATCACTCAGAAATACATAATTTATAAGACTACATATCCATATAATTAAATGTGATTTTCGGTAAGTTAGTGTTAATGCATGTGACAAATATGTTATAATCAACTTAGTGTAATAAGATTGGGGATATATACTGTGAATCAAATTTCACAGAATATTTCATTAAAGATGGTTATGGTGCGTATTTGGTCAGAAATCCACTGCGTTCCTGATGTTTTCATTTTTGGGTATTTACTTGTTCGTCCCGTGGATATTATAAAACTGTTGTAGAAACTTTGTAATATAGAACGTTAACCTGCAGCGTAAAAAAATGACAAGTTCTACTAAGTTAATTACAAAAATTCCGGAGTTTGATGCAGAAATATGGCAAAGCCGAGTGACCTCTGTTTGTAAACAAAGACATCAGTGCCGTGACGTAGGAACATTGATGATGAAAGTGTGTATCCCCCATGGCCCGTCAGATTCCAGCCACTAGTGATCACCTGATCGTGATCCCTGCTTCACATTACAATACCCAAAGGCCCTTAGGCCTACACAATGATCTTTTTCTGAAGTTAGGCACAGAATCAGTAATTATTATAAAAGTTGATAAATGATCATACACTTACCGATTCCAACAAAACTGTTTATGTTATTGTAAACATCTTGACGAGTGGTATCACATCTGACAAAAAATGGAACTCTTATGTTTTGATGACGTCTATGTTGTGTGCACATGTTATAGTGACGTTATCACCGGAAGTGCCCTTCTGAGTTAGTTTACATTGGTGATAGAGTTGAAGTTCACATGTACACACACGTATAGAGAGAGGACTGTGGCAGGTGGATTGGAATATCGATCGGACTAATATGCAGCCGTTTATTGCTCAACACCTGATGCGCTAGGGATTTAGAAGCACGAAGATCGTGAGTATTGATTGGCTGTCATACAAGTAAAGTGAAAGTAAGATATCATGATATGATGAAACAGTTTCTAAGTTTACATGAACATCATTGAGTTGAACAGAACGAGACTTACAACTGTATTCAAACGAAACGAAGGCGATGGTATGTGCGGATTTAAATAAATTACATTGTGTAATATATAATTTTGGTTGTATGATGAATAATAAATTTCACGATTTATTAGAATCTAATATGTTTAAATAATTCAAATTTAAAGTTGAATCAACTAAACTATTGTAATACTGTGTAATTGACATTACAACACATGTCAATTCAAAATAAAGTGTTAACTTCTTTTCTATGATGCAAATAAATATGGCTGAATCTTTCACTATTTATGAACTTGAAAATAACTAAAACACATGTACAATTTTATCTGTCAAAAGAGACTTTGCTGGGACATGGGTCAAAAAGTTAGTTTAAGTATCTACAATTTATATACAAATGTTACAGAAGTTTTGTTCTATAGACATAGAGGAGATATTTAAGATTGCTATGAATTTTTGTATACCATACTGATCAAACATCATAAGGTGAAAAAGAATGAAAATTAAATAAAAATATTTACACTTTAGAAAATCCAAGTAGCTACATTTTTATTTTTAACATCAATACAATGATAATAATCTTCCATTGATTATCTTTTATCTTGACATTACTAATCAATTCTAAATACACAAATTTGAACTTTATCAACTAGAAATGAAAATAGGCTGTTTTTTATTGGAAGGGCTCTACTGCAAGATGGCAGACATGTACCTTTAAATTAGCTTCAGTAATCATGGTCAATGCTTGTAAATTTGTACAAATTCAAAACTTCAAAATCTGTTATGAAATTCAGTTTATTAACAAGAATAATATTTAACTCTGATCTTCATATTATCTATTACTTCATATGTTTCTTTTGATACAATGCTTTCAATTTCACTTCTTAAATGATTTATTTTTTAAATGCTTTTGAATTAGTCTTTAAATGAATAGACTTATTTACCAAGCAAAATATTACATATTGAAAAAAAAATTAATTGATCTTTTTTCATAACAAAGTGACTTAGATGTCAGGACAAATTTAGTTAAGCAACAACAGAATTTGTTCAGATCATTCTGAAATTTTATCAACTTTTTATATTGATCCTGAGTGAGCTCTAGACTGATATGAAACAAAATAATTGATATAAAGTCAGAATGATTTGGACTACTGCAGAATGTATGAAGTAAAGCTACCAGCTAGTCAATCAAAGTTCAGGTCCAAAAGCTTATGTGGAATTATAGAATTAGAAGATGAGATACAGACATTCTTGAAGTACTAAAGAAAAAAATGCAAAGGTTTCTAGCCAGATCTCCTTGACATTGTTTTATCATAAAGGTTAATCTATGACTTAAATTTTCACTTGATGTAAAAAAAAAATCACATTTCAGTGTTTCTAAATAATATGTGTCTGTAACATATCAGCTCTTGTGTATTCAGTATACACTTGTGCATATTGTACTTCCACTTTTACCAAGGTATGTGTTTTAGTATTTACACACCCAAGGTTACTTACTAATACAGCTGGCAAAATTCCTTTATGATACTGGAATGATTTTACATGCAGAAAAAATAAATCAATAAATATTGCAGTTATAGGTAGTGTTATTGTTGGGAACCACAGACATATTCCCTTAATGTGAGATATTTTTTTCTGTTTAAAGTGTGAATCTAAAGCCAATTCATGTATTGGATTAGTAGAAGTGTACATGATGTAGAAAATTGTTAAGAATCTCTCTCCAATTATTCTTGACTTCTCCAGCAAAAAATCTTACACTATGTAATAAAACTGTGAAAATTCATTCTCGATTACTTTTTAAGGTGATACCAGTAATGTAGATTCCTTAAGATGATCATAAGGGTGATTTATTATGCCTAGATGGTTGAGTCAATAGGATTATAAGGAGAGGCCAAAGTATTATCATGACAGGATCACCTGTGTGAGTGGATCAGTCTACCTTCGTAAGACACACATTACATGGGCAGGATTTACACTTACTACACAAGTATATTGTCACTTGTTTAAATATACATATATACTAGATCTATTACAACAGTACTTCATATAAAACTACATCACTTTCAAAATGAAATAGCTTTCTCCTTATTTTTTTAGTCAAGGAATTATACCTTTTTAAAGATTATCAAAAACCATTTGACAACACAAATGGTAATGTTTATTGTGATATCTTAATTCTGTCATCCACAATGCTGCAGAAATTGTAATAAAGTACAATTAATTTTAGTTGATGTGTTTAATTTAAAATCTTGACAAAATTTGTTGAGTATAAACAACTTACCTCAGCTCAATATGCTATCTGAATCTTTAAGCGATCTTTATAGATTCTAGTTTGAGGTTATGGTATAACTAATTTCAGAGCACACACTTCAGGAACGGCATTATATAATTTTTATAATATAATATATCACTTCAGCTGCATTGTATCTTTCCCAAAAAAGAAAGAACAAATGAATTAAATTCCAATTTGCATAACAATATTGACATAAATCAATTAAACGTAACCTAAAGGAGTAACTGTTTGCATGCATTTTTTGATAATTAAACTTTGATATCTAAAGAACCCAGTGATTGGAACAGTCATTCTAGATAAAAAAGAATTGTTGAGAAATGACCACAGAAATATACAAAGATACAAGGAATATAGAGCCAACGCTGTAGTCTGTACTATGGTGGATCCATGTGTCTTTTACTCAACAGCTGGATACATGAAGTTATGTCAGGAGATGCTATAGGAATAGATAGAAGTTAAACAATCACAATTGATTCTGAGTTTCTCCAACTTATTAAGTCTTCAATTTACTCTTATATATATATTAATATGTATCGACTTATTATCAGAGTTCATTGTTGTCTCAGAGTTACTACTCAATGTATACATCCTATCTCCTCTTTTTAGTGGGATGGCAATCATATAAGAGTTTTCTGGCATGGTTAACATTCTGCACATGATGTGACAATACTGTTTCAGCTATTTACATAATATTGTTCCCTCATGTTGTGTTCCTTAAGGGTAGAGAAGCACATTAATAGGCATTAGTCAGCCAACTATGGAAACAGATTCATGGAATTCAAATTGGTTCCATCCATGACAGTAGGTAGGCGGAAACTTCTGTCAAAGGGCAGCGCATGATAAGTGAAAACATTTCGGAAAACTCCAAACTGTTTCTAAAGCATGTATCAGTGACAGAATGTTGGAATGTTCATACATTGTACGAGACAGGTAGGCTATCACATGTGGAAAATGAAATGGAGTGGTGTGGTGTAGGTATTCTTAGCAAGTATCAGTTAGATAGTGGTACTTCATTCACAACACAGAAGCCCTGATATGCTGGTTAGGACCGATGATGGATTGCATCAAGGAGGATCATGAGCATGGCAGCTACGCAGACCTCTAGTGGAATGTAATGTCGTACGTGATCACATCTGCTGTGTTTGTCCATGATCTCACAGTGATTCATCATTATTCCTCTATCATTGATAGCAAGACAAAGAGAAAGGATAAATTATATGAAGATCTTGATGGAATCACCTTATCTCCTCTGGTGGACGATGTCTTGACTGCTAGCGCTATGGGCAACATAACCATTAAAGTGGTTCAGTATTAGTATCCAGTGTGTGATGGGATGGCAAAGATTTTAGAGTGTGAGGAATAGCAACAGAGAGTGGCTTGTTGATTTCTATATATACAACAGTCTGGTAATTGGTGTAACCATATTCCAGACTAAGGAAGTCCATATCCTAACACAGACCTCGCAATGGCAACATAGAGCATAAAAAATCAGAAAAGTCCAAAAGGTGGATATAAAGAGGAGTTTCTGTGTAAATATTAATGATAAATTAGGAAATCTGAGAAAAAGTACAACAAATTAGCGTGAGAATATGAGAGTTGCATACACAGGATCCAAAAACATTAAAAGGAAGGGATGGGTATTGGACAGAACTGAACTCTTGTTGAGGAAAAGAAGAAATTGAAACTAATGATACACACTTGTCCAGATGAAGCAGATACGTGATAGAGGAGAAAAGACTATACTGAAGTGGACAAGAGGATGAAGGCATGTGATAAAGAAGACAGGAAGAAATACAAAAAGGAGAAGGCAGAGAAGGGAAGTGTATAGGGAAGACAGTGTAACATCACCAAGCAGTTGTGTGGGAAGATGTCCACCTCTGTAAATCACATAGCAAAACACTGTAGTGGTAACAGCTTATGAAGGGGAAACAAGCAGAATGACAGAGAGAACACTTCAGTGCTGTGTTAACTAGAGAGGACCCAGAAGTTACAGCAACTTTAAAGACTGGTCAACAACAGGATATTGACACAAGCAGATGTTCAAGGAAGGAGATCAAGACTGCAATAACGAAGCTGAAAAACAACAAAAGAAGGAGCAGGATGGGTTCAGAAGGTCAATATCTTCTGTCTGTGGAAAGTCATCAAGCAGAGTGTGGAGTGACAAGAGCATTTGACAGCAGACATGGGGTTATGATGGGGAAGATTTAAAATGCTTATGGAAACCAGAGAAAGATCATTGGTAACATCAAAGACATGTATGATGGATTGTGATACGCAGTGACATAAAGGATCAACATCCAAATGGTTTCTTATAAAATATGGTGTGAGACAGGGGTGTGGCATTTCACCCCTTATGTTCCTTTTGTGTATTGAACGGAA